CAAATATTATCCCCTTTGGATTACCTCCTCTCCAAGTGCTGCTGTTGTCTTCGCGGCACTTATGTCTATCTCCCGTGAGGCTCCTTCTGGCGAGTTTTCTCTCGCCCCTGCAGCCTCATCGACATCCGTCGAGACGCGGAGGCTAGCAGCGGCTATGGTCTGGAAATCGTCTCTCAGAGTGAAGGCGGTGGGGTGTCTGTACACCCGGAATATGACATCCAGCAAGCGCGACATGTTTTCTGCGTGCTCGCGTTTCTGCTCTGCCTCCCCCCGCAACGCCGCATGCTGCTCTCCGTGTTGCCTCTGCCCCTCCACTTGCTGCAGCACAGCCTCGATGCCCCTTATGAGGTCGTCTCCTCGCGCAAACTCCAGAGACTTTATGCAGCCCACGTTGTTGTTTTGCTGGCTCGCAGCCACGCCGCTCGCACTCTGCTGACTGCTCCGCTGCTGTTTCACCACGAGCAGCAGCCGCTTCAAATGTGCAACGAGTATGTTGGTAGTAAAGGGAACCCCCACGCCGCACGCCACTGCCAAGAAGTGCTCAGCCACGCAGCAGTCAGGCCGGGTTGGACTTGCAGCCTCCCTTGCTGCCGCTGCGTCGACCTCTGAGAAATGCATGTCTCCTCCGTCAAAAGCCACCCCCACTGCGTCTGGGGGGGCAGCTAGAAGTGCACGGTTCTCCTCGACAGGCATTCCAAAAAGCGCTGCTTCATAGGCGCGCAGCTGCTGCGGTGCTCCTGCAAAGACTACCCGTCCCTCCGCCAAAAACATCACTCTGTCGAATGACAAAAATAGCTGTGTATCCACAGACAGCACACTTCAGCTAGCGTGTTGGACTGCGCACTTCGAAACACCTCCCCCCGCCAATGCCGCCCGTTGCCTTATCTAGGAAGCGGCACGGTGTCTCTGCATGGGTGCTGCATTTGCCAGACTGCATTGCGAGCGACGCGTGAGAGGCGACTGCCCAGCGTTGCTTTGTGGCTTGCTGCTTAGCATACCATGCCCCCTGAGAAGATCTCGTGCAAGGGGGCATGCATGTGGCAATTCGCGCAAGAAATCTTAGAGCGACCGCCTTTACGCCAAAAAACGCGCTGCCACTTCTGGCGTTCAGTGTCTACGCTCCGGTGTCTAGACACCTGGCGACTGGGGCCATACCTGGGGGGATGGCTGGTGAATGGTGCAAATGACTGCCGTTCCATTCTCTCTCGCAACTTGCTGCAGCAGCCTCAACAAGTGAGCGGCAGCCGGCGCGTCCAAACCGCTAAGCAGCACAAAGGATACACAGGCATGCATGCATGCATGCACACACATGTATGCATGCATGAAGGGGGGATGCACAGTATAGAGAGGCGCGTCTGGAGAGATGTGACTGGAGACAATACCCTTGGCAACAGCTGGATTCAATGCGTGCAGTCGTGGCATGGATCGCCTAGCGCTTCTGGCGTGGCTGTAATACAACTACGCGAGTAGATGGAGAAACACACAAAGAAACAAGAACCACGTTGCCTTTTGAGTAACCCCTAGCACACGCCTTTCAGAGAGAGAAACACTCATCTCCCAGCCGACGTGCAATCACAATTTCTCAAAAAAAACTCTTAGAAACGCCGTCAGGAGGCGCAAGAGCACCACCATCAACCAGCATATAAAAGACGCAAAAATCCAAGACAGTACCAACAGCAACAACAGTACCAACATCAACAACAGTACCAACAGCGACAACATTACCAACATCAACAACAGTACCAACATCAACAACAACAGTAGTAACAGCAATAGTATCAACAGCAACAGTACCAACAGCAACAACAGGACCAACAGCAACAACAGTACCAACAGCAACAACAGTATCAACAGCAACAACAACAGTATCAACAGCAACAACAGCGAACGCTACTGTTGCTGATATTGCTGCTCTCGGTGCTGCTGGTGCCAATATACAAGCAGGAATCCTATGAGCACACCCCACCTCGTTGGCTCGTCGAGTTGCAAGAGAGGCTTTGGCAGCAACAGCTCGCATGCCACGGAGAGTCTGCGCCTTTCGCCTCCAGAGAGGCCTCTCGAGAAAGGCGATCCGACGATTGTGTGACGGCATCTGAAGAAAACAGACAGCAGCTCCACGAAGCGCTTGCTTCTAAGGTATGTCGCGAGGGGTGTCTGGAGGGATGCTGAGGTAGAGCATTCAAACGACTGCTTCCACGCAAAAACGACGCATGATTGACAGTCGTTCTGCTGTAGAAACGTAAACACAGAGCCAACGTGCTGCCCATTCCGCTTTCATGGCACAAATCGATCAGGCAACAGTGGCAAAAAGAAGGAGCCTCAACAACTGCACAGAAAGCAGCCTCACCATCACCTCCATCCCCACGCTCAGCAAAGCCCACAGGAGTAGCAGGCACCTCACTTTTCCAAGTTCATCATTTGAATAACCTTTTCGACGCGCTGCTTTCGCTGATGTTTGTTCAGAACCTTCCCCAACCGCAGCTTCGCTTCCAGAAGCAACGTCTGCTCCACAGTCAGCTGCTGCAACAAAAGCAGATCCTGTTGTAAACAAAAGCCAACAAGCCGCCTCCACCCTTTGGGAGCTTTTACCCCGTTCAGCAGCAGCACCTCCGCTTCTGCTTCTGCCAATTCGAGATCTTCCGCGAGGGTGAGGACGGTCGGCGCTGCTGCTGCTCCGCTCCCGCTGCCTCCGTTTCGCGCGCCTTCAGCTCCAGCACTTCCCTCTCCTTGATGCGGCGCTCCTGCTCCCCCCCTCGACTGTACTTCCAGCTGCGCAGCCTTTCGCTCTTTTGCAAAGGACAGATCCGGCTTGAGTCGCCCTGCAAGGAGGGAAAGAAGCGTGCTCTTACCAGCTCCTGAGCCTCCAAGGATGGCAGTCACCTGGTGGGGAGGAAAGCGACAGCTTATGCCACTCAGCACCAGCTTGCCTTCTCTCTTGTGCAAGCCGCCGCTGCACGGACGGCAAGTGCCGCTGCTGCGCATGTCGCTGCCACTTGCTGGAGCAGTCTTGACGTCACCGTACGAAGCAGTCGGGAGCTCATAGCCAGATTCTGAAAAGAAATCCTTCGACTGAGGGACTGACGCTGCACGATCCTTCCTGCCGCCGTTGCAGCATACCCATGCGTAGCATCTCTTGAGCGCCGACCAAACAGCTCCTCCGTCCTTCGGAGGCAGCCGATAATACGCATCCTTCACGCACAACTCCTGCGATCACACAAACAAACGCCGATTCCTTCATGGCAACTCCGCTACCCCCGCTATTCCGTAAACGCACATGAAGAGGAAGGAGAATAGGGGTGCAAGGGCGTGCTTGATGAGCCGCTTTTGAATTTTTAGAGCCTGATTGTGTGTGTATGTGTATATGTGTGTGTATGTGTATATGTGTGCGTATGTGTGTGTGTATGTGTATATGTGTGTGTATGTGTATATGTGTGTGTATGTGTATATGTGTGTGTATGTGTATATGTGGGTGTATGTGTATGTGTGTCTGTATGTGTGTATGTGTGTGTATGTGTATATGTGTGTATGTGTATACGTGTATATGTGTGTGTATGTGTATATGTGTGTGTATGTGTATATGTGTGTATGTGTATATGTGTGTATGTGTGTGTATGTGTATATGTGTGTGTATGTGTACATGTGTGTGGGTATGTATGCATGTGTAGGAAGTACTATCTTTAGACTTGTAGCGCTGAAAAGTTCAAGTCTCCCATTTGCAGCACCAGCATCCGCCTCCTTTTCGGATCTCCTGACGGTCTCCTCGAGGGGTGTTGAAACCAGAACCTCTGCGTCTGTCGTCGTTGTGGCTTCTGCCACGGGGGGAAGCATGTGAATCGGAGACGCACCGCCTCTTGTTGAAGAGCTACCTCCGCTTGTTGCTAGATCCTCCTGCACTTGCCGTTGGTGGTGCTCGGAGATTCCCGCAACTCCCTCCATTGGGTTCTGAAATGCCAAATTCCCAGAAGTCATCATGCGGGGGCTGGGATGGTTGTTGTGCAAGGCCTCTTAGAACGACCACAACGCCTTTCTGGTGTTATATTTCAGCGGATTTGCAGTTACTATTGCAACAATCCAAGCAGACTGCACCGCAGACTCCCCACCCCGACGCAAAACTTTCACACGGTGCGAAGTTGACCGCCTACACCGTCGCGGATGCAAAGGGAGGGATCTGATGCGTAAGTGGTAAGAGGTACCAAATCATAATTCAAAATGAAGCACTATTTGCCATGTTTCGCACACCAGGCAACAAGAGAGGAAGAAATAGTACACGTAGTGGCACGTTCAAGCCATTCGCGTTCACACTTGAATGCAAGGGCTTAGGGTGTAGAATTCCATGCAACTCCTCCCTTTCCTCCGACAGTTGCGGTAGGAACTAATTTTGTATTAAAGGAAGTCACGCGTTTGCCTTCGGCTTTTGAGCATGTATCATCCTGACATACATGATACCGCGGAGAGGGTTCTGGCAAGCATGGACAGCAACGTCATCGCTCTGCACGCCGCTCAGAAAGGGCTCAGTTACACTCAGTTTGTGCACATTAATAAACCATAGGGCATGAATTCCATTCCTCCTCAGAACCCTTCCCCCTACGGTATCCAATCTCCCTAGTGGAGAATATGTCAAAAAGCAACGATGGAAACGGGGTGGCTTGACTCTCAAAAACCTACGTGTCTCGTAGTTGAAGATTGTAAACATTGGTTTCCTGCTCTGTCCCCTAAACCTCGGATACGTCTCGCCATGTATCCTCCGAGCGTTTCGAAAGTCTCCCAGCTTTTTACTACCAGTGCCACGTCGGAATCCCTTAACCCCAGGGTCACCTATTTCCCAAACGAAGACGCCATAGCCTACAGTTTACCTCCCTAAACACTGACAGCAAACCGCAAACTATCGTTAACTGTCGATTACCTAAAGCTTGACGCATCAAGATTACTTCGGCTAAAAGGTAACGAAAGGAGGTCTGCAAGAGTGCTGAATCGCATTGACAGTTTAGTTGTATAAGGGCCTATGCCCATTTGGAGCTCAGAGCATTGCTCTTTTTCGTGTAGTCTGCAGCAGCTGCGGCTGCAGCAAGGGTTGCAAAAGCCAACAGCAGAGAAGAAAAGGGGAAGGAGGGAGAGAGCACGTCGAAACCCTGCAGCCAAACAATCCCAGAGAGCAAAGCAGACACAATTTCAGCGTGAACTGTACAACGGGAATCTGGCAGCAAAAAGTGCAAAAGCAAAGGGAAACCCACCCCGGCAGGCTGCACAGGGGAGAAAAAGAGGTCCATGCCGAAGGCAAACACTAGAGAGGAAGACTCCCTTTCCGACGGCTCGGAGTGTACACCTCGAACATGAGCCACCTGAGGCGAACATCAGACGCCTTGAGCCAAATGCCTCGGAGAACAAAAAACGCATAGTCGCGATACACAAGAAACGGCATGCCCAAAGACTAAACAGTCAGCAACTTAGGATCTACGACAACCTTTAAGCTTGTGCATCGGACGGGTACCAGCACAACAAGCGTTTTTTCTGCACGTGGTATGCCACGGGGCATCCCTATCCGAAAAAGTTGCAAATGAGCATTGGTGAGAGAGTAGAGTGCAGAAGGGACGTCGGAGATTTACAGTCCTGCCGTAGGTGAGAGAATCCGCAGGGTTCAGAGGCAAGATTGGGGTGTAGCCAATCATTCCATCCGGTATCCCCCCCGCAGCAGCAGCGTCTGACGGCACTCCTCCTGGTACGGCAGGAAGGGGACGCTTTGCACTAGCAAGGCGGGTGGAAAGAAGATAGATCTGCTGCGTGCTGGCGCTTGCCTGAAGAATGCAACACAGACACTCACAGCCGTATGAAAACCAGCGGCACAGGCACCGCCGACATACACCACACAGAGCACCATCCATACACAGTGATGGAACCCTAATGGATAAAATGTGCACCCAATACGCCATTTAACTTTCTCATGACATCAGTGCTCGAAGTACAGTTGAAAATGAGAAACGCAGAACACGACTGTCTCGCTTACCAAGACCAGTGCTTTGGGGGTGATGCCCTGGGCCGTAGCCGTAATTCCAAGTGCAGATACACTGGAGGGCAAAATATAATTTCGTGCTTCTCCCGAGGGCATTCCCAAACTAAAGCCTGACTTATGGGGACTCCTTCTGGAAGATGGGAAGATTAGCCCTAACGGACCTGCAAGCAAACGCATCCCGTCATCCGTACAGGGGGCATGCGAATGTTGCGAAATGCCTCCACACAACTTGCACAAGGAGGCATCGATGTGCGTGCTGCACCAGCTCAAAAGTGGCCTCGCAAACAAGCCTCAGCAGACAACACGGCTTCCGATACAACTCAGTGAATTGATGAGCTGCAGGGCTTAGGTTTTGAATGCGCAGGTTACCAGGATCTGGTCTATTTTCCGTGAGACTGACAACAAGGAGCTCGAACCGAGCATCGAAAATATTCCAAAAGTGAACGTACACTGAGTCCTCGCAGACCTACAAATTGCGGGAATCCAGAGACTCATGACTGGATAGCCATAGACTTAGGTCGTTCATCCTCCCTCCAGCCAAGACAACGTAAAATCATAGTGCCCCCTAATAGCTCTACAGCGGCAAATCCAAGGAGAGTTCTCTCAGCTTACAGCTACTGTGAGAGGCTTCGAAGCCCCACTGAAGAGGACTTGCTGATGAACAAGTTGCCCAGACACGCCATTCAACAAGTGCAGCACCAAGGCACCTCCCACGCCCTCCTGCCACCGCATGCAGCCCTCACCTCAACTCCAAATCCCTAATTATGCACCGTAAATGTGCGCCGCTCGCCAAGTAATGCTCTACAGAGCGATCGCGAAAGTGTCTAGCCTTTTCCCCCTGTTTCTTTTCTTCCAGCTCGGCACTCCTGCAGGCGCTGGCACTCAAACCCCTACTCCCGTAGCCTCTACACAAGTTACGTACATACAGTCCAGACTGTAGGCCCCACTTACCTCAGCAGTTACAACTGCCAGGAGGTTAGGATCGATATGCTTATAGCCAACAGAAACGTCGGCGTGCACAAACACCGGCACTTGACGCAGAGAACGTTGCATGGAAGCGGCCACGGCTGCACACAAACCACGTAACACCCTCTAGCTGCTGATCCGTGGCGAGTGCCAACGAGTGACACCACGCGCGCGCCGCTAAAGGACTTGCGTGAGGGCTTTGAACTTACTGAGGATCGTCTGCTTCTCTGCTGCGAAGTTCACAGACCACGTGAGCTGCACCTCCATCTCCACCGTTTCCCCTAAGACGCAAAAAAGTCGAGCACCAACGAACGCGTGTCTACAAGTACATCCCGCCAACCCTTCTCCGCAGCGGCTGCACAGTCTCCACGGAACTGGAGGAACGTTTGAGACTCCCTTCTCCCAACAACCCCCACCTGTTGGAGGAGCGAGGGGGACAGGCACAAACCCCTCGACACTGCCACTGCATTCATTGACCATGTAAAAGGACAGGCGGGATGTCATCAAGTCGGCGAGAGGCAGGGGGATCTGCAAGCATAAGCAACGAGAGCTTCGCAGTACGTACAGCCCTTGAGGAACTCGCAAGCGTGCAGAGTGAGCCAGACAATGAATGCCATGCCACACGTAGAAGGAGACGTTGCATAAGGCAACAAAAAGCACAGCAAACCAGATTTTTCCTCAGGTGCAGGGTTAGAAGATCGAAAGACGGAGACCTTAACAATGGAGTCTCCGTGAGACAGAGTGCCACCAACAGAGCGACTATGCGAAAGTGTAGACACCATGCGGCAAGAAGCGAAGGGCTTTGTGAGCGGTTGCGATGGGCATGCAGTGATTTGAACTCTGGCTCAAGTATTTCTTAACCTGTTTCATCTTGTTTCTCCCCCCAGTCAGCCTGCTCCCTGTCTCTGCGCCTTATCCCTGTTCCCCGCTTCGTCAGCCTGTTCTGTCTAATTTCGTCTGCAGCTGGAAAAAGCAACCGACGCCTAAATTATTCTCTCACTACTCCCCTACTAAGCCCTCCTCAGCTCGCTTCTTAGCCCCTCTCTTACGCTGTGGGTAACCTGCTGCGAAGCCGTCAACTGCTGAAGCGGATCAACTAGGGAGAGACGCAGCCTTTTCCCCCGCTGCTGCTCCCTGTGCATTAACACCACGGCGCTGCCGCTGTGCTGCTGTCGCTGCAGCAGCGCATCCGCTGGTGCTGCCACAACTTCCGCTGCCGCTGCTCCTGCTGCTGCTGCTGCGTCTTGCAACTCCAAGTGCTGCAGTGGGAGTACCCCGATGGCAGCAAAGGGTGCTCGCTCCTGCTGCTGCACGACTCCCGTGCCAAGATCTATCCAAAACAGCTCTGTCGCCTGCAAAAGAAAACAAAAGGCCCCCTAGTGGTGCCAAGAGTGGTAATTTCTGAACCCGACCCTCGTTTCGCCTCTGGAAGTGAGGGGAACAACCGCTGCCACTGCAGAGCTGGTGGCATAGAGAGGCAAAGCTGTGCAGCGGCCTTTTACGTGTGCCAGAGCAGCGGAATGCATACCTGAGCCGTTTGATTAACAAGCGCCACAAAAACTGTCCCTTTATGCAACCCCACAAGCTCAAGAGACACCAATCGCCAATGGCATCCTTCCTCCTTCTGTTCTTGCTGTGCGCCTTTGCACTGACCCTCGGGGTGCACCCAATTTACGTTGCCGTTCGCTTCCGAACGCGCAACCAGGTGACTGTTGCTATTGCGCAGCATATTCAAACAACAACACGTAGAGCTACCACCGCTTGGGAGCTGCAGCTTCCACAACACCAAACCTGTTGCTGCGTGGAGTCCATACACCTGCAGCGCACGAGGCATCCACGCTCTATACTCTAACTGAACCCTAAGTCTCACACTGCAAAGCCAGGCAGCAGACTCCACCCACCCACCCACCCACCCACCCACACACACACACACACACACACACACACACACACACACACACACACACACACACACACACACACACACCAACAACAACCCGATTCTGAAACGCATGCACATACACGAGACCCCTCTAAGCGTACCAAATTGTTGCAGCTGGCCGCTACAATGATGTTACGCCATCCAAAGAGTCGAGCATTGCGCTTCGCCCGCATCTCTGCTTCCAGTTTCCTGTGCAGCACCAGCGGCTGCTCATACACCTGCTGGTGCTGCTGCGGCTGCAGACCTAAGACCTGCAATTTGAGAGCCGCTGGAAGCTGGAAGTTGAAATGCGGTGAAAGAAGGCCGCTGTCTGTAGCTGAGCGCACACATTCCAAGAGCAGAAAGCCTCCAGACAGCGCTGAAGCGTCGAAAAACTCATGCTTATTGCGACACAGAGGCTTAAGGATTATAAGGCCCCACACTCTAACCACTTCACGCACCAGTGGTGTTCTCCTCGGGAGCGAGCGGCCTTCCAAGGATCGCAGCAGCGAATGCCACACCCTTCGCAAACAGGGTAGCAGCCGCTTCTGAAGCAGCGTCACCAACAGCTGTAGCGACTGCTGCTGCGATCGTGGTAGCTTCCTCCACTGCTGCACCTGCGGCAGCTGTCGCTGCCTGTAGTACGAGCCCCCATGAAGCGGGAGCGCCTGCCTCCGTGTCTTGCGCTGGTAACTCACAAAGCACATACATACATACATACATATATGCATATATACATACATACATACATAGATACATACATACATGCATACATACATACATACATACAAACATGCATACATGCATGCATGCATGCATACATACATACATGCATAGATACATACATACATGCATACATACATGCATACATACATGCATACATACATACATAGATACATGTGTCTGTTCTAGGAGGCCAGTGTCGCTGATCTAAGGGGGCTTGTACTACAGGCAGCAACAGCTGCCGCACGCAGGTGCAGCAGTCAGTAGGAGACGCTGCGGTGCATCTGGTTCGAACAGCGTTCTGCTTCACTCACAGGCTTCCTGCTGAATCGGCAAAGCACCCATGACAGCGTTCGTGATGAGGCTGAGCCCCTCCTCTCTCACCCACGAGACGCCTTGCCCCTTTTGCAGATTCAAGACGGAGAAATCCGACAGCAGCAAGAGCAGTTGCTCGTGCTGCTGTGCGTCAGCAGCAAACGCCAACGCTGCTGCTACTGTAGGCCCCCCCCCCAACGCACTGCCAACCGACCCCACCGTTGCCGTTAGCGCTGCTGGCAAAGCCTCTCTGACACCGCAACACGCACATTCCTTGCCTTGCGGCTGTCTCTACGTGCAAGGAAGTCTTTGCCCCACAGCCTAGCCGCGCATCCCTTGCGCCGAAGGTGTAGACTTTCACTCACTTAAGAAAAGGTTTTTCTGTGCCGGCTCTTAGATCAAGCAGCTTCGCCTCCACCACTTCTCCGAAAAGTCGCACAGCAACTGCACGCCTGAGCAGAGAGGCCCCTCACTGAAACACACGTATACGCCTTCAGCGCTTCAACGAAAGCTACAACACTGGCTTCAGACACCCCAGAGAAATCCCTTAGCACCTTCCAGAAACGCATGTGCTCTTGCACCTGCTCTTGCACCTGCTCTTGCACCTGTGAGGCTACAAAGGCTACACCAAGTGAGGTCTTCGTTCTGGCAGCGCAAGGCTAAGGCGTCAGTCGTGCAATTTACTGGTTTTGCTTCTCTGAGCCATCTTCTCGAAGGGGTGCCAAAATCCACTCTCCGCTCTGTAGGGCCTGAGCAAAACTCCCACCCTTCAAACTGCTCCCCTCAGCACTCTGCACAGCGCATCCGAGCACTTCGACCAAGAAGCTTGCGTCGCACACGCTTACCTGAATGCGCTTCTGTGTAAAGCCAGTGCCCTCCTCGTATCCTACAACAGCCGTGCCTGCGAGAGAAGTGCACTTCCCCAGAGGCAGCAAAGAGAGGGCTTCAACTTCGAGAGCTTCCGTCGCGTCTACAGAACCGGAGGCTGAGAAATGCAGAAAGTAGGCTCCCTACACAGGAGACACAAAACGCAGACACAAAGTGCCTTATGGCTTGTGCAGATTCTTATGGGCCGTCTGCCGCCTTATCCACGGAGCTATCCCCCAACCGGAGTTGCTGCTGCTCCTGCATCTACGAAAGCATGATCTTAGAGCGAGATGGATGCACTCCAGCTTGCAGTAAGAAAGCCACAATGCCAGTCAAAGAGACATACAGACGTACAGACAAAGAAACAGACAAAAAGCGCGAAGCGTCACTGAGAGATCAGAAACCTCACCCCAGTAGCATAAATTCAACAGCCCCCCCCGGGAAAAAGGTTTCTACAAGCACAGCCTTCCCAAAGGCGGCAAGAAGGGAGCGACAAGGCAGCTCCAGTAATTCTTAGAACCTAAAAAGTAGCGTGTAGAGGTTGGATTTTCTCCTGGTAGACTTACCGCTGGGGTTTGCAGAGCAATGCAGTTATCTTCGAGGGGTACTAGGGAGACAGCCTCGGAGAATGCTTGTCGACCAAGTTGCTGTGTTTGTTGTTGCTGACGCTGTTGTTGCTGCAGCTGCGTCTGCTCTTGCGGCTGCAGCTGCTGCCCGTCCAATGCGTGGAAGCAGCTGCTACCAAGAGGCCCCTCGAGAGCTTTTTGCTGTAACACGCAAAAAAGCGTCTGTGGCTTCCCCCCTTGCTGCTGCTGCAGCCGCTGCTGCTGCTGAACGGCTACCAAGCCTAAAGCTTCGCCGTTTTCGCTGCTGCTGTCGCTGCCAGAGTTAAGGACCTTTGCCCACAAGACGCTCCCTGAGGAGGCGTCTCTGGCTTCCAGTCCTCGAGGTGTCTCCGTTGCAACAACGAAGGCTTGTGCTGTACGGCCATGTCTCGCTGCTCCTGCTGAGACTGCCGATCCTGAAGAAGCAAGCGCGAAGCTGCTTACGTCGTGCCCCGCCTTCCACAGCAAGACGCCTTCTTTCAAGTCGATGACATGCAGAGTGCCTCTTCTGCGCGTCGAGACTGCTGCTGCGGGTGTCTCTACAGCTGGGTTTGAAGCTGCCGGATTCGCTGCATGCGCCGATTCCAGAGGATGCCGAACATCTGCCAGGAGCACCAGCAAGTGGTCGACTTGTTGCTGTTGCAGAAGCAGCCAGTTTTCGCCGAGTAACAGCCTCCAAAGGAGCTTTCCAGTAGCTAGGTGCAAACCAGAAACCGCGCCTGTTGCCGAGATGGCAACAGCCGTATAGTCTGCTGCTGCTGCTGCTCCCGAGAAAGACGGCGCGACGGGCAGAAGCTGTTGAAGGGGACCTGCAGTCCGCAGCAGCCAGTCATTGACTCCAGGTTGCTGCGGAGCAGCTGCTGCCTGCTGAAGCAGCAGCAGCACTGCCAGCAGCTGCTGCAGCATGGGGGTGGGAAAGACAGGCTGCTCTTCTTGCTCTTGCGACGCGTCTGACGATGCAGCTCCGCGGAAGGGCCGGTGATCGCGGCCAAAACTCTGGTTCCTGAGCCTCTTGCTTTATGGAGGAGACAAAGCCCTTGAAAGCCGAGATTCTGGCGAGGCACTGAGTTCACAACATAATTAGCCATGGAATATCTCGCACCCAGCCCTGGAGGGTTCGGGGAAGGCCCTGTGGTGTCTCAACGGTGCATTCGCTTGAGCAGCTGCACGCCATCCCCTCGTTTATTTACTTGTACACGAAGCTATTGTGTGTGCATGTGTACGTGCATGCCTCCCGCACCTTGGGTAACAACGGGCAGCCCCAAACCGCTCTCCGAGGAGTGCCTTCAAGGGCGGGGTACAGCATGCAGCGCAGAGGGATGTAGGAAGACTTAGTCCGCAAACACGCTAAACCTAGGTAAATTTGCACTTTCAGGTGTGTCAGAGGTGAATAACTGCAATCAAGGCTACGCTACCTTTGCAGTGCCTGGGGAACTTCTTCCTCTCGGCACCGCTGTAGAGCACGTAGTCATGAGGAAACCGGAGCTCAGGCTCGGCATTTTCTCGCATACATATACCCATTCCATTTAAGCAATAATTCACGAAAAATCAACCATTTGGCTGGGGCGTTCGTGCATGTTGCCTGTTGCGGGGTTCAATTTGACTGCTCAACTTGCTAGGCATCGACGTTCTACGCCTTTGCTGTATGTATGGCTACAAGCAACATCGCGAATGCATGGACTGCTTCGAGCGTGCAGCTACTTGCACAGTAACTATGTCTCTCCTGTCATGGCAAACTCTGCTGTGAAGGGTTCGAACAAGGGTAGCAGGGAGCTGCTTGGAAAGACACAATGTTGTTTCTCCAGAGGTTGTATTGAATCTATCCACGATCAGGGGGTGGGACAAAGCCGGCTTTGAGGAAGGCACAAATCTTCTATATGAAGTTAATATCAAAATCTACACTTAGGGGTTTCTACGCAGACTTTACATGAAGCTTCACGGAAAGTGCTGGGGTTAGCTTAGCCCGCTAGATTTCCCTTCTACTACAGTAGAAAGCGCTGAAGTGTAGCGTAATACGCTGCATCATTCCTCCACCTACTCATTCCGGCCGACTCCAAGAGAGTCATCGCCGTGGCTCGTTCCTGTACATCGAGGCCATCCGCGTGCGGAGCAGCAGTGCTTTCCCACCCTATTGCTACTCCCGGGTAAGCAGAATAACACAAATGGAGCAGAGGAGAATATCGAAATGTGCTCATCGACAACCCCGCCGCTAACGTGAAATTGATGAGAGGAAAGACGCACACGCTAGCCAACAACGACCAAGGAAACAAACCAACAGGACCGCTGCGGCGGGACGAATCGCTGCCGTCAGAGTGCTGAAATGTGTAAGCCTCCTGCAACGAGAAAGCAGAAAACTAGCAACATGCATACAGAAAATCAAAATGCACTCCTGTTTAGTAGTGCCCCCCGTGGCTCATAGAGCAATATCTGCGTGCAAACACATGGGATGCCTGCAGCATAGTTGATTTTACAGCCCCAAAGGAGGCTTAAGGAAGAATGTAAGAAAAACGCTCCTCAGGGTGCACACAAAACCGAGTGTAACAAAGGCGTTGACAATATTGACCGGCAACACTTCAGGCGATAGCCAGTGGTAGAAGTAGCTCTTTGCAGGCAGAACATACACTGGGGACGGCAAAGGCCAAGGAACGAGAGGAATGCCGCCCATGGCAAGCAGAATTGCTAAAAAAAACAAGACCGCAAATCCTCTTACATGCAGCGAACCCGTATCTGTTCCTGCGCCAACCACGGAGGTTGACCCTCCCCACCCCACTTCGCTAGCGACTACCGTTCAATGTAACCTCACCACTCAGTTACCCCAAAACCCCGCACTTCCACGGCTTCTCATCGTCTGCCTCCACACGGGGGGCCAAATCGGCACAGCGCGCGAATTATTCGGACATCTTTAAAACTTCCTTAGGAAGCTGTTGTTGACAGTGTTGTGTCACATCCAACTCTTGCGGCAATTGCTAGAGTAAGAAAGTACATTGATTCGTGAGAGGATTTAAAATGGATCCAGCAAGGTGGCAGCAATTTAGGGAAGCATAATTTCTTGCTTGTCTCTCCCGAACTTTACGCTCACATTTGAATGCGTCAGACACCTATTTTCTGAGTTCCTCCACCGATGAAAGTGGCTGTTAGGACCGCACCACCTGGTACAGGGCCAGATTGGAGAGTTGTTCCTCAGTGGAAACTGGAATAGAGGAGAGTGAGGACAAATCAGTGTGCTGTTGTGTTACGAACGAACGTAAGCACAAGAGGGAAAATCAAGCTAAGCAATCGGAAATTCTGGGGTATAGGGTCGCCAGTATTGCATAAAAGTGCGGGTTGTGCACTCTGGCTGCCAATCTGCATCAGGAAGATTCCCAGTGGTCATACTATGATCAAGGTGTAGCCATGCCCCTAAGGCATGTCAGAAGGCATTAACGAACTGTGAATCGCCATCCGTAATAATAGTTTCGGGTAATCCGTGAAGCTCTCAGACATGAGCTAAGAACAATGGAGCGACTTGCTGATCCGTGGCAGCTGGAGCACGGGACGAAATCGGCATATATGCCGAGTCTGTCGACACAGACGTACATGCTATCCCGCCCCTTGACCTCCGGCAGTCCAGGGAGAGACTCCATACGCGCGTACGTCCGAAACATTTGAGGGGACTCATTGCTGCGCAACGAGTTGGTGTAGGACAGCAGCGCGGCTTCAAATGCTGACAGAAGGGGTATGACATTGCACACTCATCTGCTGTGAAACGCATCCCACCCCAGCTGAGAGACTGTGAGATCACTGCCAGTATGGTATGAACCCGGTAATGTCCCGGAAAAAACCGATTGTGTGCTCTATGCAAAGCGGCACTGCAGAATGAAGTTGGGATGTACAAGCGACGGAGTCTTCGCTTGGTTTTAAGCTACAGAATGCCATCCTCAACTTTATACTGCTCCACCTTCCTGATAGGCTTACCGAAAAACCGGATTGGTGTATAGATTGCATAGATTAGATTAGCAGTGCACTCAGCCGTTGCCTTTACAGACGTCTTCGCACAAATATTCATTTACCCAAAGGACAGGTAGAAAACGACGTTCCACGCTGGCGCTCGCAAGCTCTAGTATTTCAGTGTGGTGTTTGAACTGATACTACTCCAGGAGAGCTGCAAGAAGTAATTTGCCAGTATGGGCATCAGAATCCTCTGCTGCACGGTGATATAGTCCAAGAGCTCTTTGGAAAGGCAAAAGCACATACGCCACCTTCCGTAAGTCTTAATAACCAATACAGGAGTTTGCCCAAAGGTGCTAGTTGATTCTTTTGCTTGGCCATATTTTCTGGTGAGCTACTGGCCTGTTGTTCAACTTTTACTTCATACTATGGGGGTCTCCAATACACTGGAGCAAATATTGGGGCGCAACGACCCAGACGGCGGTTCAATTATCAGCTTCCTGGACGACCAGCAGGGGCCAGTTTGTTGGCATGTTCTCGCCTTCATGTACAACCACAGACTCGTCATGTATCTTTTTCATTCCTGCTGCCTCGGGAAAAAGCTCATTCCGAGTGCCTAGATAAGGACCCGTTCCACAGGCCCTTAGTCCGGGTGCATGCTCTGTATCCTCTTTTCTCAATGCATTGTTGAGTCAGTCCTACAGGCTCTGCCTACCTTGCTGAGGGGGAGCTTCCATCCAGCGTAGCGTAGATGAAATCAGCGTTGCTTCGGAGACCTGAAGATGCTTCGTCTTCGCGCTTCCTGACGAACTATGCTCCACAGCTTGCTGCTGTGTGCCCCATGGGAGCCAGCGCCAATTTAGAGTAGCACTAGACTGCCGCGGAGCTGCCTGCCCTTGCTTTTGAGTCCCCGGCAGCCACCCTGACCCTTGTGGGCTGCGCTCGCTAGTAAACAAGTATGAACGTTGTTCATTTGCTTTGGTCAGTGAAGCTGCTCCTGGACTCCCCACGGCTTCCTGCCAACATAAGGCATGTACTCATCTGCGATGCGGTCCATTCACAGCAGGTGGCTTAACCTGGGGCCGTCGGCCGACGACTTTTCAAAAATACGACAAAGCAAAGAAATCAAGTAGCACTTCTGAGCGAAATCCGGCGTTGGTTCTTTTAAAAAGAACCGAAGATGGCGTATGAGCGTTAGGTGAAAATCTTGAACAAGACTACTGTGGAGCAGCCGATTCCGATTCCTCATATTGGCCAATCACTGTTCTTTGCAGCTTCCCTTGAAGTTTCAATGAGTTCTAAACCCATACCAAATATATTTGATCATGCGAGTGTGAGCGAGAAACGCCGTTTTATACCTACCATCTGGGTGGATCAAGATAAGCACGAAGACGTCTGTTAGCTGGTTCCTGCCGGCTTCCACTTCCTGTTCAGCTTGTAGTGTAGGATAGGGCTGGTTGACACAATCCAGATGTCCGCAGGTACTGGATCCTGATTTTAGCCTTCCTGTATGGACAAATGCGTAGGCTCTGCGTTACGGCTTTTTCGAGCGAGAAGGGTGATATCACGATATGTTGAGCTATTAATACATTTCCATGCCTTGCTTTCTGACCTCACCCAAAGTTTTTTGCATGAGCAGATATAGTCAAAAGCCGATGGGTCTAGGATTGTTTGGAGGCTTGAATTCTAGTAATCTTTGCCGGCAGGCGACGTCCTTTGCATGAACAAAGCCAGTATCAAAGTGACTTTTCCGGCAATACAAAGACCTCAAGGACTACTCATTTTTATGCACTTGGACAGCACGTCGAGAGGCACATTTCCAACCAACTGATGAAAAGTTCAATGCTTCCCATCCTTACTACGTTCGTGCCTCGCTGGTCGGTATTCCTCACGGGCGCACCCACAAATATGATAACTGCTAACAAATCACCCCTTTCCGCCTGCTGTAGAGCTAATACGCTTAGATTAACTTGCTGGCTGAGCTCTGCCCCCTGCACAGGCTGTGTGCCCCCCGTCAGCATCCACTGCCAGAAAGTTTTTCTCCAAGCTCACTTGCCAGGTATGATACAATTAAGTAATTTGCCAAATAACTTGAGCTAAGCCAGTCATATGCATTAAGGTAGCCTGATATCCTACTGCATCCCAAGCCGCGGATTAGCGGAAAGCAGCTGCATCAAGCCATGCAATGCTACTAACTGTACCGTTCCACTGAAAGTCTTCTAGAAAAACAAACCCAGAAACAGACTCCGGGCAAACTTTAAGTACAATTTATCAACGTGTTTCTCGGAAGCGCTTCCGCCTTACCCTTTCATGGTTCCTGATAGTCCCAGATAGGAGAAGACAACAACAGCTAGAAGCACATAGCTGCATCCAGAAAGCACTACAAGCATTCACAGCTTGTTGCACATAGCATTCGGCGTGCGCTCAGACAACAGTGCGTCATTGATCGAGTTAGGTTCTCTGCAATGAATAAGTGCACGAGCAGACTGTCTATAAGGCTTGACTAAGTGATTTTTCTTCATTAAATACATCTAGCGTAGTACAATGCGTTGAAGTGTAGACCAGTCCGCTACACAAGGTGAGCGTTGCTCCACCCCCCACGCTCTCAGAACATCCACAGCGTCTTGCGCATGGCGACTAGTGCATAGGCACCCAGGGTTTTTCTCTATCGTATTAAACTACCTATACCTGCAAAATGTGATACGTACGAACTACCGAATCAAATCTTTGACTCTTTACTTTGAAAAGTACAACTGACGTAGGGTAAAGTACATGCGTGTAACTATGCCCGCAACAATGTGGGGGTTGGGGATGCCAAGCTCAATCCAAACTATTCCAGCCTCACAGAGTACAGGACATACTTCTGTATTGCCTCACTAAAGGCGATTGCCGTAGGGACAGTGGAGGCCGTGTCTGTTAGCAAGAATCTGTGATCTCCGACGGACCAGAATCGTACCCTGGTCGCTGACTATTCTAGAGTGAAAAGATCGCCGCGTTTGCCCCCTAAGGGCCACTGGCTTTTAGACTGTCGATTGGCATGCAACCAGAATGCTTCAGTAAGAAACTGCAAGAGTGCCTATGAGTGCGCTATGGGGTATCTCGGTATGCTTCTCTACCATCTAGCTACACGCGAGCCTGTGACTTTTTCAAATGCATCTTTTTCCCTATGTTTCCATCTAGTTTGACCAAGCTTCTCTCTGTATCTCTTCTCCTTACCTATTCTTTCTGCATATTAGTTCTTTTTGCGTTCCTTTTGATGCATTTCTAAAGGACTTGAATCTGAAATGCAATTCTCTTAGTCTCGTATGGGGCTACAAAAAAACACATGATGGCCTCACAACCACAAAGACCGAAATGGAAACATGGTACTATGAGAGGCAGGAGACAGGAGGCTCATGTAAAAGAGGAAGAGTTACCAGATATCACAACAGGAATAAACGGGAAACAGAAGGCAGAGAACGGGGGAAAGGGAACCAGTATGCAGGGCCAGAGGGAAGTAAGAAGGTGATACGAGCGAAGAAGATAAAGGATTACATGGCGATGGACTGAAGGAGAGAAATTCGCAACAGCCAAGAGGGAGAATACGATTTAGAGAGGCACGCGGACGCACAAGCAAACATCGCATAGGGAGTTGGATACAACACGAAAAATAAGCAGCATACAAAAAAACAAAATTCGATAGAAGATGGCATAATGTGAAACAGCTACTGTGGCACTGCACTTGACATAACGGTCGCAGTGAGCAAACGTAGGAATGCTCTTGCGAGAGGAGAAGGAAAAGACGATCTCATTGCACAGTGAGGACCACGCTAAATAAAAGAATCTTGGGCACAAAAGGTTCAAGAAGTCATTGCCTGAATCATCGCCAGGTAATTCTGCAGCAGCCGCAGACAGCACATCGGAAAAAGCGAAGTAGAAGGAGATTTTGCACAGAGTTGAGGCCAGCATATTAAAAACACCTTAAGGGTAAAGTAAAGGTTAATATCTTAGGCACAAACTTAGGGAATAATCTTGAATTAAGTTTACGATCTATGACTTCTGAGGGATTGTTCTAAGAACTATTAATTGGGATTCCGTTTAGCGTCAGGGCATACGTGTGAAGTTTAAGCTAAGTGCTGCGCTTATGTGAAATGCACAGTCTATGGCTTAGGCTTGGGGGCTTGGGGCTAAAGGAGAGCCGGAGACAATCCTCCAGCGTGAAAGTTACCTTTAAACCCTCTTTGGCTGGGCAGACTCGCGGCACTTTGCCCTCTAGCTGAGTCGTTATCCATCCGTTATCTACAGCGCAAAAATGTACAACGCTTATCTCAGAACGCTTACCCTTGGGCTCCTAATGTCAGGCAGAAAAGCAGGCGACCACGATTTGTAAGACCTTCTAAGGGTGAACGATTTGATGCTTGTGACCAACGTTGCAGCACAGATCTACGGGAACACGGTTTAGCTAGCTACGGCTAAAATCTCAAAGCGAGTGGTGACTCTGGTATTATATACCTTCGATGTGCATCTGAGGCTGCAATTGGCGGATCATAGATACCGCTCCATGGCAAGTGTCGCAGAACATCACACGCTGAAACACAAACCCTAGACACGCTAACCTGCACCCCAGGCATTATGCGCTTAATAATGCGTGCCAGCGCTTACCCCTTGATGTTGTATCACGTTATTCAAGTAATAAAACCTTTTAATCATGACAGGCGATTCAAAAGCCGCCCTGGCTACAGCAACATTAGCACAAAGCTTCATGTACAGTGTGTCCATAGGCGCAGACCCCGGAGTGTAATTTACGTGTCTATTAAGTCCTGTCTCAAACGATGCGCATTTTTCAAGTATGTCCAATATTTTTTCCTCTTCGGCATCATCTGCAACCTGCACATCAAAGGAACCTTGCATGTATGCGTGTTCCTCCTTACATCGCCAGGTGTAAAGTGTACAATGAGACGCACAGCCACACACCAATTAGCAGCGACCCCTGAAGGAGCATCCACAAAGTGGCCTGCCTGAACCCTGTTACTCCAAGTGTATGGTCTGAACGCTAGTCCTCGACTCTTCTGCTCAAAATCCTTGAAACTTGACAAACCTGCGTGACTGTGTACAAGCTGGAAAGGCGACAGAGCCTCAAGAAGTCACCAAGAATCGAAGTGCGAACCGTTAGGTCCACCGGATCCAGCAAAGTCTGTAAAAACACCCGCCAAAAAGCCTGATGCAAAGGCCTCATGCCCTCAATCGGAACACCTATGCTCTACAGCAAAGAGAACTTCGGGATGCTTACCCCTTTAAGATTTATGGATACTCTAAGCTTCTTGCTGCCAGATCAGTGCACATACACACACACATACAGATGTACAGGCACGCATCCTGAGCCCTATGCTGTAAATTCTGTGCTCTTAACGCCGAACGCAAGCTGCGCTGGTGTATCGGTCTTCTTTCAACAAGGCTGGCGCTTGGATGAGAAATCTACTAACACACGTTATCGTGCGACTGTAAAGCGTTAGCAACAGTGGGATTGGATTTAGATCCCTCCATGCCTATTCCGATGCGTTTGGAGGGGGAAAAGAACGAGGACAGGAGCTAGAGGCTAACAAAGACAAGACACAGGGAAGCGAAAAGTAAGGCACAAGCGAGGCAGGAGAAAGTACCACTAAGTTAGAGGTGCACAATAATTGGGTGGGCAACAGAAACGGATGGCGGTTTGCTTACTCTTCCGGTTGCTTTCCTCCCCCTCGAGATCTCCTTCGTGGAGGATACAGGTATAGGTAGTGCATAACTAGCCAGGCGAAGGTTATGAAGACCAGAAGGAAACTCCAAATACCACCCTCAAACATGTTGTAAACCCTCGATTGCAGACCTGTAGGCTTCTATCCTTCGATAGGAGAAGCTGACGACAAGAGGAACACAGAGATGCAGGGGGGAACTCGTCGACGTCAGTGGTCGAAGAGCATTGTTTCACAACTCTAGCTTTGATGGCGCGGATAGAAAAGGGGGAAAAGACGTAGATGAATTTATGGGGAACGTGTGTGGCTGTGTGTAGGGTTTACAAATGGCGTGGAGGGTACAGGGAGTAAGTGTTTTGGATGTAGCTTGCTGCGTAGAGCGGAGTAGAGTTTCACCTCAGCGATATTCGAATGAGCTTTGAATGATTTATTGTTCCTATCTAATTCATATGACAGAAAAACTATCTCCTCGCCCACCGCCCTGACAACGTTACGATGATCTTAGTCTCTAGGGATGCATGCCTCGGGATCCTCCTTCAAACCCTGTTGCAAAAGCCCCAAAGCCTTTAATTTTATATGCTTATATTAAGGCCATCAAGAATTAGTGTTAGGCACTACATTACGAAACCTTGCTTCAAAACTCAGGCCTGCTACACTGCGCTGCGTACATATATGCCATATTCCCGCAGTCTCCACAGATGGACTCGCCTGTAGCGGCGAAGCCTTTTGCGAGTGCATTTGTTCATCGAAGGGCATAAACGCTCGATCCTTCAGCTTACCTTATTCTCCGAACCCGAAATCTCAGTCTGCGCGCCTTCTCTGTTCTGCATTCAAAAGGTTTCTCATGCAATCACCGGTCCTTTGTACCTCTAATTCAACTTCTGAGAACATCGGGTTTGGTTTCAGAAGATGTCTTTGAAAATTGAGGCAGAGAGGGCCGTCGCACAGAAGTTGCGGTCTCCCATTGGACACCCCCTCTTCAAACCAAGAGGCAAACCGCACATCCTCTTTCCTTATGGAGCGAAATACCGCTCTCCAAATAGATGTACGTTCGTGCCGCACGTTTTGCTGCTGTTCATGTTGCTGCTGTTCATGTTGCTGCTGTTTGTTTTGCTGCTGTTTGTTTTTCTGCTGTTCATGTTGCTTCTGTTCATGTTGCGTCTTCGAGCTCTCCGGAGGCAACCAACTCTGTGAAACTTGTGCTGTATGCCTCAATTGGAGGGTTCCCTTTTCTCCTGTGCGCCTGCAGTCAAGTGGTGGATTGGGCAGCGGCCTGCCTACCCGCACCACTCTCACCAAAAGAACTGGTTGCCTGCTTCTCAGTTGTCGATTCAGTCGTTTTTGCCGCAGATGCAGCACCAGCAGTTGCAGCCGCAGCAGCTCGTGCACCTGCCTCCGCAACAGCAGCAGCAGCAAAAGGAGCAGCAGCGACAGCAAATGCTCGAACACCAGCAACAGCTGATGAAGGAACTGCTGCAGGCGCAAGCAGCGGTTTGTGCAGCAGCGTCAGCCATTCGAAAGCCTTGCCGCCTCGGAATTCGCGACACCAGCAGCAGTGACGGGAGTAGCAGTGACACGAACAACAGAGATGTCAGCAAAAGAATGCTGCTGAGCGAATGGATATACGACCCTGTTGGTGCAGCAGCGCAGTTGCAGCAACGGCAACTGCTCCCAGAAGCGCTGCATGCGTTACCTCTTCATGGGGTGGGCTGCCTCCTTTTTAGGGACAAACGAAGAAGCAGAAAGTTGTTGTTAGAGCAACTACATCTGCGACACAGGAAATGGCAGCATTCGCCGAAACTGACAGCGAGAGGCGTTGTGCTGCCTCCGAAACTCAGACTCAATAGCAACACCAGCAGCAGCGTCTGCGAGGCAACAGGAGAGGGCACGGCAAGAGCAGTTCCTGCTGCCTCGCAGCCTCTTGAATTAAGACGAGCAATGGCATTTATCCCCAGAGATGTGTACTACAGGGTAAGGGTATTATGATGTAGGACAGCTTTTTTCTTCAGGATTTTTTCCTACTTTCGATGTTGAATGAAAAGCGTTCAGTCTAGACGTAGGGTTAGGCGTCATGCTCTGCACAATTCTTGGATCTGGAGTTCACATAGGGTCTGTGTTTGTATGCAGCACCGTCCTTTCAAGGCCAGGGTGTTAGGAGACTTGACATCAATTGTTTCTCCGCGAGTTTCGTGTTCCCCAACTATGGGCTGCGTTTCGACTGCACAGTGCAGCAGAGGGGAAGCGGATGCGCATGCAGCAGATGCATCAGAACAGGGGAGAGATGTTTCACCAACAACAGAAACAGCGAAGGTTCAAAGCCCGAATCTGGCACTGGCAAGCAGCAGCTCTGCTAGCAGGAAGCACCATCGCGGATTTGTATTTCGTAGCTGTTCCTCTCCTGCGAATCTGAGTCTGGATTTCTGGCGTGTTGCACCCCCTTTAAACGGAAATCGCTTTATCTTTAGGCCGTCTGTGCGGCTCTCATGATCGGAGGTAGAAGCAAGACCAAGCAAACGAACAGTTACTTCACCGGTGACCTGCACTTTTAGCTGAATGCATGTCGGAGGGAGTATTGATTGCTTGTTGGCTTGAGTCGCCTGTATCTTTCTTATTTAACGGCTTGACTAAAAATGTGGAATCAAGTGTAATTTTTTTCGAGCTAGACGTTAAACTTTTGGTAATGCCCGAAGGACGCAAGCACGGTGAAGCACGCCTAGAGAAATCCACAGCCAGAACCGTAACCTACAACTGCTAATAATGCAGTGTACAAGACCTCCCCTCATTATTTGTTTGACGCTCCTGAATATCTTATATACTGTGCGAGACACACAGACACCAGATGATATACGCAGCAAATTCTTCTGAGGCACGGAGAGTCTGCACTAAGCAAGTTCTCTATAGAAGTGAAGGAGACTTGACGGCTGTAGATAACACTGGGAGATGATAGGGATTTCTTCGTTCTCACTATTTCAGCAAGGGTTTAAATTAGAATAACTTATCCTTACTCTGGCGTGTTCGCTTTCCTGGCATGGCTTCAGCTTGGAGTATCTGTTTCTATCGCCGCTTGGAACCCCCATCCAACTTTTCCTGCTTTCTCGTTTCCCCCGCGATAACTCCACATATATTATCCTGTATCCCTCGGTGTCCGTCTCTCCTTCATGCCATATAGTCTCAGAAACATGAGAAAAGAAACTTGTCCGTGAGCAGTGGTAGTCCCAAACACAGATCCACAGGAAGGAGGATGAATAATGGCAAGTAAACACGGAAAGAAATACGAAACCGAGAAAGATGGCGACATCAGGCGTAGTTCCTAAGTATTTTTTTCAATACTCCGAATTATGTCAGTCATATGGAATCGCTTACATTAACATTACGCGTGTTGTTGCGCTTTGCGGTCCTAGTAAGAGGCCACAAGCTCACGTAAATTTGTAGTTTGCCGCTACAAGATCCGAGGAAACGAAAGGCAAAGGGAAAGGCTTGTGTAGGCAGCAAGAAAGAAAAACACACGTGCGAAAGCAGAAAACACCGTGCGTCCTACGTCAAGGCTCAGTAAAAAACGAGGCTGGTAGAGAACGTAGACAGAGAATAGGGAGCCCAGACGCATAGTTGCATCGGTGGGGAAGGAAGAAGATTGACGGAGCCACGCACTTCACGAGATTCAGCGTTACTACAAAATGCAACCCGACATACGCGAAGCATCAACGAAATCCATCTAGGTGAATGCTTCCACGGATAGGCGGCCTATTCAATTGTTTTTCCAACAGGATAATTTTGGACCGAAGAACCAGTTTCTCGCCTATGTGAAAACAACCAATACAAGCTCTTAAGATTAAGCGCCTCCTACCTTCTGCTCACGTTTGCTGTCTGCTTATATGTGAAGTCTTGCTCGTCTGCTAGCTTCTCTATCCAATCGCTGGCTCCTCACCAAAGTTGTCTGCACCAGCTCGCTTTACCACTGACGACTCTACTGGTTTCTGTGTTCTCCTGTGTTGCTACTATAATTCCACCTTTGTTCTTCCTCCTGACCTCTGATTTTGGCTTTTGTGTGAAACTTTGCTTTTGAATACCATATCGGTACTCCCCATATTCTGGTACGGAGGCAATGAATATGGAAGTGAACAGGGAATGTTGCTCTGCCTTTCGATTGCTTTTGCCTCACTGCGTTGCTGAGTTAGCTCCTTCGGCGAAAAGACAATGCGCATGTATTTGCCTTAAAGTTTCGACGTAAAGAAGCAATAAAAATTAGCAAAGTAGTCCTTTTAGGTCCCTCCGCATGCGATTCCGTCTATGCCTGCTCTCCATTGGTTTCATTCTTAACCCCTCCCCAGCCTGCTCTTGTATCTGTATCTTGTCGTGTTGCGCGTTCCTGCTTGCCCGGGAGTAGCAATAGGATGAGAAAGCATCGCTAGTCCGCGCGCGGTTGGCCTCGACGTACAGGTACGAGACACGGCGATGAGTCTTTTGAAGTTGACGGGTGGAGGAATGCTGCAGCATACTGCGCTACACTTCAACACTTTCTTCTATCGGAGTGATATTTGACAAGGAACTAGTCAAGATTTGACTAATTGGTTAGTCTGTTTGTACAAATTATTTACTGCAGAGTACTGTCAGTTTGGTGAAAGAAACGCGTTGCCGTGCGCGTGTGTGCTGCTTGCAATGTGTAACTAGATGCAAATAGTCGGAGTGCCTGGTGCGTGGGGCTGTGTGCACCTTGCTTTGCCTCTGTTTCATATCGGGAGCGACTAGGGGAGCAGGCGGGGGAAGGCATGTGTTCTTCTGAACACATTCAATGTCTTTCTACTAGGCTTGTATTAAGTCTGGAGTGGTGCGTAGGAACGGAGACCTTGGATGAAGCGGTACACTTCATTTCTTCGCATGGCTCGATGCCGCTTGCCACACACAACCACTGGCTGTGGATGCAGTGAGATTCCAGGGTTCCTTACAACAGTCATGGTTTGGATCAACAAATATGTTCATTTATGATCTACTTGTATGGCAACATGCTCAGAGAAGGAACATGCTTTTCTGGTCTCCATCAACTAATCCAAGCATCCAACGATTCTGTTGACTTAAGATGACTTCAACCCTAGCTAACCTCTATAGAACAGCGGCCTAAAACAAAAGAAGACGAGGAAAGAGGGCATGTCAGGCCCACTGCAGACACCACACAAGGCCCAAAAGAGCACCTACATGCCGCGCTTGAAACAACAGGGAAATACAACGCCCGCTTACCTACACACGGCCGTGGCATAAGGGAGACACGCAGTTGGGAAAAGGCAAACAAAAAGGATTCCTGCATTTGGTTCTAGATTGCAACGATCCTAAACGACGCAAAAACTCGTAGCCTTTGATCCTCTATTCGAGAGTCGAGCACTCTCCAGCGTCGGATCGTATTCTACACCAGCATTAGCTGTAAAACATATGTTAGGAGGTTAGAACTGACGAGCGTTGCAGGAGCGGGTTCATAAGGAGCACATCCTGCGGTGCTACCAAAGGTAGCGCTCCTTCGAAGATCTTTGTAGGGAGACATTTACCTTAGATTCACCAAAAAACTCTACATAAATTTAGTGAGTGCCCTTTCCAAAGCTTTATATTTTCCCTTCCCTTGACCTCCAAGTTCTGGGCACGAGTGGAGGGGGGCAGTGCGTGTTGCTCCACCCCGTTGGCACTCCAAGCATTCCCACCTAGGAGCAGGGTGTTCTAGCGCCGAAGCCTACAGTATTATTTCTTTCCTTCTTAAGGAAGCTAACTCTGCAATATTAACATACGCCTAGCCAATCAAAACGGCTGATTACCAACAAATCATCGAGTATAAATAACATTTAGAATATATAGTGCCCACATGTATTTTGGGCCGTTATATTAGCCCATAGCCCTGCAAAAGTTTTTTTCTACAGTACTGAACGAAACAAAAGGACGCAAGAACACGGCACAGGCTGTGATTAACGCTGCTGCGGTGGTCGCAGTGAGTAATTCACTACATAGCGCCGCCATAGAGATGTTCTATGTGCGTAAATACACAAATACCCGCAGTGTGGCCAGCCAAATTCCCCTATAATAAAATGAAACTCGACTACTACGGGTAATGTCAGCTACAGCATTTAAAGTAGTGACTGTAGTGAAAAATCAGTACACCAAAGCTAGTGTGACCCTCAAGAAAAAGGCTGCGGCGACAGAGCAAAACATGCCGCTTTCTGTATGCCAGAGTCCACCATGTTGAAGGCAAGTGTACTTAGAAGGCTTCCTGACTGCTAGATAATTAAGTGTCAAATAAGTGAATTACGCGGATTTCAGGGGTAGTCGTCTTTTTTTGGGGCAATAAACGAAGCGTGACACAAAAATGCGCAGTCAGCATGTTACCGAAGCTCATGCCACAAGACTATTGCCTCGCTTCTGGGCATTATCAACATATGTGACACAGAAAGAGATTTTTAACGCACTACGATGAATACAGTGCTCAACACAAACGCTCGCTCAGTAACTCTACACGAAGCGCGGCAGTGTTATTCGTTCCGTGGGCCTGAGACGGTATCTGCTCACTGCGAAAACGCATGTGAATAATCCAATCATTTTGGAGGCGAAGGCTTCATTGTTGTTCATAAGTATTATGTCGGCGATTCAAGTTGCTGGGCTCTCGTGTAAGGTTTTAAAAGCCTAGCTGTACACGTAGCTAGAGTCGTCATTTGGTCGAAGACGAGTCACTCGACTCTTTGTGTCCTAGACATATCTAAACATGTTGACATTTCAAAATGTGTTGGTACCAAAGAAGGGAGCCTGAACACCGACCACTCTCGTGTTTGATGCAACTGGACACCTGTTCGCTTGCCATGTCCTTCCAGGACCTTTAGAAACCCCGTCTACTATTCCACTGCCGTCCTGAAGGCTTTTAATTGTAAGCAAGTAAAGAGTTGTTAAGCGGTTAAAATAGTTGGTGGGGCTTAATGAAGACAAAAAACGCGAAGGCATTAATGGGGACCTTTCTGTTGTCCCTATGCCAGCGTGCAGCTGCATGCGTTCTTGTTCTACGGGCCGAACTGGTCGGCATCAGTTTATCGATAAAAGCTGTAAAATATTACCAAGCATACAATTCAGCCGTCATAACTTTTGTCTGCATGTGTTTTCTTCTTTTGTCTTCGCACCATGGGGTTCTTCTCAGGTACCTGGTTTTCGGATGTACCTTGGCTTCAGGTGTACGTAGGGTTCTCCCTGACAGTTGAAGCATTTGAGCAGTACTTGAATCTTCGGCAGCTGCGGCGTTACAGCAGCAGCCGCTCCCCGCCGGCGCTGCTAAAGTCACGTTTGACAGAGGCTGAATACGCGCAAGCCATTGCGTACAATAAGGACAAGATAAAGCTGTCAATGCTCTCGTCTATTGTGGAATCTGGGATCTCTGTACTTTCCACCGTTTTATTCTTAGGGCCTTTTTGTTGGCGTCTCGCTGGCCATTGGGTCGGAGATGGGGAGTACACACGCCCCCTCATGTTTATGGGCATACAAAGAGTGCTGTCTGAGTGTATAGCGACCCCCTTTCAGATCTACAGCGACTTCTGGGTAGAAGAGAAACATGGATTCAATAAGAAAACTGCCGGTTTATTTGTTAAGGACAAGCTCCTCGGGCTGGGCCTGACCGTCGCAATTGGAGCACCTATCTTGTGTGCAGTTAATTGGCTAATCAAATGGGGGGGAGAAAACTTCCATTTCTGGGTAGGCTCTCTTTGTTTTCCAAGGTTTGCTTTAGGTTTTATACGACTTCTCTCGTTGCGTCCCTGATTTTTCTTGTCTGCTGAAACTCCCACATGCTAAAGCACATGATGAAATGAGCACATATAGTGTTTGAGGCATAAACTTTGGCGTCTGCGCATGCGTATTCAGCTGTGGGGTTTCTCTGTGCTAATGTCCTTTGGAATGATTGTTATATATCCAAACCTCATTGCTCCGCTGTTCAACAAATTCCAAGTCTTAAAAGACGAAGAACTGAGGGCCAAAATAAACGCTCTGGTAAAAAACGCCGCACTCCCTAACGCTTCAAACGAGGCAGTAACCGATAGCTGCGCAACCGGATAGTGAAAGGGGTTTAGAATGAGTTTTGGGGGCCTGTGATGTGTGGCACAGCGTTTCTTTGATCGCTGCGTGAAGCTTTCGTTGCCTTCCGCTCTTAGACATTGTGTTTCTGTTTCCTTCCTGTAACCTGGCGTAGTTTTGTTTTCCATGCACTCGCTTCTAGCCCCTTCCATTTTGCTCTCGGCCATTCGCCATTTATCGCTTGTCTTGATAGGCTTCGTTCTTCTTTTATATACACTCTTTTAATATTGCTTTGCTGTGCTGGCTTTCTCAGGCGGGGCGACTCTCCTTCCCTTTGTGTGAAGTGTATGAGATGGACGGATCTAAGAGATCTAGCCATAGCAACGCGTACTTTTACGGCTTTTGGCGCTGGAAGCGAATTGTCATCTTTGACACTTTGCTGCATTTCCCACACGACCAGATACTTGCTGTACTTGGTGCGGCATATTTTGTGCTGTTGCTCTTTCCACAGTGCCTCATGTTGTTGGTTCTAGTGCGGGTTTCGCCGACTTGCATGCGCGAGCAGTAGTTGCTGGTTTGTTTGCTCCTTGAGCCTGTAGTATGGCGGCTGGCGCTAGTCCTGCTCTAACACAAGTTTTTCAAGTGCCACTCTTATGCCCGTGATTCAGGAAATTGGGTGATCGCTATGCCTTACGCTCACGTTTTGTTCATAAATTCAAAATTCTGGTTTGGCATTCAACTTATTTGATGAGACTTGCCCATACACTTCGGTGCAGGATCTCACAGTGTGCGTATGACTAGGCCTTGTGGTTTGTGCGGGGTGCATTTCAGGCCATGAATTGGGGCACTGGCAGAGGCAACATTTTACCCAGCGGCTCTTTCTAGCATTTTCCAACCTGTTTGTTACGTTTTACCTCTATGGGAAAGTGATGAACAACGATCATCTCTACCGATGCTTTGGCTACGGCGAGGATGCCAGGTCTCCCATCATTGGTCTCATGCTGCTTGGAAATATACTTGCACCTGTCCGTTCATTCTAAAGTTTGATCATAAAAATCCCTAAGCGGTTGCTTCTCTTGTAATTTTACTCATCAGGAATTCCTGAGGAAGTGCACGAACATGCAGAAACTGCAATACGTATCTCTCGCATGTGGAGCTACGGGATGCGACAGCCAGTGACCTCCAGTGCCTTTGTTTTATTAACGTGGTGTGGAGCACTCGTATTCCTCGTTTGTAGCTTTGACGTCTGTATGCATGATGCACTCGACAAATCCGAAACTTGCGACTTTTCGCATCGTCTCTGCTCCTCCCTTTTGTGGCTTGATTCTAGTTATGGTTGGTCTGTTTTGCGTATCTTCTTGTCGTCTGTCCCGTTACCGGTCATCAGAAGTCTTCTCGTTATTTTTCCCATAATTCGTGGAATGCTGCTCCTGCTGTCTCCCTGTTTTACATCTCGCTGAGCACCTTTCGCTCCTTTTGTCTTTGGTGCGCTTTTGATTCCAGGTAAACACCATCCTGTCCGTCCTGTCCACGCTTCTTTCCCGCAAACACGAATTCGAGGCTGACGCCTTCGCCTGCGAGCTGAGCTACGGGGAAAAGCTTAAGGAGGCACTGTGCGCAATTCACACGGAGAACAAGGCGTCTTTGGATCCGGATCCTTGGTGAGTCACCCCCGCGCAAGTCTCTTGGCACTTTGTACTACCATCTTGTGTGCAAGGAAACAGACACAGACACATGTCATCATCATAGCTTGAATATGAATGACGTTGTTGCTGCTCCCCCAGAAACCGTTCCCTACTTTTGCAATTCTTCCCCCCCCCCTCCCCACCTCCCCCTGAAAATCATTTCTTCAAATTTGGTGCTAACTGCACCTCAAGAACAGTGCACCTGATGACGCAAACCTACAGTTTCATGCTACGGCAATCAACGCTCAACCCTTTGATTTTGCCGCAGGTACTCGTGGTGGCACTATAGTCACCCGCCTCTTCTGGAACGTGTCGCAGCCATCGATGAGATTCTGACAAAAGAGGCGAAGAAGAAAGAAGACAACACGGGTGGCAGTAATGCGCAATCTACAGCAGACAAAGGCACTGAAGAACCATCCCATGCTACCGTCAAGAGGAGAAACCTGCCATAAGCAAGGGCCGCAGCGAGTCATGATTTGTAAGCACATGTGGCCTCGGTGTCATGCGTCACGCAAAACTGGAGCTGCCTATGCAGGATCTCAATACAGCGCGCACGCTTGTTCAGCTTCTGTTGCTTCGCTAGAGGCCTTATGATTCGGATTGCAAGCACCGTGTTTCTCGGAGACAGCCATGATGTTCAGGACTCCAGCTGTCCGTTCTACAGGCGTTGTCTTTTCCATTATGTTTTAGTGCCAACAGACTGAGACGCTGCGGCAGAGCGCGCAGAAGCAGCAGTATCAGTACAAGCAGCAAAAGGCATGAGTCGTCTCGTGGCAGCGTATGCAAAGCTCCTGGAAAAGTATCACTCAGCAGGAACAACCGATTAGAGAAAATGCGCTTTTCGGTTTGAACAATTCGTTTGTTTGGTGTGGAGAGGGGACGCTGACGAGCCACTTTGCTCGTTGTGGACACTTCACTTCCAAATAGGATTGGCTTTAATCCATCGAAAACTCGTTCGCCTCATCAGGATCCACAATAGTACATGACGTAGCAGTCCAGTTGCATGACGCCGCATACAGATCAGCCGCCTCTAGGTCAGATGTAGCCTCTCTGCAGGTGCTAGTTTGCAAAGCGTTTCTCCGCTTAGCTGTGTACGTGGCAAGATCATTAGGACTAAGAACGCCTATTTATATGTATTTTTATTAATAAATACATCCAGGTAGCTACAACATGATTAGACTAGGCCTCTCGGAGGCGGTTTGTTGCTTTTCAGTTTCACACGGCCCAAAATGCTCTTTAAAGTGCTGCTGCTCCTGGCATGACATCCCCAAAACGTTCCTCCCTCTATGTAGACTCGTGTCTGCCAAACTGCTTTGTGTTTTACATATTCTTTGGAAGTGAAAGCTTTAGGGTACGTTGACGTTCCTTGTATACGTGGGCCGGTGTTTACGCGGTCCTGTGCTGCGCAGTGGCAGCAGCAATAAAGTCTGCACTTGAATGCGCATCGCGTCCACCCCCTACTGCAGCCACCTGCGCTCCAGTGTCTCGAACCGCTCGAGAAAGGAAACCCTGCGGCATATACAAGCATCTATCGTCCAGCAAGCGGCAGCACTCGGCTGCTGCTGCACTGAAGGATGGTCCCAGGGAGACAAGGAGCTGCAGCACAACTCGAACGCAACAGCAGCTGCGCACGAATAGATTCGAGAAAGAAAGGCTACGCAGGCGAATCCTGGCAGATCCCATGCAAAACCAGACACAAAACACTTTTCACGCTATTTCTGGTGTACGCATGGCAGCCGTTTCCCTGCCCCCAAACTGCCACCTCCCTCCAACCCTTAGGTAGCTGTGACATGAAATGGATGCCGCTTACCTTGAGCCGAATGCGGATGTTGGGCAAGGCCTCCTGAAGAAGCCTAAGAAGGTTTCGCTCTGCTGCAGCCTTTAAAGCCTCCCAGACTTCCTGCGACTGCGCGCGAGCCGCTGCTGCTGCGCCTGTTGGCTGCAAGAGGTATGCGTCAGCATCCACGGAAAAATTCTCCGTATACAGCTCCGCGTCGTGCTCCTCTATTCCTGCAATAGAAGTAAAAGGCCTCTCAACACCACCGTCAACCCGCCGGCTAGCACTGCTGCTGCTGCGCAAGCCTGGTTGCTCATCGCTTTCACCGCTGCATGCAAACTCTCTGAGGTGCAGAGACACCAGAACTTCCAAGGCAGCCTTGCTAAGACCCTCTCCCCATATCCCCTGAGGAAGATGCGGCTGCTGCTGTTGCTGCGGAGGCTCCCTTGAAGGTGCTCCCCAATTGGGAGAGGAGCCTCCCTCAGGATTCGAAGCGTTCATTAGTGACCCTCGAAGTTGTGTATCCGATGCGGAAGGCGACTGGTGCTGCTGCTCAAGCGGTCTGCCAAGCAGCTGCGCAAGATACGATAATCGCCCCCCAAGAACCACCTGCCTGTACACTGCACGCGGCCATGCGAGCTGCACGACTCCCCCGTAAATATGCTGATACGCCTGCAGCAGCAACAGCAGCAGCAGCGTCGGAAAACGTGGTATATACGCACCAAGATGTGCTGCAGCACATACTTACTCCAAATCAAGAAAAGCAACACACTCTTTACAGCTGCGGGAAAGGCGTCCCCGAAGCAGCCAATGCAAGTAAATAACTGCAGCCAACTCAATGTCTAGAGCGCTGACTAATATACGCTTTGATTGACAGCTGACACTGCGTACTATGCGACCCTAGTTCCTCCCTATGCGTCTTGGTAGAGAAGCCACACACGATGCACACCGTCATTTCTTTTCTTAGAGTAAGTTCAGAGCTCTAGAAACGACTACTCTACGCGACACCGAATACGCCTTATTGCACCGCGGACAGGAGATAGAGAGTACACTTTCGCGTGGCGGTTCTCTCTTGCCTCCCTCGGGAGAGCAGCTGGATCGACGCCACTGTCAATGAAAGAGACATACGGGAAAATCTATTCTCCATACCTGTGCAGTCAGACCAGAAACCACGGCGTCTGGATGCAGCTCCAGGAAGAGCAACAGCTGTGAGAAGGACAGGTGCAGCAACTGCAGGTAAGGACCATCTAAACCTACGGATGCTGCTGCAGCTTCCTCAGATTTCCGAACAGCATCTGAAGCAGCCGCTGCAGCTGCCGTTTCTCGCGATGCTGCAGCTGCCGTTTCTGCCTCTGCCGCTGCAGACGCAGCTGAGCCGCCTTCCGAAGAGCAGTAGTCTAGTCCCTCTCCGCTAGCTCCGCGCCCACAACGCCACTGAAGATCAGACTCCTCCAGAGAAAAGAGCAGCGTTTTGAACCAGCTAGAGAGGTTCAGGCTCGCCGCTTCTGCTGCTGCGTCCTCTGTGCTCGCTAGCTGCTGCGAATTCGAGGAGCAGGAGTCACTCTTAGTCAGACTCTCCGATAAATCTGGCAGCGAAAGCAGCGGGAATTCTGTTCCTCCCCCCTTGAGGAAGGCTTCCGCATCCTTGAAGGGGTGTAGAGACCCCTCAAGGACGGTGCTGCAGCGCTGCAACAGCTGCGACAGCAGCGAGCGGCTATTCCGCCGCTGCTGCTGCTGCTGCAGACTCTGGCGAGACAGCTGCAGCTCCACAGCTCGCAGCTGCAGCGCAACAACAGCTGCCTGCCGGCAGCAACTCAGATGCAGTGGGGTGCAGTCCGCCTCTAGAAAGAATCCAGAAGCTTGCAACAGCAGCTGCAGCGGCACTCCGCACAAGCAAACAGCAGCACGACCCAGTGTGAGCTCTTGCACAGACGGCAAAACAGGTGAAAGCGAAAAATGCAGCAGAAGCTAAACACGTACGCGAAGGCAACGAGACAGCAGCGCACAGGCTTTCTGCGACATGACAGACACGCCTTTCTCTTTCTTCCTACGCCAGTCCCACAAACCTCCCTCTGCATCCCCTAGCGCTCGTAGAGCATGCATGCAGAAAAAGCCACGCGAAAAAAACACGAGAGCGTCTCTGTCCACCAGCAGGAGGAGGAGACGCGTAGATACACACCGTTCTCACCTGCAAACCTAGGGAAAGCTGATCTGCTCCTCGTTCCGTATATCCAGCAGCACTCCCTAAACCTAACGCGAGACACCTAAAAGCCTCCCTCTGCAACAACAGCCTGCACCACACAGCATCAATTGCACAAATCAATCCTTCATTGCACACACACCGATTCCAGGCTTGGTGGGGAGAGCTTCACGCAGTTGCAGGAGATCGGCAAAAGCAAGAGCAGCACAAGCAACTACAACAACAGCTTCTTCCTAAAGCAGCATGAGCAACAACAACAGCTTCTTCCTAAAGCAGCACAAGCAAATACAACAACAGCTTCTTCCTAAAGCAGCACGAGCAACAACAACAACCCCTTCCTAAAGCAGCACAAGCAACAACAACAACCCCTTCCTAAAGCAGCACAAGCAACAACAACAACCCCTTCCTAAAGCAGCACAAGCAACAACAACAACCCCTTCCTACGCGCCCAACAGCACGAGCAACGACAGCACAAACGCTTCAGTGCATGCATGCATGCATGCATGCCTGCCGGCAAGGGTTGGCGCTGCACTTACCCCACTTCTTTCTTAAATCCCAGTTCACAGTTTGCCAAAACTAGACTCTCCAAAGTGACCTTTAAAGTTCGTTGGGGGTGCTGCTTGTGCTGCTGCAGCGTGTGATCCAGCTGCTGCTCGTATTGGGAGTGCAGCAGGTGACAGATAGCGACGGCTAGCGAATTACACACTTGCATCTCTGGATTCGTAATCGTATCACTTGGCCGTGGGAGCTGCTGCTGCTGCTGCTGCTGCCACTCCATTCCTTTGCGGCATGCAGCGAGCAGGTGATGTAGATATCCCGCATCTAACAGCATCCTGCAGAGATGCAGAATCACACACATACACACATCTACACACATGCACAGACATACAGACATACACAGACATACATACATACAGACATACACAGACATGCACACATATACACAGACACACACACACGAATTTACACATATACACAGACACACAGACATACACACATACACACAGACATACACAGACATGCACAGACATACACATACACACATATACACACACACACCAACTGATGCTGCTTTCTTGAGACACATTCTCAGCGTGGCAGAGCCAGAGGGCAGCAGAAGCTGTGGCAAACGCTTTTTGAAGACTTACTGCATTGCAGGGGTCAGGCAAGGAGAAGGCGGGATTGTCGTAAGGATGCGCAGCAGTAGGTATGGCTTGCCGCAACGCATGTATACGTCAATCCTCTGCTGCAGCAAATGCATGAGCTGATACAGTCCTGCGCCATTGCATGCACGTTCGAGATCATAATATGCCAGAAGCGCTAGTTCTACCTGCTGCTCATGCATGAGATGCAAAGGAGCAGCAGACGGCGTACTGACAACTGACAGCAGAAGGTTCAAATCCAGGTGACATTGCTGCTGCTCCTGTGATTGCTGCTGCTGCTGTGACTGCTGCTGCTGCTGTGACTGCTGCTGCTGCTGTGACTGCTCCTGCTGCTGTGACTGCTGCTGCTGCTGCTGCTGTGACTGCTGCTGCTGCTGTGACTGCTGCTGCTGCTGTGACTGCTCCTGCTGCTCCAGGTGCAGCATTAGCTGCAGCACCTGCTCTCCGACAAAGCCTGGTGTCTCACAGATTTGCAGGAATTCTTTTAGAATCAGCAGAGGCCATTCGAACCAACCCGCTCTGATTTGCTGTTGCTGCTGTTTTTTCTGTGCTTCCAGCGACGGAAGCAAGGCTTCACACTTCCAGTGCTGTTGCTGGTGAGCCACGAAAGCCGCTAGAAGCGCAGCCGCGACTTGCTCCTGCTGCAGCTGCCTGCTCCGCGTAAGTTTGGCGGCGAACTGCATGCAGAGGGACGGCTTGGGCGAGGCAGAAGTGGGGAACGCCGCAGCAAGCAGCAGTCGCAGCAGGAGCTGCTGAGGCTGCTGCCGCTGCTGCTGCAAGACGGCGTCAAAGGATTCCACGAGTGCCATGCTGACGGCAAACAAGATTAGCAGCTCTAGGCAGAAGGCAAACAGTCCTGGCGTGCAGCGATGGATCAGCTGAGAGAGGAGCTGGAGTTGCTGCCGACGCATCTGCGTGGAGAGCAACTGCTGCTGCTGCTCGCCTTCTTGCTGCAGCTCTGTGCAGCAGGGAGTCTCGAGATGCTCCTGCAGCAGCTGCAGCAAATCGCAGTGAGGCTGCGGCAAGGGGATTTCCGTGGGGCGCGTTGCCGCGCATGCAGCAGCACCGGCAGCCGACAGCGTCTGCAGCAGCAGCAGCTGTTGCTGCTGCGCTCGGAGAGGCACAGGAAAAGCCACAACTCGCAGCAGCAGTTCTGCCAGCTGAACTTCTTGGGAGAGACTCTGCAACATGAGGAGCTGCTGTCGCTGCTGCTCCGTTCCTTCTGCAGCGGCAGACACCGCTAACGCTGCAGAAGAGACAGTGGCAGCCGAGGAGGGCTGAACTACTATCGCGAAAGTGCTGATGAGCGTTCGTGCAATGTTTGTGCAGCCAATGGAAATAGAATTATGCACTGCCTCTTGAAGCTGCAACAAGAGCAGCTGCTTCGCCGAGAGAATCGGAGAACCGATCTCCCCCCTTCTCGCCTCTGCAGATGCACTCTCGCTGCTACCACTTAGGCCGCTCCTCTGCTGCACCTGTTGACGCTGCTGTTGCTGCTGTTGTTGCTGCTGCTGCTGCTGTTGTTGTTGCTCATTTTCTTCGTCTTCTGCGTCTGGAAGGGGTGGCCACTGAGGTGCTCCCACATGGTGCAGAGGCAGAGCTGGAGTTTCGGGGTGAACCAGTTGCTGCAGCTGCTCGAGCAGCTGCTGAATGTTTCCACTGCGAAAGCATGCTGAGAGAGATCTTGCGTTCCCGTGCAGGAGAAGCTGCGGCGCTGCTGCAGAGGGCGCACACGCAGTGCCTGCCGCTGCAGTCTGATACTGCCACTGCCCTCCAGAGAGTTCAGGAGTCAAGGCAGCTGCTGCGGCAGCGGCAGTCGACTGAGACGCTAGCAGCAGCAGCAGCCTCCCCTGCAGCTGCTCCAGCAACTGCGGAGTCACAATGCACCTGCAGCAATCCTGAAGATCGGTGCTCGCGGTGCTGCTCTGCGTTGTTGCGTTGCTCCTCCCTTCCGAAGAGTGCTCCCCGCCATTCATTTCTTCGCCCCTGCAACAGCGAAATCCCTCCTCGTCGGCTGCTGCAGCGTCAGCAGCAGTGTCTGCGTGTCTGATCCAAAACACGGAACGCATTTCCTCAGGCTGCAGCGGCAAGCAGGCAACAAGGCTGATTGCTCCCCCTGCCTCGCTCCTGCTGCCGCTACTGCCGCTGCTGCAAGTTGCGCAATTTCCCTGAGCACACTGAATGAGGTGCTGGAGGAAAGCTTCCCGCGTTTTGTGGATGGGGGAGGATCTGCGGGGGGGATCGCCGAAAAGCCGAAGAGCTGCCGCGAGGAGGAGCGTTTGCTCTGTCACGCTTATGTCAGCTTCCATTTGAGAAGCCACAGTCAGCAGAAACACAGCAGCAAGAACCCTAGGATAGTTGTGATCTTCGAAAAGCTGCAGACATCGAGCCCACACAGCCAATCGCTCCTCAACAGGAGGCGCTCCTCCGGCGCCTCGCGTCCGTTTGACGCCACCTCGCAAGCCTGTCAGACATTCGGAAACTTCGTGCACTGCCACGAGCTGAAGACAACTTGCACCTAGACCTGAGGAAGGCACAAACAAATACACACGTACACAAACATGCAAATGCATGGAGGAGCTTGCAGCAGAGCACACCCTAAAGAAAAAATACCACGCGACTCGCTGCGCAGCCTGCAGAGGGCAGCCTGAGACGCAGTGCGGGAGGGGGGAGGGAGAAAAGCAAGTCTCGACGCTTGCGTCGTACCGAGAAATTTCCCCCCTTCCCGCCGTCTACATCCCCCCATTCGCCTCTCCCCCTCCCCTGTTCCTCTCAGCGACTGCTTCAAAGTCTGTCAAAAAAAAACTCCAGACACACCTGCAAGTGTTGCCCAATGTCGAGCCGCAACGTATTTCCTCTGCTGCAACAACGCCAAAACAAGCTCGCTACGTGTTTCCTGTGGAGACACCTCAAGGCTTGATTGCAGCTGCAGCTGCAGCAAGCGCTGTAGCTGCTGCTGCAACATTCGATTTCCGCCAAAACAAATCGTGGCAGCGTGGTGCAAGAGACAAAAGCCTTTGGAGTACCCTGTCGCATGCAACATCTCCAAAAGTTGCTGAATACAAGCACCTTGAGCCTGCAGCAAGAGCCGCAGCAGCTCGCTGCTAACATGGCGAATATCTGAACCTTGCAAAGTCTCGCCTTCGACTACATCTGCAGTGTGCTCCGTCCCCGCCAGCGCTGGCCGTTGCGTTTCTTCTGAACAAGCACTGCCATCAGCAGGCAGTGATGCCTGCATTCCTCTGACTGCTGGTGCTTGTGCTGGTGTAGTTTCATGAAGCATTACAGCAGAAGGATCGGTGGCTTGATGCTTGCTGCTGTTGCGATACGCAACGAATCGTCGGATTGCTGCAGCCGCCGTGTGGAAGCGCCTTTGCGAGAAAGCTCTGGCAAACCAAACACACAACAAGGCCAAACTAGAGCCGCTTAGCAAAAATACATAGAGGCATATGATGCATATGCATACTATGTGGAGAGACAGACACATATGTAGAGAGGTCAGGATGTGCAGGCGGACGGACACACGCCTATATATCTATATATATAGATGTAGATATATAGAGGAGGAAAGAGAGAAAGAAAGTGATATAATACATACACATACACACAGAAAGAGAGAGAGAGAGACAGAGAGGCCTACTTATGTATGTGTATCTGTAGGGAGATGGAAATGCATATATTTTTTGCGTTTGTTGATCTGGATACTAGATGCACAAAGCGAAGAGGGATGGAAAGAGAGAGGCTTTGCGGAGGGGCAATAAAGCTCCCATGGGAGGGGGTGCACGGGAGTGGCATAAAACAGCTTCCCCTGAGCCTATGCATGCGGCGAGTGGAAAAGATTGCCGCTTTTTGGGGGGCTGTTTTATAAAGGCTTGGTCACTAAAAGAGGCTGCGCGACGGAGGAGAGATATTGTGTTGAGCGTAGGCGGCTTTAGGGAGGCTCAGAGAAGTGCAGCTCGGGGGTGTAGACTGACGAACCTGAAGAATTGTAGAAAATCCACAAGAGGACTATTGGGATCGAAGAGAGCAAAGCCACGCAGAACCAGCGCAGAGCATCCTGCATTTGCCAAAGTGAGAATTAGTCCGCAGAGAGTCTCTGCTGTTGCTGCTAAGACGAGGCTTTCTTCGCACGCCGCTTCACTAGCAGCAGCTGTAGCCGTGTCTGTCTGGAGGAGCTGCAGCATACGCGGAGCAGCCTCTTGTGGCTGCTGTTGATGATGCTGCTGCTGCTGATCCTGCTGCTGCTGCTGATCCTGCTGCTGCTGCTGATACTGCTGTAAAGAGACGCCAGGCTGCTGCACGCGCTGCAGACCAGAGCTGCGCAGCAGCTCAGCAAGCTCCTGTGCATGCGGGGTGTTGTCACGAGTCTGCATCTGCGGCAGCAACACCTGAGAAGCTTGCAAAGCTAGCCAAATCGAGAAGCACTGAAGCACTGTGCAGTCCGAGAAGCAGCTGGCATACACTGCAAGACGCGGTCGTCGTAGCCACAAAGCCTCGCGCAGCAGCTGGATGCCTTGTTGCGCAGTTTGGTGAGGCTGATGCTGCTGAGCCTGCAGAGGGGAAAGCGAAAGCAAGCAAGCAAAACGCACATTGAGAAAATTTGCCTAAACACACTCCAGCACGCACAGGAGCGACAGAAAAACCTACAGCCAAAGAGGGAACCCCCTCCACTCAACAGCACAAAAACAGCAGCAGCAGCAGCAATAGCAGCAGCAGCAGCAGCAGCAATAGCAGCAGTAGCCTGCGTGCAAAGAACACACGGCAATAAGGAGATTCAGAGGCTCCACGACACCCCACGAAGAAGAAGACTCCTGTGCAGCGATGGCAGACGTCACTGGTGTGTTACTGCAACCAATTGCGCGCTTCAAGTGCCCCCTCAGCTGAGCATTCGTGAAGTATCTGAGGAGGAAGCATGCAAAAAAAGACGCACACATGCACCACAGCGCGCCTTTATGCATGCATGCAGCAGCAGGAAGGGGAGCGCGTGCAACTGCATGCATGCAGTTGCGACGAACATCAAGAGCTCACAGCGAAGGCGTAACACACAGACACACAACAGCAGCAACAGCAAAACAACAGCAGCAACAGCAACAACAGCAAAACAACAGCAACAGCAGCAAAACAACAGCAACAGCAGCAAAACAACAGCAGCAACAGCAAAACAACAGCAGCAACAACAAAACAACAGCAGCAACAACAAAACAACAGCAGCAACAACAAAACAGCAAAACAACAGCAAAACAACAGCAACAACAGCGAAACAACAGCAAAACAACAGCAAACCAACAGCAGCAAAACAAGGATCCCTTATTCAGGGTGCTTGCTGAGTGTGCGCGCTGTCTCCCTCTCAGTAGACTTCAGGTGTTTTTATGCCAAAAAAGTGCAATGCCTTTTTCACAACGTGTCTCATACCCGTCGATTACACCCCGTAAGGTGTCTTGAGGGCAGCGCTGCAGTTCAGCCTCGTGCAAGACAGACAGCCAATCTCCCTTCCGTGCCAACTCGTGCAGCAAAGTCAAAGAATGGGGGAGCTCGTGAGCTCTGCAACGTTCAAGCCGCGTAGCAGCATCAACATCACAAGCAGCAGAACCAGTAGCAGCATCATCAGCATCACACGCAGCATCATCATCACAAGCAGCATTATCACACGCAGCCCCAGCATCATCACAAGCAGCAGAACCATAAGCAGCACCAGCATCATCACAAGCAGCAGAACCATAAGCAGCATCAACACATGCAGCATCACCATCATCCATACACGCAGCATCACCACCATCATCCATACACGCAGCATCACCACCATCATCCATACACGCAGCATCGCCATCACCATAGGCATCACCATAGGCATCACCATAAGCATCACTAAAAGCATCGTGACGCATGACGACACGCCATCCTACGAACATGCATGTGGCTGCTTCTGCAAGTGTATCTGGTGATTGCCTTGTGCGCAAACTGTTGGTTGCTGCAAACTGTCGCAGACGCGTCAAAAGCAGCGAAGAAGGAGACATCGCAGCCGACCGCTCACCTGCAGAAATGCGCAACGAGATGCCACGGATTGGCTGCCTGACCCTTCATCGCAGTCGCAGTTATCGCCGCATTGCCTGCGACTGTTGACTTTTGGGGAGGAGCACTTAGAGTCCATGTGGCTTCTTCCAGCAGCCTAAGAGCAGACAGCAGGGGGGGAGAAGAAATGCCGCTGCCGCTGCTGCTCTTAGACAAGGAACGTGGAAAATCTCGAAACAGCTGTATGACCACCGCAGCTGCAGCATCAGTTGTTGGCGCTGTCGGCACCTTCGCAGACGTGCTTGCCTCTGCTGCTGCAGCCGCGTCATCTTCCTGCAGCAGCTGCTGCTGCAGCAGCTGCTGCTGCTGCTGATACACATAAATGCGGCGCGCAGATTGAGCGTCTACTCTGAGCAGCGTGGCGTCGATCCCGCAGAGCTCCAGGAAGAGGAGGCATGCAGAGACAACGCCTTCATCGAGCAAGTTGCAAAGGGCGACTTGCATGGCCGTTTGCTGCAGCAAATCCTTCTCTTCGTGACTCAAGTGGAGCAGCAGCTTCGCCTCTGCAGAGGCACTCAAGGCTGCACTGCTGCGCGCGCTGCTGCAGCTTCGACAGCCAGAGAGGCAAACGCTTCGACTTGCGAGCAGCAAATGAAACGCAGCTGCCGCACGTCCTTGAGAAAGGAAGTATGTCACACTCAAGCCTTCGCTGTTGCTTCCGCTGTCGGTGAAAGTGCTCCTTTTTTCTCCAAGCACGCCACTTGTAGGAGGGGGGGGGGTGGGCATGAGCAGGAGACGCTGGAGGAGAGAGGAGAAGGCCCCTCCGTTCACAAAAGACTTTTGCACGGATGCTGGCAGCTCTGCCGACAAGAAGGCGTTTCGAGCCGTTGAGGAAGGCTCCCGAAGCAAACGAGCAGTGCCGCTTCCAAGTGCAGGCGAATAGTCAACACAAGAGGGGCTAACTGTTGCATTTGCATTTGCATTTGCATTTGCAGTTGTGGTTGCAGTTGCATTTGCAGTTGTGGTTGTAGTTGTGGTTGCAGTTGCATTTGTAGTTGTAGTTGCAGTTGCATTTGTAGTTGTAGTTGTGGTTGCAGTTGCATTTGCAGCTGCAGCAAGGCACTCAATAGGCAGCAGCAGTGCCTGTACGTCGAGGGAAGGGAAGCACTCAGACAGCAAGTGCAACAGCGACACATCTCTTCGCCAAGTCTGCAGATCCTCGAGAAAACACGTGGCATCCTCCTTGAACTGTCGTGTCTGCTGCTGCTGATGCTGCAGCTGTCTTGCGCGGGTTCTGCCTTCGTCAATACGTCGCCGCTGCTCCAGCAAAGATGCGCTGAAGAGGCAAGTCTCAAGCACCTTCGGCTCCTGACTGCATTTCTGTCCTCCTGCTTGTTCTGGGGGATGCTGCTCTTGTTGCATGCAACTCCCAAAAAATGCCCTTGTCAGCTCTTTAAAGGGTGACAAACCCCTCCTACGAAGAAAGCAACGCGCTAGGAATCGTCGGCATATGCACAATGTATGGTTAAGACCATGCCAGAAAGAGAGAGAGAGAAGGAAAGAGAAAGAAAGAAAAAGCAAGAGATAAAAGAAAGAAGGAGAAAGAGAGATAGATAGGGAGAAAAAAAGCAGCCGGTGAAGCTCTAGCGGCACATAGGAGAGAAAACGCAGCGTTGAAAGAAGGGGCCAGAGGCAAGAGGGCAAGAACTAGCGAAAACAAGACTTGTTGAAAAAGCGAAAACGCAGAGATTAAAAAACGGTTCCTGCGGCAAGCCTGCCTCGCTCACTGCAGATGGTCGGAGGAGAGGAAAAAGGGAAGTCTGTCCTTCGAGCAGTCGCCAGCAGGAGCAGCCAAACATGCTGCTCCTGGTTGTGTAGACTCCAACGCTGCGAAAGACTGCGGAATAAATGCGAGAAGCGCAACAAACAACGCAGGTGAGAGACACGCCACGACGGATAGCGGCACGAAACACGTCCCCTCTGCATCTTTCCAGACAGAAGTATCCTCTGCAGCAAACAAACAGGCAAAAGCCTTGCTTCTTGAGAGAAGTCTGAGTGCTGTTTTCTGCGTGCCAGTCATAAAAGCAAGGAGATAAACTTGTCTTGCCATTGGCATGATGCGAGGGAAATACGTCGAAATCACACTCGAGGGAAATACGTCGAAATCACACACACACACAAACTAAGCAGCAGCAGCAGCAGCAGCAGCAGCCCTGTAAGCGAGACTTTTTCTATGCGTATCACCTTTGATAGACAGCTGAAGCAGTACCAGAGGCAAGAGTAGAAGCATCAGCATATACACAGATATACAGATACACACATATACACATACACATACACATACACACCTGGCAAAGAGAGCTGCATTGACGCTTGTTGCATTCCAGCCGCAGCAAGGGCATAATTGCCTAGCCTGCCGAGCAAGAGCACTGACTTCCACTGCTGCGCACTTGTCTCGTTGCTGCTGCTGCTGCGGAGCACAGCCTTCAATTCTTGTTGCGCGGCGAAATTCCTCGCCAAGCGAAAGTGCTGCGTGGCATTAGCAGAAAAAAACACACGCCGCAGTAGCCGAAACGTGAGAAACGCTGCATTCGAAGGGGTCTTTTTGCATCCAAGACGAGAAGACAACCCTTCTACGCCGTAAAGGCGAAGAGCATTCTTTGTGTTTGCCTGCTTCTACTCGTGTCGACGCCAGCGACAGAGAGCCGACAAAAAGCTCATGCAGAGAGCAACAAATGCATGCTAGACGACAAGACGAAGCATGCACACGAAGCCCACATGCTTCTTGCTGCCCGCGAAAAGCCTCAGGTTGAAGGGAGACTGGTAGCAGCTACGCAGATCCAGCTACGCATGCAAGATGCAGCGTCGAGCCTACCTCCAAATACGAGATGAAAACGGAAGGGAGGGAGTTGGAGAGACAGAGACGCAACGCAAAGAGATGCAGGGGAGACAGTCGACCAGGAGGCAGCATTTCATCGACTCCTCGACATCTATGGGAGTGCTGAGACTGCTTCCTGAAGAGGCTGCCTGCCTTCGCATGTCGCTGCAGAAGTCGTGCAAGAGCCGCATCCTCTTCCTCTCCTGCATCCAGCGGATCTAATGGCTGCTTCGCTGCCGCTGTTCGCGTTGCTGCAAGCGCTCCCGGTAGCTCTCCTGCCTCCAGAAAAAGCCCTCGTCGCGCGAGCTGCTGCAGCAGCATTTCATCGAGAAAGACAGACTCTCCCCCCGCCCTTCGCTGCTGGAGGAAGGAGAGAACTCGCTGCAGGAGACGCACAGACTTCTTCCTGCCTCCCTTATGGCCGCTCTCACCGCGAGGAAGCTTCGGCGCATCCGAAATCTTAAGCCGTCCCCACATGTCACTGACTGCGGCGGGGTGTATCGGCAGCTCGCTGATGCACTTGAGGAGGCCTCTCCAGTCGCAGCGACCTAAACAGAATCCAAAGAGACACTTCCACACTCGCACACTCCTGCAGCCTTTCGAAATTCCGAAACAAGTCGCAACGACTTCCCATGGCGAGTGCATCCCCCCCTGCATGCGCAGAGGTCTAGGCTGCTGCTCTCGAACGCCGCTCTTGGAGCGACTGCTGGGAATGCGCAGATGATGCAGGAGATCCACATGCCGCTTTTCCACGAAGATCTCTAGCACGCAGCTCGTTCTAAAGAGAGACAGCTCATGAAGCGACAGGCTGAGGTATCCCCCCACAGCAGTTGCTGCATGCGCGGGCGCTGAAAACGACGCAGAGCTTCTCGTGAAAAGCGACAGCAAGTCTGCCTCCGTCGCCAGCAACCGACGGCACTCAGCGCACGTGCCCCTGAGAAGGCCAGGCAAGGCGGCAAGCAGACATGCAAAAACAGAAAAAGAAAGAAATGCAAACAGAAACAAACGGGAGAAAAGACGCACAGCGCATGTCGTTCGGCAATAAAAGCCAAAGCTCAACTTGCAAGCAGTGAGAGGGAGGGAGGAAGAGAGAAAGTAGAGAGAGAGAGGAGAAGAAAGTAAAGAGGGAGAGAGAAAGTAGAGACAGAGAGAGAGTGGAGAAGAAAAAAGTAAAGAGGGAGGGGGGGAAGAAAGTAGAGAGAAGAAAAGAGGGAGAGCGAAAGTAGAGAGAGATAGAGATAGAGAGAGAGGGGGAAGAAAGTAGAGAGAGGGGGGGGAAGAAAGTAGGGAGAAAGTAAAGAGGGAGAGAGAAGGGAGAGTAAACGAAACATAGTGAGAGCGAAAGTAGAGAGAGATAGAGATAGAGAGAGAGGAGGGCAAGAAAGTAGAGAGAAAGTAAAGAGGGTGAGGGGAAGGAGAGTGAATGAAACATAGAGAGAGCGAAAGCAGAGAGAGATAGAGATAGAAAGAGAGGGAAAAAAAAGAAAGAAAGAGATGAAAAAAAAGAGAAAGAAGGAAAGACAAAGTATAGCCTGATAGGACTGCTAGGGGAGCATGCTGACATGGGTGGCATTATATGGGGGTGAATGTTCGTGAATGCAAGAAGCTTTAAAGCAAATCTCAGAGGCTCAGAGAGAAAAAAGGCATGCAGATGAGATGTCGAGCGAATTTCATGGCAAGAGGGGACAGAAAGCATAAAGCGTATCCCTTTGGTTGGGATGACAGCCTATGTATATATACGTATATATATATTTTTTTTTTCTTGCTAGAATTCTCCCTCTGCCCTCTTCTTTCCCGGGAGGACGTCCTCTGTCGCTTGATGACAGACAGTTTCTCCTGACGTCTTTGAACTCACCTAAGATTCACTTTCAGCGTGGCAGAGCTGCGCTGCTGCTGCTGCCGTTGCTGCTGCTGCTGCACCTCCGCTGCTGCAGCTGTTGCTGCTTGATGCAGCTGCAACACATCCGTCTCCGCCTCAGTGACAGCACTGTACCCTCGCTGTCCATACAGCGCAGCAGCAGCTACCTCCCCCTGACTTTCACGCAGGGTGCTCTGAGGCAGCTGCGATCGTCCCTTATTGCCACTGCGCATGCTGCCTCTCCAAGTTTTCTCTTGAGCAGCAGCAAAAGCTCCCATAGGACTATTAAACCTCGAAAAGCAGCACTCCGCGAGATCAGCTACCTCTCCAGATCTCATGTGCGACCATGCCTACACAGCACATACATACACCACAGACAGAGGGAGGGGAAGGGAAGAATTGCGTGGATGCTGTCAAGGCTGCTTGCTGCGTGCATGCACACCATGCTACCCCCATGAGAGAGACACACACAATCTGCGATTGCAAATTTTGACGCACAAGCTAGACGTCAAAACAAGCATCTCCCTAAAAACACGTACAGGCAACTGCAGTTCCCCAAAGTATGCGCACTTTCCCGTAATAAATCTCCACCGCCTATGGGAAACAAACCTATACATCATTATACATATAGATATATCTACATATATATGTCATTATACATGTAGATATATCTATATATACATCAATACATATGTGTATCTATATATATCTATACACATGAATAGATGTATGTATATCTATACACATAAATATATGTATATCTATATATAAACACATTAACATGTGTATATATATCTATATAAATATACCCGAATAGCGTCCTTGGGGTAGCGCTCAGGAACAAAAGGAGACGTTCCCAAGGCTACTCCTGCCTCACAGCCATCTGCAGAAAAACCATCAAGCAGCACGCAGCAGCACAGCGAAAAGTCTATAGCGATGAAATAATGCGTCATATTCCCCCGCTGCAGAAAAAATGTGGCCTTGCCGTTAACCCCTATTAAGGTCGATATAGACTTCACATGTCTGTACATGCACTCCTAATAAGCACTCCACACACTTCACGCTTGTCTCTTCTCGGTGTGTTTTTCTGTTTGGCCTTCTCTTTCTACAACCTCCATATTCGCATGCCCCCCTCTCTGCATTTCTCGTTGGTTAGTTGTGAGCCATTGCCTTTTTGCTTGCTTCCCCAACCCTCCCTCTGCCGTTGCGTCTCTGACTGCCCTTCTCTGTCTGTCTTTCTTTGCGTGTCATCTCGAATGCAGTTTCAGTGCAGCAGACCTCCTCGTCTCTGCTGTGAACTTTCGCAGGATGCAGTCTTTCTTTTGTCTTTCGGAAGCTTCTGCGTCTCTGCTGGCGTTGCTGTTGCTGCTGCTGCTCTAGTCGCCCCCTAATCTCCCCAATGCCGCCCCCCGCTTTCTCTCGCTTTCTGCATCGTTAAGGGGAGAGCGAGAGAAGAAACAAAACATTATCCTCAATGCATACCTGCTTGGAGAGACGCAGCAGTTCCCCCTAGAGGCCGACAACTCGTTGGAGCAGCAGACGCTGCACCGGAGTGTCTGCTGCTGCTGCTGTAGAGGGCATTTCCGCTATGACTGCCTGCTGCTAGGGCGTCTGTGCGAGCCTCTGCAGTAATATCCGAGACGCGCTTGCTGTCACCACTTGCTGCAAGGGGTAACGCTGAAGCAGCAGCAGCTGAAACTGCAGTTGCTGCAGCAGTGCAAGACGCGGCGAAGCGTCTAGCAAACTCAGCTTCGTAAGACGGATTTGTGAAGAGAAGCTCTAAGATCTGCAGTGCCATGCGCAGCTCACAGCAGCAGGCAGAAGCAAGCAGAGGCTTGGAAAAAACGCTCAAACTACGTCTCATACATCAGCGCAAAAACGGTAAGGGCCACACAGAGAGAAATGAAGTCTCTCATAAAAAGAGGGAGAAAGAGGGTGGTGTCTGTGCTTGAACGAACAGCAGCAGAGCAGACCAGAGTGGCATTTCTTCTCTGCATGCACACGCACTTGCATTATGCGAATTAGATGCATGTGCATCGAATTCAGCTGCTTTTGATGATGCAAATGCCGCAAAAGTCTCCGCCTCACTGGCGTCCTCGTTGTCAGCAAGGCAGCACGAAGACAAAATCCGGGAACATCTGCCTGCAAAAAATGCAGCATCACACGCACCAAGAAGAGCTTTTAGCGCAGTCAATGTCGCCTCTCCAAGCCATTGCATTAGGAGATCCACACACTCTTGCCCGAAGCCACCCCTCCCGCCGCAGTACAAGGTTTGCACAACATCTGGAAAGCAGGATTAGCAGCATTAGTATGAGCAGTATTAGCATGAGCAGTATTAGCAACATGAGCAGTATTAGCAACATGAGCAACATTAGCAGTATTAGCAACATGAGCAGTATTAGCAACATGAGCAACATGAGCAGTATTAGCAACATGAGCAGTATTAGCAACATGAGCAACATTAGCAGTATTAGCAACATGAGCAGTATTAGCAACATGAGCAACATTAGCAGTATTAGCAACATGAGCAACATTAGCAGTATTAGCAACATGAGCAGCATTAGCAGTATTAGCAACATGAGCAGTATTAGCAACATGAGCAACATTAGCAGTATTAGCAACATGAGCAGTATTAGCAACATTAGCAGTATTAGCAACATTAGCAGTATTAGCAACATGAGCAGTATTAGCAACATGAGCAACATTAGCAGTATTAGCAACATGAGCAGCATTAGCAACATGAGCAGTATTAGCAACATGAGCAATATTAGCAACATGAGCAACAGTAGCAGTATTAGCAACATGAGCAACATTAGCAGTATTAGCAACATTAGCAGTATTAGCAACATGAGCAACATTAGCAACATGAGCAACATTAGCAGTATTAGCAATATTAGCAGCATTAGCAGTATTAGCAATATGAGCAGTATTAGCAACATTAGCAGTATTAGCAACATGAGCAACATTAGCAGTATTAGCAACATTAGCAGTATTAGCAACATGAGCAACATTCGCAGTATTAGCAACATAAGCAGTATTAGCAACATGAGCAACATTAGCAGTATTAGCAACATGAGCAACATGAGCAGTATTAGCAACATGAGCAGTATTAGCAATATTAGCAACGTGAGCAGTACTAGCAACATTAGCAGTATTAGCAACATGAGCAACATGAGCAGTATTAGCAACATGAGCAACATGGCAACATTAGCAACATGAGCAACATTAGCAGTATTAGCAACATGAGCAACATTAGCAGTATTAGCAACATGAGCAATATTAGCAGTATTAGCAACATGAGCAACATTAGCAGTATTAGCAACATGAGCAATATTAGCAGTATTAGCAACATGAGCAACATTAGCTGTATTAGCAACATGAGCAACATTAGCAGTATTAGCAACATGAGCAACATTAGCAGTATTAGCAATATGAGCAACATGAGCAGTATTAGCAACATGAGCAACATTAGCAGTATTAGCAACATTAGCAGTATTAGCAACATTAGTATTACCAGCATAAGCAACATGAGCAGTAGCAGTAGCAATAGCAGTATTAGCAACATTAGCAGCATAAGTATTGACAGTATTAGCAGCATTAGCATTATTAGCATTAGCAGATTTGGCTCCCCCCCCCCAGTTTGATGCGTACATGTATCACCTACCCCAATCTGTCGCAGCATCTGCAGACCCACGAAAAACAGTTCTGCCTGCTGACAGCAGAATAGCCTATATGCCATTCTATCGGCTGTCTGCTGCAGCAAATTCATGGATGACATCTTTTGCTCCCAGAGCAGAGGGGCAGCTTGCTGCTGTAGCCACATAAGCCCCCTACTGATATTTCCACTGAGAAGTGTTTCACGAACAACCGTCTCTATGGAGGCTTCAGACCCCCACGGCAACACAGTATCGCCTTCAGTCACTGCAAAGGCTTGCTGCACTCGATGCTGCTGCTGCTGCTGATGATGAACGGGATTGGTTTGATTCCAAAGCAGCTTCTGCTGCTGCTGCTGCTCATGCTGATGCTGCTGCAGCGAATATCCTCGCAAAGAATCCTGCTGTGCATCTGCAGGAGCTGTCACGCGCTGCTGCAGACATCGCAGGAGCTGCATGTACAGTGCAAGCTCTGACAACTCATCTGTCAGCTTCTGCTGCTGCTCTTGCTGTGTGCATGCAGTTGCTGCAGCGAGATCGACCTTGACCAGCACGCGAATGTCTATGAGCGAAGCAGCGAATCGCAGGAGCCACAGCAGCAGACGCGAAGTAAACCCTATATCCACGCAGGATGCTGCTTCGCGCTGTAGAGACACTGCGCGTCTTGCTTCATCTTCTTCTTCTGCTGCTGCTGCTGCTGCTGGCTGCCAAGGGGCCACCAAAGACACCAAAGAGGGAGGCAGCTGCAGCAAAAGTTTGCTGCTGCTGCTGCTGCTGCTGCTGCTAGTGCTAGTGCTACTACTGCTGCTAGTGCTAGTGCTACTGCTGCTGCTGCTAGTGCTAGTGCTACTGCTGCTACTGCTACTGCTGCTGCTGCTGCTGTCTGTCTTGCAGCGGCGTCCATCCCTTCGCGTGAAGACGCTGCTCCTATCCCTCAAAGGGTGCAGCTCGCTTTCAGCCTGTTGTTGCAGCGTCTGCTGCGGGAAGTTTTGATCCAGCGTCTGCAGCAGCAACGCTGCATGCTGTGCAATTGCGGGGGAAGCGTAGAGCAAAGGTGTGTCATCTGCAGCAGCAGCGCGCGAGTGGCTGTGGGAAGAAACCCCTCCTGTTGCAGAAAAGGCTAAGGGCAAAGCGTCTGTGCTGTAGCCGTTGAATACATACGCCATCAACAGCCGCATCGCCACCATTTGCTGCTGCTGCTGCAAAAGCTGCAAGGCATGCGCAATACGCCGCAAGTCTCTGCAGCGGAGCGACAGCTGCAGCAGCATCAAGCTGACTCTGCTGCTGTCTAGACCATTTTGCATGCAGAATGCAGCAGCTGCACTAGGCCCTTCCATCAGCAGTATGCGAGACAGCAGTTCCAGCGTGCTGCTTGCATGCACAATGGCGAAAAGGCTTCCGCAAGAACCTCGCAGCAAAGCCTCGCGGCTGCAACACGAGACAGTAGCGAGTTCTCCAGAGGAAGATATGCACAGCTGTACAGCCAGCTCGCCAGACTGCTGCTGAGACTGCTGCCTCTGCTTCTGCTGCTTCTCCTGCCGCTGTTGCTGCTGCTGCATCATCACCTGCCGTTGCTGCTGCTGCTGGCTAAATAGCAGTTCGCCGCATGCACCGCGTGTGTTGGTCGAAGGGCGCGGAGAAAAACGCATGTTGCACTCAGCAGTAACAGCAGAGGCAGGAAAAACACGCTGAAGCAATCCAAGCTCTTCACGCCCATCGGAAGCCTTCGAAGCACTTTCCAAAGATGAAGAAGGCCACTTGACAAGCCAACACCTGTACGGCATGCTGTCAGTGCTGTTGCTGTTGTCGCTATTGCTGTTGCTGTTGTCGCTATTGCTCTTGTCGCTATTGCTGCTTCGGCGATGGCGGGTGTAACAGGGGGTCCCTTCAACAAACAAAAACGAATCGCTCGGAAAGAGTCTCAAGGAAACGTTCTTGTGCAAGCAACAGGGGGTGTTGCTGCTGCTCTTCTTGCTGCTGCTCTTCTCGCTATTGCTGCTGTTGCTGCTGCTGTTTCCGCTTGAGATGCTTTTGCAAAGTGGAGCGATGCAGTCCGAGGTGTCGCCAGCCGTCTCCTGTGAGAGTGCCACGTCAAGCACCAGGAGCTTTGGAGAGCTGCAGCTGCAGCAAAGGCAAGGCAGCGCTGCAGTGTACAGCCAGGGGGGCCTAGCGTCTTGAATAGCATGCAGCAGCTGCTGCTTCCACAACTCCTTTGCTGCAGCGGAGAGTCTCTGAAGCGGCGTCCGCTGTACGTGCTGCTGTAGCTGTTGTTCTTGCTGCTGCTGCTGCGCTTGCTGCTGTTGCTGCTGCTGTTGCTGCTGCTGTTGCAGTTGTTGCTGCTGCTGCAGCTGCTCTTCATCAGCAAAGGAAGACAGCAAGCTCACCAATTCTTCCGCAGTGTTGCATGCAGCGAAGCCAGCGCCACACTGCCCTCGGGTTGCTGCTGCTGCTGCCGTTCCCTGTGTGCAGAGAACATCACATCTGTACCGTCTGCTGCCAAGGCAGTAAAACAAAAAGTTTTTTATCAAGGGCAGTAGCGACAGCAACAACAGTCAGCAGTCGGCGCCTTATACCGCTACGTATATAGACGGATGACACACAACACTGACAAAAAACTGCAAAGCCCGCATACATGCATACATACATACATACATGCACACATGCATGCATACATACATGCACACATGCATACATACATACATACATGCACACATGCATACATGCATACATACATATATGCATACATACATATATGCATGCAACATGCATACATACATACATACATGCATACATACATACATGCATACAGCATACATACATGCATACAGCATGCATACAACATACATACATGCATACATACATACATGCACACATGCATGCATACAACATACATACATGCACACATACATACATGCATACAACATACATGCATGCATACATACATACATACATACATGCATACATACATACATACATGCATGCATGCATGCAACATACATACATGCATGCATGCATACAGCGTAGTAGTAGTCGTACTAAGGCGCAGGCGTCCATGAGGATTTCGAGCTCTGTTAAGACGGAGGAGCAGCCGTGTGCATAATTTTTGGCTGTGTGTGGAGGAGGCACAATTTGCAGCAGCTGCAGCGGCAGATCCTGCTGGAGAAGCTGCAGTTCCCTCCCTTCCTGCTGCTGTTCAGAGGCGTGTTGGTGCAGCTGCTGCTGCAGCTCGTAAGGAGGCAGCAGCCAGGCAGCCTGAGGCAGCAGCTGCTGTTGCTGCAGCTGCTGCTGCTGCAGCTGCTGTCGCAACGGACCGCCTTCTCCGCGAGGAGCAGCAATCCAGCTGACAGCTGGATTGCTGCTCCCCTCTGTTGCCAATCCGCTCCCGCAGAACCTCTCATACTGCCGCAGCAGCTGCTGCCGCTGCAGCAGCAATCTGCTCCAGGTGTCTTGCTGCAGCACAGCAAGCTGCAGCTCTTCGCACAGACGCAAGGCCGTCTGCTCCCCGGGGTGTGCCTCTTGCTGCTGCTGCTGCTGCTGCTGCTGCTGCTGCTGCTGCTGCTGCTGCTGCTGCTGCTGGTGCTTCCGTACGACTGCTTGTTGCAAGAAGCGCAGCACTTCCGGCGATACAAATACAAGAGCATGCTCTTCGCAGCAGCTGCAGCTGCAGCTGCTGCTGTGTGTGTTTCTTCCACCCCCTTGAAGGCATCCTGCAGGCACGATGGGGGTGTCTTGTCTTTCCCCTGCGGAAACAGACGCGCACGCCTCCAGAATCCGGCGATACGCCGCAGCAGACGCAGACGTGCAGATGCGCAAACGCAGCGCACACAGTCCAAAGGCACTCGGGAAAGCGGAGAAAGCAGCAGCCTCCGACGTCAGCTGTCTCCTCAGCGGTACGCGTTCTGCCTCGCGCTGCCGCTCCTCGTATGGCTGCTGCCTCCCCACATCCGAGCATGCCGCTGCTGCTGCTGCTCCCCAGTCTGCTGCTGCTGCTCTCGAGGCAGCGGCAAAGTAGCCGTCCAGCTCCACGAGATGCACAGAGCTGCTGCTATCCGACAGCACCATGTAGCGAGCGTCTTGGGTTACCTTCAAAGACAGCAGCAACACTGGCACGCCAGCAGACAGGTGGACTGCCTTGCATGCACAGCAGCTGCAACTGCTGCTGCTCTTGGTGCCGTCGCTGCAGCTGCCGTTGCTGCACATGCAGCCTTTGTCGCCTCCTTCGCACCGGAGCTGTCTCTGCCGCTGCTGGGGATGTTGCGCGAACAGAGGCAGCTCCAGTGCATGCAACGCAACGCCTGTCGAAGCATTCCAGATGAGAGCTTGCTGAAGAGGCGGTGCAGTCAGCGCGAAGAGGTAGTGGGGGCAGCAGCACATATCTACGAAACGCTGCAGTGGCAGCTCCTTTGGTCGAGGATTCAAGCTGGTTGCAGTGGTCGTTGCGGTGGAAGTAGTGGTGGCGTGGGGAGGAGGCACAGGGGAGCTGCTGCTGCTGCTTTTCCAGAGTTTGTTTTCAGTGGAGACAGGAGGGAGGGGAATGGCAGTCTGCAACACGAAGCGCCGTACAAGGAAGAGGCCAGCTGCGCAAAGCTGCAGACGCAGACACACTGCGTCGTCGAGGATCACCAGCAAACTGCATCTTTCACTCAAAAGAAGCCGCCATCGCCGCCTGACTCTTGCGTGGCAGTGAACTCGAGCTGCTGCTGCTGCTGCTGCTGCTGCACTTGCGCCTTCCTCGCGATCCTGCTGCTGGAGAGGCGCAGCAGCAACATGCGCTAAGGCTTCAAGAAGTCGCAGCGAAAGAGAGTACAAGAGAATACAGTCGGTAGTAAGCCTCCGTTTGCCCTCCCTGCAGCCATCTGCCTCCCCTTCCCATTGCAGCAACTGCAAACTCTCCGCTTGCACGTCAGCTGCAGCCACCTGCGTCATGCGTCTCCAATAGGCCCCTCTTCTCTTGCTGGTATTGTTGTTGTTGCTAGTGCTAGTGGTACTGCTGTTGCTGGTGCTAGTATTGCTGCTGCTGGTATAGTTGTTGTTGCTAGTGCTACTGTTGCTAGCATTGCTGTTGCTGGTATAGTTGTTGTTGCTAGTGTTACTGTTGCTAGCATTGCTGTTGCTGTTGCTGGTATTGTTGTTGTTGCTAGTGTTACTGTTGCTAGCATTGCTGTTGCTGTTGCTGGTATTGTTGTTGTTGCTAGTGTTACTGTTGCTAGCATTGCTGTTGCTGTTGCTGGTATTGTTGTTGTTGCTAGCACTGCTGCTGCTGCTGTTGCTAGCACTGCTGCTGCTGTTGTTGCTAGTATTGCTGCTGCTGTTGCTATCAGTGTGCATCAGCCGAACGGATTGCTCGGGGATGAGAGGGGCATGCCACGATGTAACATCTCTAAAGACAAACAGCTGCAACGCTGCTGCATTGAGCCCACACAGCACCTGCGCATGTTGCTGCTCTAAGAAAGTTGAGGAATTTTCTGGCGACAGTGTTGCCCATACAGCAGCGTGGCAGTCTTTCATCAGAACGCCTCTCGAAAACTTTCCTTGTTTGCTTCTGCGGCAGCTCCTGCTGCTGTTTGCCAAGGAACCTTCCTCTCCATGTGTATATCCACTAGAGAGCTCAGAACCACTCCAAAGAAAGCCTTTGCCACCTCCTTTTCTTACTCCTCCTCTTCCTTCTCCAGCAGCAGTAGCAGCAGTAGCAGCAGTAGCAGCACAATCTCCCGATGCTGGCGTGCGAGCAGCAGCCACGAAGCATCGGAGATCCCCTAAGACTCCTTGAGGCTTTCGTCTCTTTTTCGAATCGTCCTTCGGATAAAACTGCCCTTCTGCCGAAACTGCCTCTCTAAAATCGCTGCTCAAGCTGCTGTCTTTTCTGCTGTCGCTGTCGCTGTCTCTTCTGCTGTCGCTGCTGTCGCTGCTGTTGCTGTCGCTGCTGTCTCTTCTGCTGTCTCTTCTGCTGTCGCTGTCGCTGCTGTCGCTGCTGTCGCTGCTGTTGCTGTCTTTTCTGCTGTCTCTTCTGCTGTCGCTGCTGTCGCTGCTGCTGCTGTTGCTGCTGTCTCTTCTGCTGTCGCTGCTGTCGCTGCTGCTGCTGTTGCTGCTGCCAAGGATGGCAATTAGAGTTTGATCCTGCGACATCAAAGTCTCCCTGCCCTTCGGAAGAGCCTCCGCGAACGTTCGCACTTTGATAAAGCGGAAGAAATCATCGCCATGGGTGGGCTCCTTGCGACTTTCGCTGCTGCTGATGGAGGGGAAAGTGACGGGAGCAGGAGGAGAAACAGCAGCTCGTGATCCTACCTGAGAGGTAGCTGCTGCTGGAGAAGCAGCTCCGCCTATGGCAAGGGGGGCACACGGAGAAACGCCTTCTGCTGCTGCTGAAGCAGGAGAAGCGAGAGCAGCCTTCTCTTCTGCTGCTGCTGAAGCGGGAGAAGCGAGAGCAGCCTTCTCTGCTGCTGCTGAAGCGGGAGAAGCGAGAGCAGCATTTTCTGCTGCTGCTGCTGCGAGAATCGGGCTGTTCCCATCTGAGTTGATCTTGCTACTTGGATGTTGGATGCTGCTGCTGTTTCTGCTGCGACTGCTATTGCTATCGCTGCTGCTGCTATCGTTTTTTCCTGAATCGGATGCTACCTCGCTTGAAGTGACCCTTGCTGCAGCAGCAGCAGTATCATGAGCCTCAACAGGCAGCTGCATGCCCGATCGAGGAGGCCTAGTAGTGCTCCTGCTGCTGCCGTCACGGTGACTGCTGCTTTTCAACCGCTGCTGCTTGTTTGGCGTTTTTGCCGATTGAAGTTGCTGTCTTCGTCCAGCAGCTTTCCGACCACGCAGCACAGAGGCTGCTGGTATTGCTGGAGGGACTGTTCGAGGCGCTCTTGCCTGCCGCTAACTGTGCAGAAGCCGCAACAGTCGGCGAGGCAGTCGCTGCTGCGCGAGCTGTTGAGACAGCGGGAGACAGCAGCCAGCCAAAGGGAACATACGCCTGAAACAGGAGGAATTTACTGGAAAAGAGGCATTGCGAGCTGCAGTTGCTGCTTTCTTGCTGCAGCCGTCCTGCAGTTGCTGCTGCTCAGTCGGCTGCCACGCCACACACAAGCACTCATGATGCGGAAACACACTGATCCCTACAGCCTCCAGCGTAGACTCTGCACTCTGCCCCTCTTACCCGCAGTCGTAGAGGCGCTTTAAAGTATAAAACACTGACAGCTTCCAAGTGGCTGCAATAATAACCCAGCCGCTAGTAGAAAGCCGGGGAGGAGGGAGGGAGGCGGGGCCCCTTAGCCGCTGGGGGCCCCTCAGCCGCTGGGGGCCCCTCAGCCGCTGGGGGCCCCTCAGCCGCGGGGGGCCCCTCAGCCGCGGGGGGCCCCCCCCGAGGGGCTTCGTCGCGGGGCTCCACCCAACTGGAGGGCCCCCCCCTTCAAAACGCTCCTCAGGGATGCATGCAGAGGCCAACAATTTACCAAAAATACTCACTTTTACGTATTTGTTGCCCCTATTTCAAAGAAGAAGGCTGCGGATGTCAGTTCGTGGGAGGACTGGCAGACTCGCCTCTCCAGCGATAGCCTTGCTCCCTCTCTCTCTCTTTCTGTGAGCCCTCCCTCTCTGCGCTTCCTGTCTGAAACTGTTGTTTCAGACTCTTACAAGGCCCTTTATCCCACCCATCTTGACGCTCTGCATCGCTTTCAGGCGAACATATACATACATACACACACACAGAGAGAGGGAGGGAGGAGCAGTCTCTGACACAGAGAGAGAGAGACAGAGAGACATACACATACATATTTATATATGTATATGTATACATATATACATACATGCATATGCATTATATGTACATATATATACATCATATATATATACACTACATATACCGCGTAAACGCCCCCAACAAGGTGGCGCCTTGTCGTTTTGGGTTTGCTGTTCTCTCTATGGATGATCGATCCTCAGTATCCAATTCCTTGAAGGCGCTCTTAGAGAGAGGGCTTCATCGTTTCTCTCATTTTCCCTAATAGAGGGCTTCATCGTTTCTCTCATTTTCTTCCACTTTCAGACAGTGCTTCCCCAGGAGAGGCCTTTTCTTTTTTCCTCTCTGTGTCGACTCTTGAGACGCTGTTTCTCCTGCTCTTTGCTCTCAAGCGCAGTTCAGTCCTCCCCCCTTTCCATGCGGCCGAAAACACTGCACTGTTTTTCGGCTGGTGCCACACGTTTCTCTCGCCTTCTGAGCGCTTTCCCTTTGAAGTTTTTTGCTGCTCCCAAGCCTCTCTGGACGACTCTTCTCTGCCTCCTCTGACTCTCCCTCCCTCCCTCCCAAGTGCATCTCCGCAGACATTCGTTCGCACCGCCACTGATGTCGCTTCCCACTGCCGCGCATCGCCTCTCGAGGGCGTTGCACTGTCGCCTGCTCCCCTTCGCTGGAGCCTGCGCATCAGAAGCAGCCTCAGAGGCACTACCAGAGAGACCTCATACAGCCTCCAAAACTCCAGTCACTCGTTCTTTCCCCAGACACGCAGCATCAGACGTTCCAGCAGCTCAACGGAAGGCTCCCTGCCCTCCTCTCCAGCGCTGCTGCTTCAGTTCTCTGAATTTCCTGCAAAAATTCGCAGGCAGCAGCAGCGGTGTCTCGCAACGCGTCAAAAACTCTGCTGAGGCTTCCCCAATCGGCCTTAAGGCATCTGGAGGTGCCTTCGGCATCTTCGACACGATGATGGCGATTGAACGGAAGGTGAGCTGAGCGTCGAGTCGATCGTTACTCCCTCTCTCTCCTACAAGACACGCGCTTGCGGAGCACCCCTTCTCCTCCTGCTGCCGCCGTGCTGCTGCTGCATTTCCTCCTGCCCATTTGCTGCGTATCCTGGGGTGTCTGTGTGTCTCGTGGACGGACCGCGTCTCCAGAGAAACGAGAAGCAGCACTCTCACAGGTGTCAGCCACCGACTTGCAGCAGCGCGTCTGCACCTCTCTGCTCTGCTTGTGGGTGTGGGTGTGTCTGCTCGCTCCGTCTCACGCTTATAGGGCAGAGACGCAGTTTCTGCGCTTGTGGACCGAGAAGGTCGCATGCACCATAAGCAGCAGCTGCTGATGCAGCAGTTTTACGTGTTCTACGTCAAGCAGCTCATGGTCAAACAAGGAAGCTTCGCGCTGGAGGATTTTCTCACGCTCAAAAGAGTATGTCTCAAGTGTTGTGGGTGGGGGGGAAGCTATGTTCTGTCTGCTGCCACGCGGCATTGTCGGCTCGTGGCTGCATGCACTGCTAGAAGCGGCTGAAGGCTGCAGCAAGTGCCTGCCTGCACACGCTGTTGCCACGCTTCTGCCCGCCTCCGCTCCTCTCGAGCCCTTCCCAGCCGCTCTCCCGATCGGCGCCTGGGCAGCGGCAGCTAGCTGCCGCGTCGCGCTGGCTAGCTGCTCGTGCTTGGCGCTGCCTGTGCGTGCTGCTGCAGCGGCTGCTGCAGTACTTGCAGGATTGTGAAGACGAGCTGGGAGGGCTCCGCCGGAAGGCGGCGCGTCGCTTGGAGTCGTTTGGCCTTCAGCGATTTTCCCCCGAAGAATCCAAGGAGCTCAAGCAATTCAAGCTGGAAGGTATGGTGCAAGTCGAGCGCGACCAGAGGGAGTTCGCAGGGGAGAGAGGTAGACACGTAGGTGCTTGGGTAGATGGAGACAGAGAGAGAGAGCGAGGCAGAGCGATAGGTAGAGAGGGCGGTAGGCAGGTGGAGGTAAGACGCGGAAGGACAAGAAGTCTCTCTTGACGAGAAAACAGTGTGCAGAATGGAGAAGCAGCGGGGAGCAGTTTGTTTTCTTCTTTTGTCTCTTTCACTTCCAACAAGAAACTCGAGGGAGGAGACTCCTGAAGCGAAAGAGAGAGGAGGGGCCAGGCTCGGAGGGACGTTAATTTGCGGGGATGTTAAAGGTACGCGTCTTCGCGCAATTTTCTCTTTGGTGCCGCAGTTGAAATTCTGGAAAGTCTCTCCCCCTCGGAGCTTCGGCTGACTTGTCCTTCTCTCCTGTCTCCCCTTACTCGCAAAGCAATTGCAGCCTCAGCGGGAGTGACGTTGAAGCATGTCGAGGATCTCCTCCTGCAGTTTTCCACGATGCAGGTCAGACAGAGTGCTGTGCGTTGGGGTAGTTTCTGTCCTTCTTCTGCCTGCGCAGGGGTGTTGCAGACTCTGCCGATCGTGGAGCGTCGCTCTCGCGCGTGTGCAGGAGCGCTTGCATTCGTAAAAGTCTGCTGCTGCCCGTGCTGTTTCTCCTGCAGGGTGATAGGCATTGGTTTATGAGGCTTCTGGAGTTAGGTAGACCACTGCCTGGATCTTTTGAAGATCGGCACCTTCTTGCCGAGACAGACAGGCCCTATGGTGTGTTGGTGTTTTTGTTGTTGTTGCTGCTTTTCGTGCTGCTGTCGCTGCTTGTGTTTTTGTTGTTGTCGCTGCTTGTGTTTTTGTTGCTTGTGTTTTTGTTGATTTTGTTTTTGTTGTTGTTGTTGATCGTGTTTTTGTTGTTGCTGCTTGTGTTTCTGTTATCGGGCTTGCTAAAGTTGGAGAGGGGGAAAAGCAAGTGTCTCCGTCGTGGCGTTTGAGCTGGTTTAATTTCTTCCTCAACACCCGTGGTGGCAGCGCTGTCTTGCTTTGCATGTAGACACCTCCTCTTCCGTGTGTGCTGTTGCTGGCACGAGGTCATAGACAAGCGGGGGGAGGAAGGGAGGACTAGAGGCTAAGGATGAAGGGTATGCAAAGCACTGCTGCTGCTTGTGTCTGCCCCAGAATTGCGTCTTCCGTATGGGGAGACTTTTTACAGCTTCGAGTTTGAACGGACTCGCAAGTTGCTGGGAGTCAGAGGCGACGGCAGAGGCGATAGACGCAGACAGAAGAACCAACGAAAGTGCGGTCCTCGCGCTACACTCCATGCTCACTGCATGCAGCTCCCTCCCTCCTTCTCACGCTATTACGCGCTATTACGCTGCCTCTACACGTTCTCGTGTGGGGCTTTTTCCGTTGGGGAGTGTCATCACCTCTAAAAGGGCATTTTTTCTAGAAAGCGTCTTGTGCTGCATCTTGGTGGCTTAGCGTCGGTGCGACATTCGACATGCTGCAGGCTCGCGATACGCTGCCGTTTGTACCATCCAAAGCCTCGTCAGTGGAGCGACCGTTGGCTCTTCTTTGGCGACTTCTTCGCGGATCCTTACAGCAACTTTGCGGCTCGCCGGAAGCATCTGCAGCAGCAGCTGCAGAAGCAGCGGGAGCAGCAGGAAGGGCGAACGCAGCGCGCGCAGCAACGCCTCCTCCCCAAAGGGATGGGCGTCAAGCGGAGACGAAGGTCCTTAGACGTGCTGCATGCAGCCTTCCTCAGGAAGCTGCCGCAAAAGGATGAGGTTTTGCGCAACCTCTTACAAAAAGCTGCTGCTGCAGAGGAGAGCAAGCGATTACTGCTGCCCCCTGACACGACACACACGATCGCAGAGTCTCCTGAAGGGAGACGCAGCAGCGACTGCCTCGACACGCAAGGCAGTGGCAGTCCACCCTCTTCTCTCGTCTTGTAGTGTTAGCACAACGGCACCGTTACGTGAGCTTATTCGCAGCAGCAGCAACAGGATCTGCAAGATCCAGTTGCTGCCCTTATCCAGGCTCATTAACTCTGCACTAGCGCAGTTTCGGCATAGGGAGCGTTGCGCAGTGCACCCTCTAAGCACGTCCACCCTTTGGACAGAGTTGCGGTTGTGAAAAGATACCCCTTGCAAGGCGTAGGCTTGTTTTTTGCCTCCTCGCCTCGCTTACAGGCGCTGCAGTGAGCAGCAGTAGTCGCAGCGGCTAGGAAAGTGTGTAGCGTTTCTGAAAGCCTGTTTGCGTCTCCAAGCACCCCGAGTGGCGCTTTTTGCATCTGGGAACTGGGTTGCAGGCTGCGCAGTACAACTACCAGCCCCTACGTGTCTGGCTGTACGTTTTCCCTGCGCCTTTCTCCTTATAGCAAGCGTTACACTGAGCTGGCAGGCTGCCTCTGCCGCTCTAAGCTGCTACTTCAGGCACGCGTTCATTGCACGCGGGCTGAGGGGAAGCGCCTGTCGCTGCTAGGGGCCAAACGCAATACGCATGGCTGGCAGATCAGTGCGAGTTACCAGTACTTTTGTGCCGCGAGATGTGTTGAAAGGACTAATACTCCCGGTTAGTGTGTGTGCTTCCCGTGCACCACTCCTTTGCGTTATCGAGCTTTCGCACTTTTTATCCCGCCACCTACTTCCTCCGCCTCTCCCCAAGCGTGTCACACCTCATTGAATGATACAGCACGCGTTTTGAGAATGTCTAAAGAGATGGGCTTTTCGCTGCTCTTGCTGCTCGTCATCAGATGCACCGTGCTGTTGCTCCTGCTGCTCTGTTTCCTTGTCATTCCGTAGCTCTTGCTGCTGTTTAGGATCTTGGTTTTTCTGTTGCTGTTGGAGTTCGGGCTTTTCCTTTTCTGGTTGCTCCTCCGTCTGCTCCAGCCGTTCCTTTTGATGGACGCCTTGTTCCTGCTGCCTTTCTAGCTGCAGCTCTGTATTCGGTGGCAACTCCTGCTGCTCGGAATCTACTTGCTTGTTTCCTGCCGTGGGGGCTGTACCCTCAGGCGCGTCAGTTTCTGCTTGAGCGGCAAGCGCATCGCGGGAGGCGACTGCCTTGGCAGGCTTGTTCTTCTTGACTTTCGGCGTAGTAGGGGCTTTGTGGGTGCTGCATGCTGGAGGTGGGTTGGCAGCGTTATCCGTAGCGTTTTGCTGCTTCCTTGCTCCATCGCTGGCAGGCTCACCTGCAGTTGATGTTCTCTGGAAGTCACTGCTCTTGCCTTTGTCTTCAGAAGCTCCTCCTTGCACTGCAGTTTTGCCTCTTGACCACCGCCTTATGTTTAGACTCGAGTTTCTCTTTCGGCCTGAGGCTTCCTTGGAGTTCTTACTCTCGGCTTTACGTTTCTCGGAATCTTTCTTTTTCTCCCTTGCTGCACGCTCTCCTGCCGATCTTCGCTGTGGCTCTTGGGGCGATGCTTCGGTAGCTGTTTGCTTTGGCTGTTTCACGGTCGTCTCACCTTGCGGTTGCTGCTGTTCGTCTGCCTTGGTTCTGTATCCATTGTACATGTACTTTCCACTGATTGAATCTCTACCAAGCGCTTGTTCCAACGCCTCCTTTTGCGGCTCCTTAGCCTTTCTCGCCCCTACTGCTGCTGCCTTTGCTGCTCCTGTCGCAACTGAATCTGTAGCCTGCATGCTGGGCAACGTAGCTAATACATTGTACGTAGCGTCAGCGATGCCAAGTCTGTCATAACCATTGTAGGTGTACCTCTTGCAAAGACCCTCTCGCGCTCGAAGAGCCTCAAGAGCCTTTTCATCCCTCCCCCATACCTCGAAACGCAGCACGTCACTTTGCAAGTAGTCTAAGAATTCTTCTGTCACTGGCTGCTGTACAAGCAGTCGGCTGTAATTGATATCGGCGCACTGGCCCTGACCATCAACCATGGGAGTCACAAAGGATTCGTCACTCAAATACGGGCGATATCGAACGCACACTCGTTGCGACTTTTCAGGAGGCAGACCCATCACACGCGAAACAATTACTTTGTAATCTGAAGCAAACGCCAAAGCGACACAGGAACGAAGCCGATGAGCAAAGGAGGCCGACAGCCGAACGCCTTAGGTTGCCGCATATCATACGGCAGTCATGCATGCTAAAGAACGCAGGTCCGGCCTGGCAGCCAGACGGGTAGCCAAAGATGCACGTATCGTGTTGACAGGTGGAGAACGAAAAGAAGGGGACTGGCATTCGTAGAGAACTCGAGACAAATAGGCACACTAAGATGTAAAAGCAAGCAAAGGGGCAAGGCAGCAAGAGCAGAGAGCTTGAGGAAGAAAATGACGCGAAATGGGGAGCACTGACTGTCAAACTGCTGGACAAGAAAAGTTACAACCAGGGCGCAAGAGAGAAAAAAATCGTATGCATACACATGGTAGTGCCAATGAGTTCTTTTGGGCTCTCCTTGACTTCATCATCTGGAATTTCTCCTCCATCAGCTGTCACTGGGTACACCCCGACTTCTATCTGTAAAGAGCAAACAAAACGCTCCACCCAACACTCTACAGAGCGCGTTACTCCTGCAGCTCCTCTCATGCTTTGACTGCACCTTTGTGGCTTCTGCGTTAGTAGGCTTTCCTGTCTGCCTTTCCTGGTACGCAGCGAAAATGTGCTTCTGGTCAGTTTTTCCTGCAAAGTGCTGCTTGTCGGGTATTGCGTTCACCTGTCCTGCAATTCTCGCTTCTGAGTCAAAGAGCTTGATTTGCGCAGAGTTTTCGACTTGAGAGGCAAGCGGCTTCAAATACAAATCTCCCGATCCAATTAGACACTCAACTTCTACTGGATCCCAGTATGGATCCTCTGCAGGGGTGATGCCTGTTGGTACAAACACAGCATTGAAGATTTATCACGAAAAGATGAACAGATATTTTTGCCGCTGTCTCTAAATTTCGCTTTCCTTTACGAGTTTTTCTTCTTTCGTTTATATGTGCCCCCCTTCTCCTCCCTCTGGCACACCGTCTACTACAAACCGTTTCTCCCTCGTTCAAAAGCCCTCCTGATTGTGGTGTGTTGTGCCTGCCGCCCCGAGGCATTCCCCATGTAAATATGTGCCTCTCTTTGGCTTGTGTACCCTCAATGAATGCGTGCTTGTCCTTTGCCTCGATCCACTTTTCGAACAGCTCCCGCATGAGAAAAATTCTGTTTTCGAGAACCGCCGAATGCCACGTGTACACTTCTATTTCTTTAAAGTGCACTCCAACTGCTACTTCAGTCCTTTTCCCCCTAGCTGACACATCTATCTGCAGTTTCGGCTTCAACTCATACGGCTTTCCCAGTTCCTGGGCAATCACGTTCGCCTCTCTAATAAGGGGCAACAACTAAGCGGATGAGCACACAGGGGTAAGAAGCAGAAGACAAAAGGTCAGAGACACGAGCCACTGCAACAGAAGTTATCGACTACCAGAATATCTCCGAAAAGCATTCCGAAAATACTGCGATGAGAACATGAAGCATAACACCAGTACTTCCTAACTCTGCGGCAGATGCAGGTAGACCAATAGTACAAAGCAGAGAGAAGCCAGCTCTTAGAACAATGAAATTCAAACAAGCGCAGAAGATTCGATGAGAAAGATTCTTCTTCTGTCACGTGAAGCTCTACTACGATATGAGGATCTGCAATAGTAAAGTAGTAAACCTTACGCTTTTTGGTATCAACCACATAAGGCATTGCGTTGAACTGTACCCGTGTGAGTTTTTCGTTTAGCATCAAAATATCTGCCTCCGACTGCCTCCGTTTCAGCTCTTGAAATTCAATTTCCCTCTTTTTTGTTTCCAGTTTTAACTGCTCGATCTGGAACTCTTCATGTATCTTCTGTAGCTGGTCGTCACTCGCCTGCTGCTGCATGGCTTGCAACTTTGCCTCGTATTCCTGAACAGCTTCAACGACAGCAGCAGCAGTAATAGCACGGGAGCAGGAAAGACAGAGGCGAACGAAGCAAACACTTCATGAATGAGAGCACTTGAAGAGACGAAGTGCACCATGCAACCAACTGAGTCACAAACAAAGCCCCAACTCTACAGGACGCTAATACGAACAGGCATCTTGCAACATTAGAATCTCAAACTACATCTGTTCCGAGCACGAGTGCGCGTCTAGACCGTATGCAACATTATAGGCTGCATGCATATTTTAGCATTTCAATTTGTATAGTAGTCAGAAAGGCCTTCCGCTGCTCTTGATTTATGCATACCCTTAGTCCTACCCCGACATGCGTTTTTTGCTCAGCATAGCGTGACTTATGTGGAATAGCTGCCTTGCGCTAGTGCTCCTGGCCAGCCCTTCCAGCGCTTAAACCTCCCTTTTTCTGTTCTCCTCTATTCCTTTAAGCTTACATCCTTCTGCTTTTGCATAGCTTGTTCTGTCTCCCTCAGTTTGCAAACGAACTGCGTTTTCTGCATCGTCTCTTCCTCGATCTGCTGCTCTGTTTTGGTAACGCTCTGCAGTCCACCCTGTTCCAGAGCTAGCTCCCTCATTACTGCTTCGTATGAGTAAAATGATAGAAGTTCTTCTCTCTGAAGACCTCCTTGTCCTGGTAGCATCACTAAGAAGGCGTAGGTTTGTCCAACGACAATTCTGTCGCCCGAGTTAAGCTCCACGCTCTCGCCACCCTCCACTTTTTTCCCGTTGAGATACGTGCACTTACCCCCTTCTAGCACCACTAAACGTGCTGCCGCATTCTGCCCCTCGGCCTTGTCGCCGTTTGTTTGCTGCAGGTAGCAGTGCCTCGGGCAGATTCCAGAGCCAGACAACGCAAGCGACGGATTGGTGGTGCTATCTCGCCTTCCCATTTCCAGTTTGTCGGGGAATGATGGTATCTCAAAAGACAGAGAACCAGACAACAAAGGGTCTTCGTTTAAAACTGTCAAATGAGCAACAGAGTGCCAGTCGGGGCCTGAGCGCAATGTGACCCAGCAGAGCAAGAAAATAGCACAGAGCAGTCATATGCATTTCATGCAAAGTACCGGTTCAAGCAAGCCACCGGTACAAGCAAGCCTTCAGAAAGAAGAACCATTTCTATGGAGTCGACACCAAATCGCGTTGGCAAACACCTAGCAAGTTACAAAAGGCCAACAAGACAGATGATGAATCAGTCATTCAAAGTATCCAGCAAGTTCAAGCTTAGCCAGTGTACCCCCTGTTCCGGTAATTAAGCATCACAGACTTTTTCTCCTTGTTGAACTCACCTGGATCCTGTTTAGGGGCTCTGGCATGTGCTTCGGCAAGCTTTTCCTCCCAAGATCTTTGCATATCTGCAATTGCAGCCTCCATGGCCCTGATCTCCTCTTCATGAGCTCTTCGCAGAGCTAGTGTTTCTTCTTCGGACTGCACATTTGCGACGCCTCTGCCGGCACCCTGGCCTGAGCAAAGCTAGAGAAAAATTAATGCTGTACATTTGTCTGATGTCCATTTGCAAGCTCCGCCTGTCTCACTTTCTTCTCTCTTCCGTTCTTACAGTTTCTACGCTTTTATGTATCCATGACTCGCGTGGACTTTCTATCTGTATTGGTGGTTATCCCACTCCCTCCCACCCTGCCGTTGTAGCCTGTTCCCACTTTGCCACGCTTGCCCGACCCCTATAATGCACTTTTTTTCTTACCCCTCTCATCTCATCATTCATTCGTTCTGTGGTTACCGGACTCTCAAATTCTTTCCCGTTCACTGTGTGTCTGCATCTACTGCATCTCGTCTGCTTGGGATACTCTCTCCGGCACCACCGTATATGTGTGTATCTGTCTCCTTACACTTCCCACTCCCTTGAACTAAAATTTCCTCCCTTACTGCTTATATCTTAGTTTTTGGTGCCCACGTCCTAGACAATAGCCGCATTCCCTTCCTTTTAGATAGCTAATTCCCCACCATGCACGAGATGCATACCCCTGCGCCAATACCCCAAGCCTTTTTCGCTGGAACACATACTCCTATTGCTACATTTAAATACGGTCGCTCCGCGCAGCTGTGCCTTCACGCTTTGCGATTACGTTATATTACCTTCAAGCAGTGCTTTCAACTTGGCATTTTCTTCCTTGAGTTCTCTGATGAGTCGTTCTGTAGGATCTTCATTAATTACGGCATTGTTTTTTATCTTTTTAGCCCTGTCAGCATATCTCAGAGTGCTGAGGCTTTCTTCGTAGTTGTTGCTAGCAGGGGAAATTGCACAGATCATGATTGTTTTGCTGCTTCCTCCAAGTGCATTTTGCAGCAATCTGGTCAGCCGGCTGTCTCTGTATGGGATAACGCCTTTGCTCTTTCCGAGGGCTTTGTCTGCCAAGGCGCTAATAACGTTTCCAAGGGCAGATAGAGACTTATTTATTGCACAGCCTTCCTTCAGTCTGTCTCCCGAAGCCCCCGTCTTAGCTGCCTTTTCCGAGCCAGCCAAATCCACCAGATGGATTACGCTCGTCTTTCGCCCTTGTTTTCCAGCAAAAGAAGTGACTTGCGTAAATTCGATTGACACCACTGCGTGGGCCTGAGGAAGTAAGTCAAATCACTTAATTAGCGACTAGAATGTAGAGAAAGGGATGCTGAATTAGGGCAAGGTTGTAAGTAGGCAGAGAAGACAAAAAGACAATATGGATGGGACACAAAGGAGGTGAAGACATGCGTGAACAGGTCTAGAAACAATATAAGAAATACAGCGAATGCAAGAGATAGGGTTCAAGGCAAACCGAGACGAAAGAGAAGTTTCCAAGTGAAGGAGAAAGAAAGTACTTACTCGGCTGCTCGTAGCATTCATCAGAGTCGCCCCAACTGCGGCACACACTCCATTAAATTGACTTTTTGGGGGTTTTTGGTATACACTCTACAACTTTGCACCAGATCGGTGCTCTTAGACAAAGCAAAGAAAACACTGTCGAACACTGAAGGTATAAGAGGTTGCGAATTCCCTTTGGAACGATTTCTGCCATAACTCGAATGGCGAGTAATGACAATTCAAACATAAAGCCAATGCCCAACACTGTAATCGCTAACTCAGCCCTTCTTAATACAGTGCTCTAAAGCACAAACGTTTAGCGCTCTGCTTGCCTGTTCTGTTGGCAGTTCCTCTCTCTGTAACCGCCTGGATTTCTTCAAAAGAGGATACAGCTGTTTTTGTAAGGCCTTCTACAAAAACGCCAAGCTGTCTGGACTCCCTGCAAAAATATGGTGGCACTGAAAGCTCTCAACCCTTTACTAATGCAAAGAGTTAGATTCCCACATAGTCACTGAAGTCCCAAGACAGTGTTATGTATTCTCCGTTTTACTCGTATCAAATGGCACATACATGCAAAAACCATATGCATTTGTATGTGATATCGGCTGTTTGTCTTTATTTTGGGGACATTTTTATGTGAATACTTTTGTTCCTTTGTACACACAGGCCCAACAACTCTATGCATATATGTGCACATGCAGCAGAGCTTCGAAATATGATGATATGACACTATCTATTTAATAAGTAGAAGTACATGTTTGAAAAAGTACTTAGGCATTGCAGGAGAAAGAGCATCTTTGTGTGTGGCGGTGACCCACAAAAATGAGCATCCACCTGGATTCAAAAAGTACTGTGAGACCTGTGATCAATTTATGCTTTTATGTCCTAGTTATTTGCCCCAGTTAAAATTAAAATGCTCATAGTCGCATTCCCACTAGATGCACGCGCACATAGAGCGTGTGGGGGCAAGCTTCCTTGCTTTTCTGAATGCAAATCTGAACTTTACGCTAAACAATTGTTCTCTGAAGGTAAGTCACGAGGGCGTTTAACAGTCCCCTCATTGCTGTCTTTGCCTGCTTATTCTAGCCGCCATATTTTGATGCTTCCGATTTTGGGATATACTGCCAGACCCACCGTAATTCATAAACCTTTTAAGCATTAAACTTCAAGGAAAACACTGACAACAATCTTGAGGGTCTATTCTTGTACTAGAGCTGATGGTAAAGTCGCCCCTGTTTCGTGTTTTACCCTTCTGCCCGCCTCCTCGAAGGCTTCCCTGCTTTCCACCTACCCCCGACCCTTTGCACACTGTCTTAATTCTCTTGTGTATTTCTGATTACTCTGCTTTGATTTTAGTTATCGGATTCTTTAGGTAGTTTTACGGTTCGTGACACCTCCTGACTAGCCTCTATTCCTCGTCAACGGCGGTGGGAATGGCACTCCAAGGAGATATGTACTGGTAATTGTAGGAAAAGGAGAGCTAGCGGGACCGGAATAGATTAGGAAGCCATATATGACCAAATAGCTAGCAGAAAGAGATACGGACTCATCATATGCATTCATTGCTAACAAGCGCAACAAAGGACATTCCACCAAAAATGGCGTCCACTATGTACTCAAAAACACCCAAATTTTGGAAAACGCGACAACTCAAGAGATAGGCGAATGTAGCCGAAAACTGATAAGCGCAGAGAAACTAATTGAGCTAATGAAAAATGAAAGCCAACCGAGGATGAAACGAAGTAGTGAGCGGGTAGCCATAACGTGTAAACCGAAAGCTGTTATAAAATCCAGCAGATATCTACTTCCAGTATTACCTGATTTCCAGCCCTCCCTTGGGTCTCTCTGTCGGCTTGCAGAGAAGATCTTGTACACACTCGTTGTAGATTTCTAGCATCCCAACTTGCACCTCGAACGTTTTGCCAGCTTCAGTGTTGCTGTTGATCCTTTTGAAGATCTCTTCGCATGCAGTCGGGATAATGCCTTTATTTTTCCCATACCCCATCATTGAATAACTCTTCCCTGCGCCTGTCTGCCCGTAAGCAAAGAGACATGCGTGGTAGCCCTCCCATGCGTTATCTAGAACTTCTATGCCGAGTTGGTTGAAGACGGCCTCCTGATCAGCGTAGTTTGAGCCGGGAAGAGGTCGACTGTGGCCGTCTACTTCCTCGAAACCATCATGGGACCAGAAAGAATAATCAAAGGTAAACGTTCTCGGTTCTGCCCTTTCCGCACCCTCTAAGTCTGTAATGGTTGTGCTGTTCCCCCGCATAGAAACGCAGCACAACGAGTCCATGTCCTTCTCCCGCTGATTGAAAGGTCGCACACGGACCGCCACCTTTACGTTACTCATTTTCGGTGGCTCTACTTGGTATCTATTTGCCTTTACGATGCTTTTGTCTGCGTTTTGCACTGTTTGGCTCGCTGGCGTGCAGGCGAATGGCCACAGTTAGCCTTCTAATACCCGCCAGCCGTATTTTTAAGTATGCACGCGCTTCCTGTGCTTTTCTTCTATAGATTCGCATGTACGGGCGTTAAGTGGACGGGATTCTCCGTGTTTCGACTTGTGGCCGATCTCTTGTTTCAGTTCAAGGTGGCTAAAGGAAGAAGAACACTGTAGATGGCCGTTTAAATGGCTTTTTCATCTCTCAGTCAGCAGAAAGGAGTTTCTCCGTTTTCTGTGGAGTATTGAACACAAGAAGGACAAATCCACAAACCGCACCCAAACAGTCCTTCAGTCCCCTTTCGCCCTCGCTGCCATATTGTGGCTCTACCAACCAATTTTGCTGCTTTCCGCCTAGACACACTTCATCACTGCTCAGCTTTAATTTTGCGGATAAATAGATCGCACAGAAGTCCTTTCAACATGTGGGTTTACCGGGATCAGAAAAGGGTTAGAGGCTGTGCAGTCACTTGGGGCTGTACCGAGCAAGTAATGAAAAGAGAACAATAGGAAGAAGCTTTCAGGAAGCGCCTTATCATCTCGACACGCATTGAATATTTGAGCGAACATCTGGTTCGGCGTGTGTATTTATTGAATGCTGATCGTTTTCCCCTGCTTTTTCTTTTTGGGCCCTTGCCCTTGTTGTAGGCTGGTGCTAGCTTGAGCCTCTCTCACTCGCCTTCTTCTCTACTTGCTCCAAAGCCCTGAATATTCGCAATAAAAAGAGTCTGTATGTATGTTGCCTCTCCTTTGTGCCTCCTCTGCCAGTTGTTTACACACCGGAGGAGTGTGAAGCAAGCACACTACTACTCCCTTTGTCTCTGGCTATCCCTTGGTCTGTGCTGCGCCCACTCCTTCATGAATTTCTCACCGCAGCTCATCTATAAGCGAGCTCATGCCTTGCATGCAATCATGGGTAACGCAGTGAGGCCTTTCCAGTAGCAGATCTACGACTCCCAAGTTAGAACTTCAGGAATTGAACTTCTTTCCCTGGTTGGTAACCTCGCGTTGCATTTTCTCCCGAAGATGTTGCACCCTCAGTCCGAGCGACCCTCACTGCTTCGTGGATACCCTGCAAACACTTTAGGGCCCCCTTCCCCAGCGCCCCCCCGCCGTCTGCCTCTAGAGCTTCTAATGCAACAGCAGCCGCTACCACATTTGCTGCGGGTTTGGAGGCAGCATAAAGAGGAGAAGAGACGCATGGCGCAAGGTAGGACAGGCGACTTTTCTTCGTGGCCAGTATGGGTAATCTCCAGGTGGTTCGTGCGTGCGAGTGACTGCTGACCTGGTAGTACATTTCGTGTATATGCGCATCAAGTATAGGCAAATCTACTGCCGCCCGTGCGAACGCATGTGACCGTATCAACTCTACCACGCATGCAGCTGATTTACACACACACACGCACGTATACATGTTCATTTTGTGCCAGTGTTCTTACTTGCTGGCACAGGCCGCTTGCTGCTGGGTGCTCTTTGCTCTCTCGGCGGTCCCATGGCAGTGGCAACTGTTATAATGGGGCCACTCGACCGACTCCGCATCCTTCAGCAAACAGAAGACGCAATAAAGAATCAGACCTTCCAGCAGAGACGAGGAACAAAAAGACGTTTGGGAAGCCTTTGGGTTGGAGCTGGCTGTGGGGGTCTGAGGTGCTTCGTCGCGTGCACAGTCGGCCTCTCAGCCAACCAGGCGCTCAGGTGGTTGGCTGGTGTCTTTTAGATTAATTTGGCTCTTAAGTTTTCTGCGTTTATCCCTGATACTATTTCGGGGACTGGGGATGTCTCAGATTACAGTTTCTACTTCCATGGCTGTGACGCTGCTTTGGTTGAAAGGCATAGTGCAGTGAATAGGCCCTTAGAACTGATTCTCTACATTGCAAGGAGGAACAAGACGTGAAGCGAATCAAGGTTCATGGATCAGGATTCCAAGTTCTTACATTAATGTGTGATGCGCTGTAGGGCCCCTAGCGCCAGCGAAGGCATGAGTGCTGAAATTCACGAGGTATCAATCCGACGTTGGGCTATACCGTCTGAAGATCTCATATTTTAGTTTATAATCTTACCTAGAGTCGCTTTTCTATCTGCTTCCCCGCTTCAGCGAATTTGGGTGAACCAGCTTTTAGAGTGCAAGAAGAGCTAGCTTCCTCGTTCTGCGGATAAAAGTGCCTTGGTTTGTGTCTAAGGCTTACGGCTTCCTCCATGTACGCTGTTCACTGTTGTATGGCTGCAATTGTTCAGATCTGCAGTCTCGCTCTTAGTTCATTCGTTGCATCTGCTGTTTGTCACCCAATAGAGCTTATTAGGACTGTCCTAATTGCCGGTAAGCGGTGCAGGTGCCTCTCTGGGTTTGAGGGGGTTCCTTCGCTTCGCCATTTTTGTCCTTTAGTGTATTTCTGCATAGTTTTGGCCTATGAGTATATGTGATCACCTTTCCATGGCTTCATATGCTACAGGAGGTGGTCTGTTGTCCCTCTCGGCATAAACGTGTATGCGTAGATGCAGATGTATATACATATATATAATGTACATAGGTTCACGTATATTTAAAATTTTCTTCGTAGAAGCTTGCAAGCATGCATTTAAGTGGACTTGATTCTATGTGTGTGGTGTAATGAATGGCGTAATGCACAGGTGCAGTTTGCGGGTCAATTCATATGCGTAAAATTTTTGTCATGAGCCTTTTGCGTGCTTCCGACGAATTCCCCCTTTTTTGTGTCTCTTTCCCTATATTGTTCGTGAATGCAGTGGAAAGTCATTTGGGCATTAGGAGCGCGAAAGCCTGTGTGTCGGCTGTTTACAGACATTCAGGTGGGTGAACAGCACAACCATTCCCCTGCAGTTGGTTCTCAGAATCGCACTATATATAACAGCTAAGTGTAATCTAAGATGCTCACGGAGTTCCGATTAGAGCATGCGCATATCTAGAAAGCAAGTAGCATTTCATTCGTGCTTCTCGCATGGCATATATAGCAATGGTTGCCGACTGAATCATAAAATTCAATGTACATCACGCCCACAGAGGGAGGCGGAATGGTCTTTATCATCGAGCGTGGGGATAGATAGAGGGGCCTTAGTATACGGCATCCAGTAAAAGTGAATGGAGGGCTTTGTTTTGGGGGCCTACAGAACCGGGAGGTGCAAGGATTCGAGTTTAAGACATACCCTTCAAGTTCTAGGATGTACTGCTTACACGTGCGACTTGCTTTCGTCTGTTCTGGTTTATCAGGTCTCCTCGGCTTTTATTCAGGATTCTCGTTCACGTGCTTATCAGTTATTCCGTTCTCCTTTTTGGCTGCTTCTTTCTACTCACCTTGCCTCTCGGCTCTGATTTCTTTCTCTCATAGGTGGGAGCCTTCGCGGGGCAGCCTGGGGAGCCCTCAGAAAACCTCTGGGGGGACTGATGTGCAGCATCGTACGTTACATGACGCTTCTGCAGAGGCTGCCTCTGTTGGTGCTTCTGATTCGGAGAGCTCGAGTACCTCTTTAGGAGCCCTCCCTGGCGTTTTGTCGGCAGTGGTCCCAGTACACACCACGGGGGGGAGCACTCCTCTGCTTTTTACACTTTCACTTCTCTCTGCATATTTGTCTTCTCGCGCTGCTCAAGGAATAATTTACCCCATCGAGACTCTCAGGTGAGTGCTTCGTGATGCTGCTGCTTTTGTTACCTTTCGTTTTCCATGACCGCTTTTGCTGTGGCATCTGTTGTTTTCGGTGCGGGAGCTTTCGTCCATATGTGCTGTGGCAAGTGCTCTATCGGCAAGTTTCCAACTTTTGAGTTTTGTGGCTCGTGTTTGGTCGTAGGCGTCGCTATCAGGTCTCCTTTTTCTGGCCCTTGTTTCGGGGCCTTCCGTCAGTGCATCTTTCCAGCAGCGTTCCGGGTAAACGTTCAGGTGTCTGTACATTGCGTGCCTCGGGAATGCGATCTCTAGAAGGCCGAATACGGGATGCACTGTTTGGGCTAACTCCTCAGCGTACTGTTAAGGAGACACTCTGGCATCAGCTTAAAACATCACGGGGCAGGGGCTGCTGGAAGGGCAGCAAATTACTGCTTCTAAAGACAGTACCTGAAGCAGTCATTATGGTACTTGCTGCGCAAGCGCTTGCAGCCCATTAATATGCAAATAAAATGCGGCGAAAACGACAGCGTGCAAGAGCCTTTGGCCGCGCCTACCTGAAGCATTGCACTGGCTCTTGGGGAGAGGAACTTAAGGATTAAGCATTCATATGCAGACACAGTCCCTGGGACACAGTCAGATATCTAATCAAGGGAGAGATAGACGGGAATATGCAGAAGGATAGAGGAACAGATACATCCGCATTTGTATAAGGGTCCAGCGCAGCACTCTTCTATGAGAGATCCCATCTATAAGTCTTAACGACGCAAAGTACAGTACATGCACTGTGCGGCTTTGCATTCTCTTTCCTGGACACATTACTGCCTGCGGCTGAATGTATGTGGTTACATGCCTCCGTCTGTTTATATTTCTGTCTCGATATCTACCCATTTTTATGTCTTACATTAGTGGCGGCATTCTTGGCTTGACTAATTTCTATTTGATTTCATATTTTCTGTGTTTTGGGGCCTTTCATGTACTCAATGCTCGCCTCCGTTCCTCTGCAACGCTTGTTTCTGGTGTACGATGCCTAACTCGCCTAATGTGACTAAGCTATACACGTCACTTCTATTGTGTTTTATAACATCTCTCGCTGCCCCTTTTTGAGCTAAGCTACAATTAAACGCTTTCTACTGTGCCAGTTCTACTAAATAAGAGTAACTAGTAGATTTACCGATCCGTGTGTTAGCATAGCTAAGTTGTTTCAAATCCCAGTTAAGTGGATACAAGAAGACGCAATATACTGTTTGTTCGGTGGGTGCTAGATACAGCTAGTTGTAATTTCTAGAAAAGTTTAAACGACAGTAACGTGCACCCTGGCTCTCCCTTGCCTCTTATTGAACTCTGATGGCTCGAGAAGGGGGAGGCCAGAATTCTTCGGAGTGTTGCCCGACCGAGACTTTAGATGGGGTCTCCTAACTAGTAGCACCGCATGGTTTGATTTAGCTGTTCCCACTCATCCACTGGTTGTGAATGGGTTGGGATGCCAGCTTTCCCTGCAGCCCTTCTCTGTTCTTGATCAAAATATTTGTAAATTATCAAATAGGATTTTCATTAGCAGCATTTCCATTGGCAGAAAGAACCCCGTGACGCTGGAAGGTGGCGGTGACAATTCCTGTGCGGGCGGCAGAGGCTTGCCTACAAGCCGACATTATCACATTAGTTTTACAGCCGGAGAAAAGGCGTGTTTTGCGAGCCGGCAAAACGTGCGTGAATGCGTCAATGAGATAATGCATACCAAAAAGTCAAATGGTTGTAAGGAAGGGCAATTACTGAAAGAGTGCATCAGCTGCGTGCAGATGTATCGTGCTGTACCTGCAAAAATGAGTGCTCTTGCTACAGGTCTATCGAAAATAGAGGCAGTTCAATGTTGGCTATTTAATGCAAGATGTTGGTTTGCGTGCAGGAATTGCTAGAGCTCAAGCCTTCATACAAGCCCTCACGCCTTGCCTTTTTCCGAGATATTTTTGCTCAACAACTTTGGGAGAAGAAAGAACGCTGAAACAGGGCAATGAATGAATAGATCGGTAAAATCAGGAAACTAGTTAGCTTTAATTCGCAAAAGCCACAACGCAATCCAACAGCTGCTTTATAATATCAGGCATGCTCAACGCATTACATCAGGTAGTCCTAGGATGGGCAGCGAATAAGCGATTAAACAACTGACCGGTGGGGCCTCCCAAAATTATGGACTACTTGAGCGTACTAGAGCAAACGAATTAAAATTCTACGCTCTTCAAAGAAGGGGAAGAAACGAGTCAGGATTTGAACTCGGTGCATATTGAGGCTGTGTTAACCGGCCCTAGCTTACAAGCTAATGTGGACGAAAGAAGCAGCCTTTTGAAGTACTTCGCACGCGTAACCAGCCCCGCAAAGCCTCCCATCAACGCACATGCTTTTATTTTTAGTGGTTGTGCCATATTATCGAGAACCGGAAGCGCATAGAAAAAGCCAATGAGTTTAACGGCCAGGCTGAACCCAGCGAAAGCGCGCTGCTGGCTGGGCAAAGGAGGCACATCAGGGACACGGTCGGGTGGCGTAGCGAACAAGGCCGCTGAGGAATGAATTACAGCTATGATAATTGACACTGAATGTGAGAGGGCATCTGCTTTCCGAGGAGACGGTGCAGAAATGCAGTTTATCTGCTCACTCGGGAGGGCAGTCTAAGGCACGGGTTTGCTGAGGGGTTGCAGAACGCAAGGATTAGCAAGGCCTCGCCAATTGATTGGCACTTCAAATCAGAATTGGATGCTGTTAGCATGGCTCGTGACTTTTATGTTGCACCTGTGCACCGTGACGTACTTTAGGGTATGCCATGATCGACCAATGGAAAGCGCTCATGCATTCACAGCTGCCCGCTGTGTGGATAAGTATGCTAACGAAGGCCAAAAAGAGGCGCCTCCTGTTCTCCTGAGCAGCGCTCATTCCATCGATTGTAAGCGAGATAGATGCAGGGCCTCAATAGGCAAAGGCAGAGTCTCCATGCCGGAATTCTTGAGGCGGTTGATAATCATCCTCGCTGTGTCATCAACCTTCTCCGTGTCTCAGACAGCACCTTCTCAAATTTGATCAGTCGAAGGATTGTGAACAAACAAAATGAACACAGAGGACCACGCTGACGAAACCGCAGTTCCAGCAGTAACAACAGGGTCCGACAGACAGAACACACCACCACAGTCTGCAATATTTGCGACTCTGTACTCAAGAGAATTCGATTGCCCTGCTTGAATCTTTCTTTGTGCTGAGTGAGGCTAGAGCACAACAATACACTCGTCCACCCTTTCCTCTTACACAAAACTGGTCTACACTGTGAAGCTCCTCTTCGACCTTGGCCTGGAGCTGGTGGTCTCGGGCCATCGGCCACCCTTAGTAGCGAAGGGATGCAGCGAACAGCTGGCTAGGGAAAATATCGCGAGAAAAACTATGGTGCATTGGAACTGAGAGGTTGGCTGTGCGTTGGAGCCTGGAAGTTTGGTTCTGGTGGGTTGGCAGGGTTTACGAGGTGCAATAGAAGGCGACCAGGTGAAGATGCCTGTGGTCAGGTGGCCAGCACCGTTCGCCATTCTCCCACGAACCAATGCTCTTTCTTGCTCTGTTGAATTTTCACAGAGTAGAAAGTACCACGGATATATCACTATTGGCCTTTCAAGAAGCTTCGTTACTCCCTAAATCATTGTGGAATTTACCGTGTAGGCAAGTGGCCCTTGTGGAGGCGGAGGATTCCCACAGAACAACAGAAGTGCTGTCTTAAGCGCCAATGAGCTTGCGTAAGTCGTTTACACTCCCTTGGGCTGTAGAAATGCTGGACTCTAGGACTAAGGGTAGGCGAGGACGCATTTGATGGGAGTTTTCAATAAAACGGGATGGGAACGCCTACCTCAGTGGTTGAGGGAGGAGCACTTGCAAGCTTCGTCTCCTGCGGGAGGGTTGAAGGCTTTATTTGGCTATCACCAGTACTCGCCATGGGCAGTACTCTGCTAATTCCTTGCTAACGGTTACATTTTTGTCTTTCTCGTTTGCACTGCTTTCCGCGTATCAGCTTAGCTGGGAAGAAGCGATTCAGCGGGGAGTTTTCCGCTGTCCTTGACGTTTTGTGAAGCAGCTTTGAATTGAGTAAGCGTATTTTGAAATTGGGGGGAAGACGTAACACAGTAAGCCACATTTAAGCACTCCCTAGTGTACTAGTTGTACAACAGTGGGAATCAGTAAAAAATATGACTATTTGGCTTGTTTGTTGGCATACCAAAAGTATTATAGACCTTCGTTACCTCGAAACAAAGACATGCAACGTTGTTTGCGGCTGGGCCAGGTGCTAAGTTGTGCTAGGCGTGAATTGTGGTACTGCCTAGTGGGTATTGCAACATGCACCCTAGCTGTCCCCCTCCCATCATGTTGATAGCTCAGACAGTCGCCTGCGCAGAAAGATAGGAATTCCCTTTAAAACATTCAGTAACATTCTATTAAGTTTGTATGTGATCTGATGCTAGTTTCATCCTTTCGGAGACCTCTGATAAGCCAACGTGCTACCTGAAACTCCGGATGTTTTTCTTTCCCTGTTTCCTGCTTTGATTATTCTGCACCCATATAGGTTATGAAGTGAAATAGCAGACACATATTCACACAAATTCGGCCCTGAGCCTTACAGATGATGCTATTGGGCTTGCTGCTCATGCTTGATTGAGGTCCTCTAGGGTATCGTGTAGCAACTGAAACAAAGGTGGGAGAGGTGAGTGATGCGAGTTCGTCTAGGATTCAGCGTTTAGAGTTTAAGCCACTAAGCGCATGTTTTAAAAAACTCTTCATAGCTTGTGCTCAGCAATGCAGGAAAGTAGTGTGTCACTGCACATGAAGGAAAAGCCTTCTAGGCCGCGTCTGCTGCTGCAGCGCCGGAGACTGGACTGTTGCAGTTGCAGCTCCTGCTGCCACAGCTTCCTTCTGTCTGTCCATCTGCGTTGCTTATATGCCTCTTTGTGTCTAAAATATTGTATGTGAATGCTTTTTCGCCGCATCAATTGGCGTCTTTCCTTCCTCTGTGCTGCTGCGGCGGAAGCGACACCGCCGACCACTGGCCTGAAGGGACAATAGCCCAATCTACCTCGGGAACCACGTTAGTAGTAAACTCAATTACTAAAAATGGTTTCATGCTAAAAATACTTAAACACTCAGTGCTGCATATATGTATGAAACATCAAACTCTTTTCTCTACACACTTGTCACTCGAGGCATCCCGCCACCTCAGTGGTTCCCGCCGGAGCCTTAGGCACAGCTGTTACTGCGGCAGCTTCTTCTTATTTTGGTCTTTGTCATATTTTTGAGCAACCACAATGAGTTCAGAGGAGCTTGATGAGGGAACCGCAGCACCAACAACAGGAACAGAGTCCAGACACCCTGTCTCCCAGGCCTCTGAAATAGAGCACGCACAACAGCAGCAGCACCAACACCAGCTCCCTCTGCAAAAGCTTGTAGGAAACATTCCTGTGTCTACGCAGCTTATTCAGAGCCCGTTGCTACTGCAGGCAGCAGCGATTTTGCTAGCTGCGCAGCAACAGCCCCAGCAGCAGCAGGCGCTGCAACAACAGCAGCTTGAACAGCAAGCTGCCACTCCTTTTTTCGCATCAGAAGAAGTCCGCAAAAACGAATGGCGTACGAGCAACTCCAGCAGCGCCGGTAGACTCACAAGCAACTGCAGCAGCACCAGCAGCAAAAGCGATTTGCTGCGGCTACCCACTAGCCACACTAGCCCTCCAAGCTCTATCGAAGCTCCACCGACACAGGAGCAGCCACAGCTGCTCGACGAAGATCATGCAGCCGCAACAAAATTCAGCAGTAGAGGCTGCGAACTCAACAGCGTGGCCGATATCGATTCTCCAGGAAAGAAGCAGCCGCAGTTGGGAGTGTTGGATTCAGGGAGACAAGACAGCAGGGGCCACATGGAATTGCTGCTATTGCAGCAACAGATGGAGCAGAGAAAAACTGGGTGGCTTCAGAGTCCGATGAGCCTAGCTGAAAGGGCAGCTGATGTACGCGAAATCGCGGTCTAGTTCTGCTGATACGTCATCGCTGCCCATGCGAGCAGCGAATACAATAGTCGTGGGAGTTGTTCTGGTAGGACTAAGCCGCTAGAAAGAAGTTATGCTCTTCGTCCGTTCAGTGTGAGTGATGGTGCAGGTGCTTCCACTACTTTTGCTGCAGACAGCTGATCAAGAGCAGCAGCACCCAGCAGGGAGGGCCGCTGAGCTGGTAGGGAATTTCGATACTTTGCAGCAACAGCACGAGGAACAAAGCTTGCAGCATCAAGGTGGCCAGAACCACAATCGAGATGCGTCAGAGCTGCAGCATGATGTGAAGCTAGATGAGCTTCCCTTGAAGGGAATCGACGACTTCGAAGAGGCAATCGAAAGGCAGCAGCAAATGCTACATGAGGAGCAGAATCAGCAAACACATGGCCTGCAGCAGTGCTGCTGTTGTCTAAGGTTAGTGAAGACGGAGCGAGCAAGCTGGTTAGCTAACTACCACCTGAGCAGCAGACCAAAATGATTATACCCTCTACCTATCTACGTAAATCAGCACTAACAGGGGAAGCTAATGTTTTTGGTTGTGGTTCGTAGGAGCTTTGCTGGATCTCGAATTGAAAAACATATGAAGATATGCGAAGCAGCGAAGAGACAGGAGCAGGCAAAGCAACAGCGGCAGCGACTGAAGCAGCAACAACAAGAGCAACTGGAGGAGCAGCGGCGCCAGCAAGAACAAATACTCAAGCGAATGCAAGCAGAGCGGCAACGAGAACAGCAGCAGCAGCTTTTGCTGAAGCAAAAAGCCGTTAAACAAAGGAGGGATGCAGCGGCAGCAAGGGCCGCTGCTGCAGCACGCTGTGTGGCTGCACGCAGCAGCAGCGTCGGCGAAGGCAACACCAGGAAGCATAGCGATGAAAGCAGCGGTAGTAGTACCAGTAGCAGGAGCAGCAGGAATAACTTTGGGAGCCAGCTGGATGCTGCTTCTGCTTCTGTTGGTGCTGCGGAAAAGGACAAGTTCTCGGAGGGCAGTTGCATGAACCAGGGCAGCAACAACATGGGACCTTCGCAGAAAACGTTTCAAATAGATTCAGAAGATAGTTGCGCAGCAGCCAAGAGAGCGCCTGATCATTCAACGCAATCCAAAACAGGAGATCGTGCAACGGCTACTCCTTCGGTGGGATGCTCTTCTGCGTCCGACGGCGCTTGTGATGGCGCTGAAGCTAATACAGAAGAGGCACAAGAATCAACACGAGGAGAGGCAGCGGAAGCATCAGCAGAAGCAGTAGCGAAAGAAAATGCGGGCATTAATTGCTTGCACAGCTCTCCAGGGGATCCACCTCCGCTACAGCAAAGAAGCTGGAGCAACAGCAGCAGTCGCAGCTGCAGCAGAGCAACCAGCGGCAGGCTCACCAGCAAGCGCAGCGTTTCTTCAGACAGCCTAAAAGAGCAGAAGCAAGAGGATAGCCAAGAGCAGCAATGCGGGGAGAGCCAGGAACCACCGCAGCAAGCGAGTCAGGAGAAACAGCAGCAACAGCACGTGTTGCCAAAAAAAGCTCCGGCATGTGGCCGCACGGTTCTACAGAGGGCAAAGCCCCAAGACAGGTATTTCAGGATCCCTAAATAGCAGCATCAGCAGCAGCTATTGCAACACGTTTTTGCATGCATTGTAAGAGTCTATTCTGTACTTTTTGGCTACCCACTTGTCACTCTCGTGCTATATGCGTTTCATCTGAGACTCTCACTGCCACTAGTTAGCTTTATTCCTGCTCTCGCTGGATCCTCACGTGTCTGCCCCTCATGCAGGTGGCGCCTAATGCCGACCAAGCGCTGCCCGCTGTGCTCGCGTCGTTTTTGTCTAAAGTCTATCGAACGGCACATCGAGGTTTGCAGACAGAGGCAGAAAGAGGTCGGTCTTCGGCCGCCAGCACCAGTGCCAGGGAGTCTTGTGATTCTTCCAGCGGCACCGCTTCTCCAGCAACAACAGCAGCACTCCCAGCAGGCGTCCAAGCCTTCTGTTGGAAGATACGCTGGTAGGGGGCATGGCGTAGGAGCATCTGCACTGGCTCACTCCCGCAGCATCAGCAGCGAAGGGAGCAAACTCGCAGCTGCTCAGAGCACTGTCTTCGACTGTGCCTTACCACCGCAGCGGCAGCACAGACAGGCGCTCCCGAATCAGCGCCGCGACATTTCAGGTACTACAGGAGCAATAAGCGCAAGAGGATACCTTCGAGACCAGAGCGTTGGATGCGTTAAGAGCGATAGCAATGCAGAGACTAGCAGCAGCAGCTGGGAAACGGAAGTCGTTGAGGGACTTGCCGAGGAGCTTAGGCAGTTGGGGATTGGGGATGAACGGCTAGCTGCGGTAGCGAGCCGGTTCGCCTCTAGGCTGCGGCAGCAGCACAGGCAGGAGCTGAAGCTGCAGGCTGAGCTTGAATCGTTCAAAGAGCCATCCCTGACTGAACTACTGCCCGACGTCTTTGCCGCTGCTGCTGCCGCGGCACGCAGAATTGTGGCTGCGAAACTTTCCCGTGAGCACCGCGGACAACATCAGCAACAGCAGAAACCCGCAGAAAAGTATCAGCAAGCGCCGGAGATTGGATGCGGCATTACCGTTTGTGAAGCTGAGAACAGAGGCAGATATCGCCGCTGCGACAGAGACACTAGCAGCGCCACTGCAGCAGCACCGCCAGGGGAGAGCAGAGATAGCAGCAGCAATAAAGCAGGTGTCGACAGGGAAACTTATGCATCTGCAGCATCACCAGGCTCAGATCACAACCGATGCTGCAATCTAAAGATATTGGGGCACTCCGATAGCCCCCTAGCTCCTCCGTTAAAGCTCCCAGACTCGGCAGCACGCTGCCATAGTAGCAACAACAGAACCACTGCCAAACTAACACCCCGAAGCCCTCGTGTCGAGATCGCGTCTCCAGGTGGCGCAACGACTGCAGAAGCAGTTACGAAACGGCTTTCAGCAAAAAGGCCCTCGTGTATAAAGGGTCGTTGTGGGCGGTGCGGGGGCATAGCTAGGGATTCAGCAGTACAGCAACAGCAGCAGGAAGTGCACACTGTCAAAGTACCACTAAAAATCACTACAGAGGCGTCAAAAGCGTATCCCGCAGCTGTTAGCCACAGCAACGGCACCACAGCTGGGCAACTGGCAGCTCAAGGTGCAACTTTCAGCAGCCACCAATACGAACTGCATCGACATGAGCAGCCGCAGCAACAAGTGCCTCAGCAGCAGATCGAAGAGCCGCCCCTACATACGCAGCAGCAGAGCAAAACATCAGAGTCTCTTGCCTGCTTGGACAAAGTACCGGCAAAGCAGCAGCACCAGTCGCTGCTGCATCAGCAACCGAAGCAGCTCCAGCCACAACACACCGGCCCTACCCGTGGAATAGGCACCTCTTGCCACGAGCCTGTTCTCCCCTTGCTGAATCAGCAGCACCATGATCATGGTAAGCAGACGGATCATGAGCAGCCAATGTCTCAGCATACTGTTTTCCGACGGCATCTGGCTACAGCGCAGCCGATGCAGCCTTTGCAGCTGCCTCATCCCTCAAGCACGTCCAACGGTAGCAGCTACGAAGCCAGCAGCACACAGCGGCAAACTGAAGCCCCCTTCAAAACACTATCCAGTCTGTCTTCTGCCCCGTCAAGAAGTGTTTCTGCAGCAGAAGATTTCTGTCCGCCGCAGCGGCAACAGCTGAAACTCGCCGAAACTCAACGGTTCCAACTGCTACAGCAATTCCAACAACAGCAGCTGCAGCCACAGCCGGCGCAGCAGCAGTGCCAGTCAAAATTCTACGGCTCACAGCAGCAACCGCAGCAGCGGACCACACTGCTCCGAAGGCAGCGTAGCTTCTCTTCTCGAGAAGCGTCCATATCCCGATGCCTCTCCGTGGATATGCCAGTTTCCCAGCAACAGCAAGAAGAAACGAAGTCTAGCAGCAGCGCGCAGCAGCAAATACAGGACTCATTGGGGCAAATGCAACATCTGCGGAATGTGCAAGGACCACCGCAGCAAGATCTGCGGCAGCTTTACGCACAGCGGCCCCTGTTTCAGGAGCTACAATTGCATCATCTTACGGCGCAGCAACTGATGCAAGAGAGGAGCGAGCGATTAGTTAGCGCCGAACAGACAGCGCGTCAGTTGGAGGCTATCAGAGAAAAGCAGATACAGCAACACCACAGTATAAAGCAGGAACACCTGATGCAAAGCAGTACGACTACTCCTGCTGCCAATGCATACCAAGAGGTGTGCCTCGAAAATCTGCCCGTGATTGGCACTCAAAATCAGCCACCGCTGGCGCATAGCATACCGCAGCAGCAGTTTCAGACGATCCTACAGCCAGCCCCCCCCAACATGGTGCAACGGGAGTCACAGGTGCGTCAGCAGCAGTATACTCTGCAGCAGCACCCTCCCCAGCATCAGCAACACGTTACCGTCCAACCACGGCAGCCTCTTTCGCCGCTACGGCCGATCCCACAACAGCGAGTGCAACAGTCATACCAGCTACAGCAGCAGCCTTATACAACGCTACAGCCTCTGCAGCGGCACCAGCCACGTGCGATGCACAGCCGGTCCCTCGTTCTAGATGAGCGCCAGCCAGTGCAGAAGACGAATTCTCTCTCCACTGACTGCTACGGATACAGTACTCCCGCAGCAGCACCAGCAAGACACCCATGTGAACAATGGCGACAGCAACTCGTGCAGCAAAAACAGGAGCTCCAGCAACAACCAGCAATAGCATGTCAATACCCTCTAGCGCCGTCCTCAATTCCTACTTTAGAGCAAAAGCAGCAATTGGCACTGCTGCAGACCGGCAGATCCCATATGCACACGGGAAATGTTTCTCTGTATCAACCACAGCTGCGGACATTGACAGCGGCAACAATCGGGAGACACTTCGCAGTAAACTAACACAACGGGCATTCCCCGTTCAGCAGTCTTTTGCAGCAGCGGACGGTGCTGCTGCGATGAGGCGGCTGATAGAAGCTCTTTGTTTCCACAGAAGCAAACAGCCATCGATCCGTAGACTAGATCGAGAATAGATCATTTGCTGGTGCTGCCAATTCCGCAGCAACGTAGATGCAGCTACTGAAGCAGAAAAGACGCTGCAGCAGCTACAGGCATACTGCCGCAGCACACTAGCCCCTGTTTATACCATACATGACCACAACCCCCCCAATTACTCACTATTTTGAGGCTACTGCTGCTGCATAAGATATATTATCAATTTCGGATACTTTAGCTATCCTTCTGTCCCTCTGCAGCACACGAGCACAAATGCATCGTCAGCCGCACAGCAAAAAGTGCGTTAGATGTGGACACGACCTCGCCGACGCTGGTCCCTTAGGATCCCAACACGCAATGCAGCTCGTAGCTCATGAACAGTTAGTGCGAACAAGTCAGGAGGAGTATTCCTCTTGGGCTGGGAGCTTCGTTGTTTGCAATAGTGCCGAAATATAGGTTCATCATAAACACAGTGGGCTGAGGTCTTTTGGGGAGAGCATACAGGTTGAGCGTTCCTATAGATGCACAAGGAGATATGCACAGTTGGGAAAACTCGCTCCGATGGCTGCTGCCAGACGTGGAAACACCACTCAGGGTCTAAAGCTTGCCTGTAGGAGCCGAGATGGATCGCAGGCATAAAGGGCAGTTTCTGCTCTTCGCGAGCCAGACGTCTATACACCCCACGTGGAAGAAGTGGCCGCACCGCAAAACTCGCACAGTTTCCGGTCCCATGAAATCAGACAGACAAATCACGCAGCCTGAGAAGGTGGTAGCCAGGGCTCTGCAGCAACACGGAGCAGTGTACAGCAGCACACACGCAAGAGTCGGTAGCGAAGTGGACAAGAAGTCTACACGGTGTGGTGCTGCGTTGATGCACTTAAGCACTGGGAGCGACTCCGGGATCGGCTTTTGCGCTGCTGATCGCCACTGCTTTACTCGGTGCTGCTCCAGTCGTGCTCCGGATGCCTTGGCTGCCGCTCTCGCAGACAGCGTTCCTCGGGCTGTTCCTCATTCTGCTGCTCTTGGTGCTGCTGCAGCTTGTCGGCATATGTGACAAGAGGCAGTGCCTGGATCTCCTCTAGAGAGGCTCCCCGACGCCAGAGGCTGCCCGCAGCTGCTGCTCCCCCTGCTGCTTCTGCCGCAGCTGCCGTTGCAGCGGGAGGCAGTGAGATCCAGAAACAGACGAACGTTGCAGCAAGTCGCACCATGCTTACCACAATCTGAGCACACACACCAGCCCAGAGTGAGAAATCTTGAAAGAAAGTCTCGAGTCTTAGCCGATCGCCAGGAAACCCTCGACGTACCGCTGTGACAGTGATGCGCCACAGGCCAGGAGCTTCACTGCATGACTGCGAGTTGAATATCCAAACTACGCCGAGAATGAACCATCCGTAAGACAGGATGCTGAGGGCTTTTGAGCATCGCCAGCCTAAGCCACTTGTCATGCGCTGCACCCTGAGCCGCAAGAACGTGCAACGGCAACGGCGCTGCGCCTCGCTGTCGATCTTTGGTTCGTAGCAAGGGCTTTGAACGAGGCGTTTTTGGCGCAAATGCGGCAGCCACTGCTCGTCTACGCACACCAGTCGAAAGGTGTGGATGCAGTCGCTGCGTCTGGCTGCATGCGCCCTTCGACGATTGAGACTCACGTATTGAGGATGCTACGCCTGTCTCTGGGGCAGCTGCTGAGATGGCAGAAGAACAAATAGCGGACCGGTAACTGAGGCACCTGTAAGGCTGTGAAAACAGCCACCCACCTGCGGCGAAAATCACAAGGCGCAGCGAGCCATGGAGAGCGCAGCAGTCCTAGAGGTCGTTCTGCCTGCTGCCCTCTGCAGGGAAGCTTCGGCGTGGCGAAGGGGATGACGCGCAACTGGTAAATCGGGGGAGAGTTTCAGGGTTCTGGGTAGAAAAGGATTGGGTACGGCGAAGCATGTACCACTGCAAGGGCTTGTTGCAGCTGCAGGCGCTCCAGTAGAGCGAGAGATAAGCAGCGCAGGGGGCTGAAATGATGAAACCAGAGACTGCTCCGAACAGCATTACTACCCTGTGAGCGAAACACAGAGCGCGTTTGACGCGAAGTTACTGTGCAGAGGCAGGCTCTCCAGCATCCCGATGCACAGTGTATGCATGATTGAACATACATATGCATATGTATGTCTAGGCACGCATGAACCGAAGGCTATTCAGATATTTCTGGAGAGGCTGAAATCACGCGGGGGGGTTATTGCTGTCGGCACGAGCGTCGCTCAGCACAGCGCCCAAAGAAGGCTGGGAGGCCAAACGAGAGCCTCCGCTCGATGCCTAGGGAGTAGGCGTGTGCAGCTCGGCTAGATGCATTGGTGAAGGACGAATTACTTGATAAAGGTGAGAGCTTCCTGAGGGCTTTGCGTCACAACCTCCATGATGGGATCTCTGGAAGCCGTTGGATTGCCCTCTGGCCCAAGCAAGACTGCCTCTATGGCCTGCAGAAAAATGAGAACTGCAAAGCTGTGCGATGGCTTTATCCACTTTGCATCCAGTCTTGCTCTTGAGGCGGTAGCAGCTTCACTGGGGCGAAAGGAACGCAAGCAAACACCGAGGTTCCCGAGAGCGGAGGCTTTTGTGAAGGATTTGGAGTGCTTACACTGTACACACGCCTCCCCACGCGGCCAACTGCGTCAGACATTTCGAGAGGATGCTCCATGGGAGTTCTTGTGCAGTTGCTGCTCCTCCTGGCGTTGCCAGGGTAGTTGCACTTGTTGCTGCTCCTGCGGCTGCGGCAGCAGCAGTCGCTGCGCAGCTGCTTAATCAGCGGCAGCTCTCCCTCTCTGGCGCGTCGCAGTGGTCTGCAATTGTAGCTGCTTCTGTGTGACACATCCAACTGCAGCTGCTGTGCTGTTGCTGTGTGGCGCTGCTGCAACGCCGTGGTTGCGTTGCTGCTGCTGCCGCTGCTGCTGTGTGGCTGCTGAAGGGAACGCGTCCAGCCGCAGCAGCAGCGGCAACAGATACACCTGCTCTTCCTATTAAGCTGAGGGCAAACAGCTTCTGTCGTTCGTCTGGTCTAAATCATAGAGAACACCGTGCAACGAAGGTAGCTGCTGCTGCAGCTGCAGCCGCTGCTGCTCACTGGCTGCTGCTGCCTGCTGCTGCAGAGCTGGCTGGCTTTCTTGGTTCTGCTATTGTTACAGCGTTCCCAGAGAAACAAAACGAAGAATCGTAAGGAAACAACTGCATCGGCAGCAGCAGGGGCTGTACGGCGGAGCCACCAACGGCAACACTGGCAGCACTACCAGATCCTGTCGGCTGCTGGTGTTGTAGCAAAAACAGGCGTGGGTCATGTCTGCGGTTATCAATTCCAGAATACGTGCAAATGAACTTACTGTGCAGTACTTCCCGCAAATAGGCGTGAGCACAAGAAACATAATCCAGGGAACACGTTGAATACTGCATCAACCCTCTGAACGCTTTCTGTATGTTGGGCTCCGAAGGCAGATAGTGGTCGCAGCCCAGATTAGCTGCTTTTCATGTTTCAATATGTAGTGTTTGCCCTCTTTCCAGTAGAACAGAGGAACTTTAGTCCATTGCATCTCCTTTCCGGAAAAGACTACGCGTAGCCTGCTCAGCTCAGTTTTCGAAGACCACGTATCGCTCCATAAACCACGCACCTCAGTTTAGTTTCTGCCTTCGTAAATGCCTTATGTGCTTGCCCGATCGCTTTCATTTCCTGAGCGCCTATGCCGTGTAGTGTATCCTTGGTTGGGTGGTTATCGCTGTGGACCGCCCATGTAGTGGGAGGCCTGCCCCGCGACAGCTGCTCGTGCATCACGAGTCCAGTATTGCTCTTTTGCAGTACATGTATTGTCTTTCATATTGTGGTGTACTCTGTAAGGCTTTCTGTATGACTCCACACACAGGGAGCACCCGCAGCTCGCAAAGCAATGCTTTGCAGAGTGGCACACCGCAGCCATCCAACTTGCATGAACCTACCCATGCTAAGCAGTAAACAAAAGAATGGGTGACATAAATCGTTCGATGTTCAACTAAATCTTAGCTGTTCAAAACTATTCTAGACACCTCTCGAAATGCATATCAAAATAGTTTGACGTGTTGCTGTACGCAACCGCATGCCAACACCAGGCTCACAGTGTGAACTAAAGTCCACCCTGTCTGTTGTTCATCCTCTCAGACCCGACCTGCGTGGGAACAAGGTGAGCAGAATGGGGATATATCTGGAAGGAAGACAATGGCTTTTAGTAAAATGTGCAGTGCTACCTGTACAATATGTATTGCCGCACACAGAGTTTCTGTACGCTTACTCGGACTAGTTTGTTCGTAATCGAGATTCGCTACAATATGCGGATTGGTACACACAATGCACCCAGTGCTAGGCATATCAAGCAGACTCTAGGTGGATACTGTACCGCTCCATCTAAGGTCGTTGTAGGGTGACTCTTAGCTCGAGATCCAGTGCATAAACAAACAAAATATGAGTGGTTTGCTTGAACTCCCTACTCCACCTTTTCGGGCCCCTCAGAGCCCTCATGTGACCAGGCAATGGGAATAGCTGCGACCGGTACACGCCATCGGCAATTACGCTGAGTTGCAAAAAGCCATCTAGCATACACGCGAATAACACGTCTTATCTTACCGAGGCACCGACTATCTATAACCAACAAAATAAATTAAAAGAAAGTAACTATTCGATTAGTCCTTGATTCGTAGCTAAGTATAAATGGACTGGTAAAAAGTGTCACTGTGTAGCTTGTCGTGTGGCAGCTCGCGCCATGCACTGTGGCTGCTCCCCTAGACGCCTCCTTGCAAGTTCCCGACTTGGCTACCCTAAGGCTACTGCTAGTGGTAGCCTATTAGGCTGTCTCTTCTCAAACAGCCGGATTGTCCAGCTTTCAGGCAAGTCGTCGATGGGGAGACCTCGAAGATCAGAAGTCTTTCTACAGTAGGTTCACCATGGCTTCTAAGGTTGTTCAAAGCCAGCTGTTGGTGTGATATAAAGTCTTTCATCTTGCTGCTTCCCAGAAAGAGAAGTACAGTACATTTGAGCAGAGGTAAGGTATAAGCTGGGCAGAGAACGAGGCATCGGAAGAAGCGCTGCCCCCTAACCTACGTGCTGCAACGCCCAAGATAGGCATGCTAGCAAGCCAATCACACGAGGAACATAGGGTGGGCAGCTAGTTTGTTGCGTGTTCGGGGCCTCAGCACTACCTCCCCGTATTAAGTGATTAACTACATGCCGATAGGAGGTCGCAAGACAGCCCGGGCTACGTGCTACACGCAAATCTAATAAGAGCCTATACAGCAATTGCATGCCTATGATTGAGTACAGAATTGCATAAACTACTTGGACAGGCACTAGCGAATCGTATACTGTCCTGATGCTTCGAAAACCGAAGGACAAACAGGGTACTTGACCACAGCGCACTAGCAGCGGCTAAATAATTTATTTTCTGAAAAATTCTATCGAGAAAAAGCCTGACAGATACAGGAAGCGGGAAGGGAGCATGGCAGCACTCCACTGAACCTAGATATAAGTTCAGAAAAATCCACCCCAACGGGAAACGCTGTTCGCGGCATCCCGCGACAAACCATGAGTTTTCGCCTAGTGAGCACGCCCCTCTTCGCAGAGCAAGCTGCCATATCTGCTGTTAACACAGTGAAGGAAAGCTAGTTTTCAGGGCCCTCATTCTGATGGATACAGGAAATTTTAGCAAGGCCTGGTAAGACCGTGGAGGTCACAGAAAGCAGGAAGCCGAAAGTGTACACTGCGAGGAGCAAGAAAGAGCGAACAAATGAGCATATATTTTAAAGGTGACAAAAAGTTAGTAGTGGACAGGTTCAGGTGTGTGTACAAGCTAGTAGCACAGTGTTCGTCTGTGTTTCGATAAATTGTGTGTACTTGCACCTTCTCATGCACAGAGGTACGCATACAAGCATTCGTATGTCAACCCAAATAGTGCACACGTACTGATATACATATGAACCCTAAAGTCTTTGGGGTTGAATCTTTGGATGCTGATGATGAGTCCGAGGAAGGAGGCTCTATACTTTTAATTCCGTCATTTATAGTTTCAATTACTACATATTAAAGGTGCAGCTGCGGGGACAGATTGCAAATTCAAGGATATACACGCGTTCGCATACACTAAGTGCGCAAGCTACAACTTTGGCAGCTTGTTCACAAGCATATCCACTGATCAACCTGTTCGAAAGTAACATACCTTAATGCGCATATGTGCATGTATTTGCATATAGGCTGAAAGTAACTTCATTCCTCACATACATGCACTACTTATCCTCGTACTTGTGTGCAGATACACTCTTGTTGACCAAGATATGCGGTAGAACACCTTTTGACACGCAAGGCAAGAAGGGTAGTAAACATAAGTCGAGTGGACGTGAAAGTCCAACAGAGGAATAGAAGCAGGTAGTGCGAGAGAGCAACATGAGGCAAAGATTCTGCGAGTCACGGAGAGAAACGAGATGAACCATGAAGCATTAAATCGGTGATTAGTCCCTTAACTCTCACTGCATGCTCATCTACTGAAATGTTCCTCGAGCTGTGGGAGACATGAGGTAGGAGAGCTCTCGAGCCAGCATCTCTGCTTCCAGGATTGGCTTGTCTGCATCCACATGTACAAGCTCACAAGGTTAAGGAAGCTGAGCATGAGATTCATGCAAAGCTATATATATATATATATCTTTAAGCTGTGAAAAGGCACGAATAAGAGGAGCATGTAAAGGAACAAAAGAGCAAAAAAACGCACAGAGACCGAGATGTCAGGGAGACAATGCACAGGAGACTAGGATTGCAGAGGGATCGAGACGCGTAGGTGCAAGAATCAACCCAAAGGCTTATAAACAGAGAAGAAAGAGACACTCGGAAAAAAGCCTGGCATTCGGACACAGACAGGAGATCCTGCAGAGCGTCTCAGACCTTACCAACGACTTGATGCAGTGCGTCGTTCCAGAAATTTGGACTCATAAGTGCGGCGCCTCTTGCAATTAGAGCACTAACGAAGCCGTCTCTTTCTGCCTCCGCCACAAAAGTTTCGAATGCTTCGGCAATAGCTTCCAGCGTTGGCTTTCGCCCTTTTTCCGTCTTCTGGTACCCCTTGATAAAGTAACAGTCATTTGCCACCTTCAAGAGGGCCATAAAAGCCAATATGTGCACGGGCTTGGGGGGTGTTCCTAGATACCCGTTGCCTTCCGCCGTATTGCTGCTATCGGCGGCTAGCATTTCCTCCAAGACGTCAGAAAACAGCCACTGGGAACGGATGCCGGCAAAAGTGTCGAACACATCGCCCTCCGGACCAAAGTGGTCCCTACGCACAGTGCCTCACAATGCACTAAGGGCTCTTGCGATACCCTTCAACTCTCATGCGCCTTTGAGGCCATAGGGAGCTATTTGTGACACCCCTGGCGATCGTAAATCCAACGTGGGCTTCTCTTGAGGGAATTCGGGTTATGGCTGGAGTTTCTCGAGAAAACCCTGGTGCCTACTAGGGGCATGCCTCCCTTACTTGAAAGATTCAAGCCACATGCCTTCCAGTTCCTCAAGGCCGTCGGTGCTCTTGCTCCACTGCTTCAGCCTTTTCTGGATCCACAACGCACAAAGCATTGACTGTACACGTTAATCAGGGAGACTCCTCACACATCTGTGCAATCCCGGCGGTTCAAGAGGACACGAAGTGCAATGTGCCGCTTAGGTTGGCACGCTGGCAAGCTCTTGCGGCCTTGTTCTCATACACTGGAAACCAGTTCAGATTTTGTGTTTTTTGCACAGCGTGAATGCGAAAGAAGCAAATATACCCTCATTTATATAGTATCTGTGGTTTATGTATGGAAACTGCGGGATTAAGCTACCGCATGCGCCTTACCCGAAAGGTTTTTCTGAGCGAACCCTTGACAAGTCTGCCGAGCGTTTCGTCAAGGTATGAAAGCAGAAGCCGTAGTTGCAGGTGAGGGTGAGAGACGGAATTGATATCTTCAAAAAAGGCCACATGCTTGCCCCAAAGACCGAAGGCCTCAATCAGCAGTGAATTAGAGCGCAGCAAGACGCTTTTGGATCTAATGATGTTGTTGGCGCTTTCGTCGCCTCTCGAGCTAGGCCCAACAGGAGCCAGCGAAACAAAAGAGGCCATAAGCGGATTTAGCTCCTGCAACTTGGCTTCCATCAAATGACTCCCTGCACCGCAACCGCAAACCATGATGCACATGTTTGAACTCATCTGCGCCAGGACCAGAGGCCCCTACGAAATTCCAAGCGTTTTCGTCGCTCCCCCTCCCCAGACACCCTGGCGCCTTACATAAAAACTGTGCCAATCCTGCGGCTCCGGCCTCTGGTGTATAGTTGAAGGATAAAAGTAACCCTGTTAAGGGGGAGATGTACGCGTCGCCGGTGATCGCAGTGCCAAGGGGTGAGGGCGCACAGGGGCAATACACAATATGCCTTGGCGATGTTGGGGTACCGACTGTAACCTGAATTCTCTTTTCCTTGACCAACCGAGTTAACAAAGGGACCATTGAGGGCACCGTGCTAGACAGCGAATCTAAGACGAGGCCAAATGCTTCTTCATACTCTGAGACCAATTGAGGCACTGCGACAGGCACGGCCAAGCGGTCCCCCCAACCAAAGTGCTGCAACGCAGAAAACGCACCGCAAGACGACATGATAAGCGGCACACACAGCACCCTCAGCTCTACGCCTAAGAAGCCCTCGGCACCGTCTAATTCCTCAAGTCCATCGGCGGCAAGCCTCAAAACACACGTAGATACATCCCAACGGCCCGAACTCGTTCAAGTAGCAGATCTGGAGAACAAGCCAAAGCTCACCAGACCTTCTTTGCTACCGAGAAAAATGTGTTTCCTTATCCTCAAGGCTCTCTTGTACAATCCGCAGCGCGCTCCTAACGTGACCAGTGCTGCTGCCTGCGTTACGTCCATATCCCCGAAAAAGTTCTCTTCCGTCGGCAAATCCTAAGCGCAAACCCCATGAAGACACAAGACCAGCATCCTCATACCCTGAGTTCCCACACCCGGCTCCAAGCACTCACGTGCCGCGCCAACTGAGGAGTGGGGAGCACTCAGCAGAACCCCTGGAATGACACCAAGCGCATGAACGCTGGACCCTCACCGTGTATCCCTTGGCGTTCGTTTCTTGTTCAATCGCGCGGAGTAGCAATCGCAGGCTCTTGACCACTTGGTCCGTGAACTTGGGCACTCGCATTGCGCTGCAAGAGCACATGCAGCAGTGGCTTGGAATTCGGGGCATGCGAGGTCGCGTTCTAAGCCCCAAACTTGGCGCGTGTGTGTGTGATTCGCAGTCTAGCGTTGGCGTTCTTTTGAGCAGCAAAGTCTGGAGTTGGTGAGAGAGTTTTTGAATAGGCACCCGTCTAAGGCGAGGAGCGCCTGTTCTCTGACATCGGCCTCCGGGTCGGACTGAGAAATGCAAATTGCCTGCTGGATGGTGAGATAATAGCTTTTGCCTTGCTGGTTGTGCTCGATCTTATGGAGGTTGATGAAACGATTGAACTTCTGCAATGCCCGGAGAGCGTCGCTCAAACGAACCATCGGGGGCACACCGACACGCAGGAACGGCTGCACGGATGCTCCAGCATCAGAGGATAGAGCGAAGTAAACCACAGACTCTGACATGGCCAAAACCATGCTAGGTAGCTTCATATGTTCCTCGTACAGCCTACGCCACGCGAACAGCAAGCGCCTTGCAAAGGGAATGACAAGAGACATCGAGCAACAGAGTCGCATGCATGCGCTCCACGAGATGCCAAGGGTGTTAGCGACGCGTAATTAGTGTGGGATGCCCTCATATCTCAGGCCAGAAATAGAGACACTGGGGTAGTCAAGAATAGAGGCTTCACGAAAAGGCCCTAGACTTGAACCTAACAAAACTGCTGCGTACTTTTCTGCAGTCTCCTCCACCTGGGGATCTTCTTTAAAGACTCTTCTCTGGATCTGCAGTTTTTGGAAGTCGGCAGCTAATGCAGCAGCCCTGAGTAGCGCCTCCGCAAGGCCGTCCACATGTTTCTGCTGTGGCTCCTCCCCGTCCTCTGCCTCCTCCAGCTTCTGCAGTTGCAGCAGCAGGTGCTCCGTGGAAGCCGCCTCTTTGCCTGCATGCTGCCCCCATACGGCCAAATCTCTAAGGGGGCTCAGCTCGGAGCTGCCCGCGTATGGGGAGAAGGAGAGGAGGGTGGCATCTGAGCACACGGGAATGAGGAAGAAAAGCGTCAGCCGTTTGAGGGGTTCACAGGAGAAGTGAGAAGGGCTGGGAGCAGAAGGGGGAGAGGATGCACGAAAGTGAAGCAGAGCGCAGCGACGTGGAAGAAGAGACAAAGCGAGGCCAAGTGAGATGAAAAAAGAACCACATCGAGGAAGCAGGGGCTGAAAGATGAGCCTTTGGAAGAAGAGACGCTGGGCAAGACACCAGAAGGGATGTACAGGGTAGGCGAGGGGATGTTTTATTCATGGTTCTTCTACCTCCAGGTGTCGTGAAGACGGTCTGACTGCTGCTGTCGTCCCTCGTTGCCGTGGCAAGGTGGAAAAGAAGGAAACCCACCCAGCAAGATGCAGTTTTTACAAAGGGAGTCATCTTGTGTTTATGCCGGTGCAAAGAGCGGCAAGAGTGCGGAATTGCCGTCACCAGGCGCAGCTGCTAAGGGAGTAAAGGGGATGCAGCGCTTGCTCTGCTAATGCCAGCAGCGAGGTTTCGAGAGCCGAAGCTGACACACATGCGGAAAAGCACCCGGGAGAACTGCCGTTCCTGCTTCTCTCTCCCTCTTTCGAGTCCATATGGCAATGCACAGAGTCTAGGTTCTGCTAGAGTGGGAGATCCCCTTTACGCTGTCTCGTCCTCCTACGGTTGCGGTGGTTCGTGCTGCTGCTACTCGTGCTCACATACAGAAAAAATTCAATTTCGCGCAAGCCGGCCCAAAAAACAATGGCGTGCAGCGTTCAGCGATATTCGTTCGGTGGTAGCGCTCCTTCCCAACCAACTCTCGCGGAGGATCCAGCCACAAGTCACATCGACTAGCAGGGCTGCAACCTCGTGAGCTTACTCTCTAGACTTTCAGTACCAATATCGGTTATAATCACTTGCTCGCTCAAAAGTTTGTTCGTTAGAACACTTAGATAATGCCACTACGGGGAGCGCTGGAGGGGCCCCCTAATATCTGTACCCGAATCCACTGTGGGGGGAGGGAGGAGAAGGGCATCCAGGGAAGCCGACACCGTATGCATCCGCAGTACAGGCGAGGGTGTGAGGATTCAACAATTCAAAATCACCCGTAGCGCAATATTGCTAGGGACCTTGTGTGTTTCATTCTATCGGTGTTCAGGAGCTTCTCGGCGTCTTGGACCCCTTCAGGGCGGCTCGCGTTTCTGGGTGTTGCGGAATCTACAGTGCTCGTCTTCATGCTTCTGAGTACCATCTTGGGGGGTTCCAAACTGCGTCGTTTTTGCGCTTCTGCAGTGTTGTTTGCCAGGAAGTATTGTTTTGAGCTGCGGGATGCATGTAAATCGCCTTCTTACGCGGAACTGCCCATCGGATAACCGTTACTTGCCCTCAGCCTTGCAATGAATCTGCTGCCCCTTCCCCTGCTTGTGGCTTCGATTTGCTGCTGCAACAGCGTCCTGCCGCTGCATGCTGCAGAAGTGGATGCCTCCGAGGCTCCGGATCATGGCTCTGAGGGCAAGAAGCCGACGCCCCCTTCATCCAACCCAGAAAGCTCGAGTGCAGAGAATGTGGCAGCAGCAAATGGTTCGGCAGCTAATCCTTCAGCCTTCGATACAGCTGCTGCATCCGATGGCGATGCGACTGCTCCTACGACAGCTACGGAGAGTGCAACAACCACACCAGAAGAGCATAGCCCGCCGTCCAGCGGCATGGCAAGTGAAACAGCGGCAGTAGGCATACCGTCAGCAGAAAGTGGAATCGCTACCAAAAGCTGCTGCGGAGGCAAAAAGGCAAAGACAGGTAAAGGCCATGAATCCACAAACGAAAACATGGCAAGTGAAACAGCGGCAGTAGGCATCCCGTCAGCAGAAAGTGGAATCGCTACCAAAAGCTGCTGCGGAGGCAAGAAGGGAATGACAGGTGGAGGTCATGAATCCGCAAACGAAAACACGGCAAGAAATGCAGCAGGCATGTCGTTATCAGACAATAATATCGTTTCTAAAAGCTGCTGCGGAGGCAATATGGGAATGTCAAATGGAGGTCATCAACCCGCAAGCGGAAACAAGAGCAGCTGCTGCGGCGTGATGCCGATGAGCTTCCAGGCTTCCACACACACAGTTATTCTCTTCAAATCGTGGGAAACGACAGAGGTAAGAGATGAAACTTTGAAAGCCGTACGCAGAGACAGTGGTGGTGGCACAATTCACCACGTGTATATGTCTCTTTATTTACGAGCAGGGTGCAGCCCTTTAACGGTAGCTGGAGGAGAACATGCAATTACGAAGAAACCTTCGGTTCCCAATATCTGTGTGTGCAGGCGGTGTACTTTTGGCTCTCCTGCATCTTGTGGTTCTTCTTGGGCTCTGGTTCTGTGGCACTGAAGCTTCTACGTCTGCGCATTGACCACTGGAGTGCGGGTGCGACAGCGGCAACGGTGTCAGCAGCAAAGGAGCAACAGCAATCCACGTGGCGTGTAGCGACGGCTCCCTACACCATCAGGCTGCTGAAAACAGGCCTCTGCACCCTCGTCTACGCATATGATTACCTGTTGATGTTGGTGGTGATGACATTCAATGTCTACCTTTTCTTCGCAGTTTGCCTAGGCCTAGGCTTCGGGGTATTCTGTCTTGGTCATAAGCTCAGGCTCAAGTCAGAAGGCGAGAAGCAGCAGCTCAAAGAATACAGACTAGACTTAGCCTGCTGTGGGGCGTAGATAAAATGGAGCTCGAATGGAGTCCGTTCATCAGCAGGCAAGCAACTGCGGCTGTGGCAACGGACTGCGCTACTGACGAACAGAGGCATCAGCGAAAAAAGCGGCCTTCGCAACTCAAACAACAGCACCCATAACAACCAAGGCAGACAGAACTTTTTGTACGCTGTAGTGCTGCACGCCAATGTATGTATGTGGTTGCTGTTATGGGGTGCCCGCTTCAGACGATGAGCCTGCCCAATTTGAATGTGAACATCAAGACACCCTCATGTACTTCGGTTGGTGTTCCCTCCGTGCAAAACCAGTTAATCTATCCAATTTCATGCGTCTACATATTTATAATGTACACCTTGGCACGTATGCAACCACAGATGACGATGGACGCATATGCATTCATCTCAACATTTGTTCTTCGGTGCATCTCCACGTAGATTTTCCTTTTGTAGTTACATCCAGTTTGCTATTCGCGTCCATCTACATTTGTAAGTAGCTCTGTAGGATTGCGCTCGATTGTTTGTGGCTCTTCCTGCTTCCTTCTGCCACTCTGCGCCTTCCTCCGCCTTGTCACACACACGCCTCCTCCCTTTCAATGCAGATGTATGTGAGATTGCATCGCACATATACGTTAGTTCATGCATTTGCATATTTCATTTTAGAGGGATTGGTAAAGTCAAGATTCATGCGAACACCGAAGAAGGCTAATGTGCATGCCCGTACATATACAGGCCCATGTGCTGGCATCAATGCACGATTGCGTTTTACTGTGTTCGGGTTATCCCCGAGGGGTTCTCCTATAAAGCCCGAGTTCCCTCGTTTCCGAAGCAGTTGGTTTCTACAAGCACACAGCCTCTTCTTTGGGGGCCTCCCCATCTTGAACTTGATGCGCGGACGTACAGTGAGAAGTGCGATGAGAGATATCTCTCTGGTTGCTGCCACCTCGGTTTATGCATACAGTGAACGAACAGGCGGCTTTTGCAGGGCTGGTTTTTGCCGCACAAGCACTGTGGCAGCGGCTGCAGTTCCAGCCACAACCACGGACTGAGGCATATCCTGGCCGCAGAACCTGTTTCCCTCCCTGGAATTGTTCTTGCTGTTGAACAGGTGTCTTTCCATCTAACCGCCAATTTTTCACACGGGAGCAGTCCCTATCGACAAGTACACCCATGGCGGTGCCCGCGGATGCCGTTGCTGCCACTCGTGCTAGTGCACCGTATTTTGTCACCTAGGTACAGGTGGAACGAATTCTAGGGTTAAGAGGGCGTCCCTGTCTATAGCGTGGCTGCTGCCGCGCCTCGTGCACAGCCTACCCTGAGTCTCATCGTTATAACAAAGTAGCATTCTAGGATCTAGACAGCAAAAATCGCAGCTACTGGTCATGCAACAGTAGCTGCTGAAGCATACAGCTGCCGCACTGGCATCAATCGCAATGGCCTCTCACTCAGCTGATGCACCAGGGCCGGGAGCATCTGACTGGTTGTTGCAGCTGCTGCCGGTGCAGTCTGGCGGAACGTCTACATATAGCTGCTGCTGCTGCAGTCCAAGAACGGCAGCAACAGGCTGCAGCGCACGGACTAGCCCTTCGGGATACTTCCTAGGGATTGCTGCTGCTTGTGGTGGTACTGCCTGTAGGGTTGGGGGAACATCGATTCTCGCCTTCTTTCTTTGCTGGTGCTCTTGTCGCAGTAGCAACTGCTGCGTCTGCTGCTGCAAATGGAGCTGTAACAGTTGCTGCTGAAGAATAAGCTGCTGCTGTTGTTGAGCGGGTTCGGCTAACCGCCGCGCATGCAACAGCTGCTGCACTTGGTCGGGCGACAGCTGCTGGTGCATTGACAGCGTCTGCCGCTGCAGCAACAGTTGCCGCTGCAGGAGCAAAAGCCTCTGATGCAGTGCCAGGGTGGCAGCATCCACTTGCGCAGGCACTGCGACACCAGAGGCTGTAGCTGCAGGCGGGAGCAATGCTACTGCTCCAGTTCTGTCTGTACCGGCTGTCGCAGCTGCGGCAGGTCCAGCAGCGGATGTTAAAAACGCAGCCATAGGAGAAGTTGTGAGTGCTGGAGCCAAGGCATATGAGGCGGCAACAGGAACTGCAACAGCAGCAGCAGGAACTGCAGCAGCAGCAGGAACTGCCGCAGCAGCAACAGCAGCAGCAGCAGGAACTGCCGCAACAGCAGCAGCAGCAGGAACTGCCGCAGTAGCAGCAGCAGCAGGAACTGCCGCAGTAGCAGTAGCAGCAGCAGCAGGAACTGCAGCAGTAGCAGCAGCAGCAGGAACTGCCGCAGTAGCAGCAGCAGCAGGAACTGCAACAGCAGCAGCAGCAGCAGGAACTGCAGCAGCAGCAGCAGCAGCAGGAACTGCAGCAGCAGCAGCAGCAGCAGGAGGAGGAGCAGCCGCAGTAGGTTTTGGACCCGTTTGCCTTCTTCTGCCGCTGGTATCCCGAAGCGCCTGGGCAGCTTGCAGTGTATCGGGAGGTAACTCTTTTTCTAGCTGCTGCAGTTGCTGCGGGAGCGGCCTCCGGCTACCCTTGCAGCGTATGCAATCTTGCTGGATTGCAACTGCTTGCAGAAGCAGCTGGTGCACTTGCTGCAGCAGTTCCTCTGGCGTTGCCTCTGCAGCGGCGGCTGCTGCTTCAATGTGCTGCTTCAGATACAGCACCAGCAGGAGCGCAGCCTGAGCGCCGACTTGCTGGATATACACTGGCCAGCTCATCTGCTGCAGCATTACAAGGCCTTGCTGTTGCTCCTCCTGTCGCTGCATTTGCTGTTTTTCATCCTGCGTGAGAGGCTGCAACCACTCCAATCGCCAGGCACCACCCCTGAAGGCATCTGCTGCCGTGCTGCGGCTAAAGCGGAGATGGGGTCGAAAGAGGTGATAGGCAGTCCAACCACCACTTTTGGAGGCGTTGTTGCAGCCGCCACCGAGGAGAAGACGCTCGTGAGCAGGAGCTTGCTGCTGCTGACGCTTGGCTCCCACTGCAGCAGCAGCTGCTGCTGCTGTTGAGGCATCGCATGGAACGGAGGCGCGCTGCACTGCAGCAAGCAGTTCTTCTACGGCTGGCGGCTGCTGCTGCTGCTGCCGTAAAGCCCCTCTCTGCTGCTTTCCCCCTCCTGCGATAACGGGTGCTGCGGCTGCATTCACTGGTGCGGCTGTGCTTGCCGCAGCTTCTGCCGACGCCACACGTGCTGCGGCAGCGGCTGCTGCCAGTGAGCCACTGGATGCACCTCCGCAGGCAGGCGCAGACATCGTGCTGTACATCCAGCTGCTTGCAGGGCCAGAACCGACTGCAGCTGCTGCTGCTGCAAGATCATCGTAACACCGCACAGCAGCAGAGCGAGCCTCATGCCACCCCAGCTCCTGCACGGAAAAGGTCAAGGCGTTGCTTCCGCAGGCAGTAGTGGGATCTCCAGCAGCAGCCGCCGTTGATGGCGCGGCAGGAAAAGCCTTCGAACGAGTATCCACTACCCACATGCCCTTCTCAATCAGAAAAGACAGTCCAGGACGTGTGCTGCAGCAACTCAAATACTGCTGCACTGCATGCTGCGACTCCTCTGCTCGCGTTGCCGCTTCTATTTTTGGTGCTGTGACTTCTTCAGTCTTCCGGAGACTTCCCCCCTTTGCTGTTTGTTCTGGTAGCGTCGCGTCGGCTTTCTGCGAATGCGCCTGCGATGGCGAAGCAGATGGAGGATCCTCCTTAACCTGTACTCGATGTTGCGGAAGCTCGAGATGCAATTTGCGGTTTTGCTGCTGCACAAAGTGACGCTGCCCACGCTGCCGCTTGCCGCATTCGTGCATCTCCTGCTGCTGTTGCTTCAACTGCTCCTGCATTAGGGATTCTTGCTGCTGAGTTCGCGCTGTCTCCACTGCTCCTGGCGCCGCTGCTTTTGGCACTGCTGCAGCTTCTGCTGCTGCTGCTGCTTTACAGAGAATCAATTGTAGCCAAATCTGAGCCATCTGTTGCGCTGCTTCCGACGCCACCCGCCAGCCGACAGAGGCACTCCTCGCAACAACGGGGAAAGCTCTCCTGCGAGTAAAGCCTTCAGAGATCCAGCTAGCTACCCACTTCCCCCTGCTGCTGCTACCAGCCGCGCTGTTGCCACAGCATTCAAATAAGACGCAGCCACGCACACCAACAGCCTCGGCAGCTTCTGCCGCTGCTACTGCATTTGCAGGATCTAAGGATGTCAGCGGCACTGGAGCTCCCCAGAGGCTGTAAAGAGGGGCTGCAGAAGCAGCGCCTGCCGCTGCGTCTGTTGCAGCAGAAGGACGAGGAAACGCTTCAAAAGCACCCCCAGCCGCAGTCGCTACCACTTCCGCAACAAATGCCTGAGGCAGGTGCTGAAGAAAGGCTGGCAGTTCGGCGGGTAATTTTGGTGCCGTTGGTGCGAATGCTGCCGTCGCTGCCAATGCCGCTTTCGCTGCCAATGCTGCTGCTGCTGCAGTGCCTAACGCTGGTGCGGCAGCAGCAGCTCCCGCTGCGTCTGCTGCTGCTGAGGATTTGAATAAGCCTCTAAAACTGGTTGGACTCGCTCTGGGAGTCTCGTCGGGAGTCGAAGACTCGCGTTGCTGGTAATGCAGCTGCCCCTCCTCTGCAGCCTGAGCAGCAGCCGCGGCTGCAAGTGCAGCAGCAGCGCCAGCGGGAGGCAGCTTCTTCATGTGGATACTGCCGCTGCAGCCGCTGGTCAGCTGCAGCTCCAGTACCCTCGACTGGAAGACAGCGGCAGCCTTTTGCTTGGCAACAGCGAACGGATAGCGCCCAACAACAAACGCAGCCGCAGCAGCTGCCGCGCCAAATCGCCACCAGCAAATCCACCTCACACCTTCCGAATCGAACCGCAAGCCACAACTGCTCGTGCTGCTGCTGCTTGTGCTGCTGCTGACTGCAGCAGGGGCAGAAGCAGTCGCGTCTCCGTCCTCCACATCCAAGACGAAGAGAACTTCTGTGTCAGGGGTTGCTGCCACTGCTGCTGCGGCAGCTGCCGAGGCGCTGCTGGTGTTGCTGTTAGTCTTGGTGGGGTTGTCGCTCCCTCCCTCAGTATCCTTCAGCTGCTGCCGAAAGCGTAAGGCTAGTTCCCTAGCCAAGGCTGGACCATACCTGAAACGCGAACAAACTCGCTAGATCTATGGATCTATTACTGCTCGCAGCCGGCTCCTACTCGTAAGGAGCCGTAGAGGCATGCGTTGCGTGGCGCTAGCTACTACTCGTAAGGAGCCGTAAAGGCATGCTTTGCGTGGCGCTAGCTCCTACTCGAAAGGAGCCGTAAAGGCATGCTTTGCGTGGCGCTAGCTACTACTCGAAAGGAGCCGTAAAGGCATGCATTGCGTGGCGCTAGCTCCTACTCGGAAGGAGCCGTAAAGGCATGCATTGCGTGGCGCTAGCTCCTACTCGGAAGGAGCCGTAAAGGCATGCATTGCGTGGCGCTAGCTACTACTCGTAAGGAGCCGTAAAGGCATGCATTGCGTGGCGCTAGCTACTACTCGTAAGGAGCCGTAGAGGCATGCATTGCGTGGCGCTAGCTACTACTCGTAAGGAGCCGTAGAGGCATGCATTGCGTGGCGCTAGCTAGGGCTTTTTACGCGCGCCTTGCGAGCACCCGATGCGCGTGCACGAAACAAGGCTGCACAGTTTGAAGGCTGCTTTTTAAGCTCCTCTTCGTGTCAAACTATCCAAGAACTAAGGGGTAGCGTTCGGAGCTTACTTGGATACAGCAAAGCTTCGGCTGTATTTCCTGCCTCCCGACGACCAGCGGCAAATCCATGAGGCTTGAGATCCTGAGCCTCTAAAGTAGACGCCTTCTGGAATGTCTCCATCGCCAGGGGGAGCAGCAGCAGTCGCTGCTGCTGTTGCTGCAGCGGTGGGTGGAATAATGCTCGCTGTTGCAGCTGCTGGATTGGAAGCAGTATCTGTGGCGGCAGCTGCAACAACGCCAGGAGCACATGCAGAATCTGAGGCGGGGGATTCGCTCTCAACGTGGTGCTGCTGTTGCTGCTGTTGTTGCTGCTGTTGCTGCTGGTGTTGCTGCTGCTGCTGCTGCTGGTGTTGCTGCTGTTGCTGGTGTTGCTCGGCATCCCCACCCGCGATCTTATGGCTCCAATACTTTTCAGCTAGTACACGAGCCTGTGAATTTACAAACACTTGAAAGTATTTCGCATCGTGGAGAGGAGAGGCCCTCCCCTATTGTGTGCATCCCTTCTACAGATGCACATCCATGCATGTCTATAAGCTGAGTGAACTTGGTGGGTGTTGCTACACTTTTGCCTTGAAGAGATTACCTGTTCATCCCCGAAGTCTCGAACGCGGAAGTATTTGTACTTGTGTTTATTTGCTGCGTCTAGCCAGCAGCAACACCATGCCCCGCTGCTGCTACTGTACCGCACACCCCCCACAGTCTTCCTCGCTGTTGCTGCCCCTTGGGAGCCGCAGCTGCGGCTGTTGCTGCTGGAAGCTGCTGGCTCCTTCTCCCAGGTGCTCGACGGGGATGCGGCAGCAGCGAAGACAGGAGCAGACTCTGCTCCCGCTGACGATGCAGGTGCAGTTGAGACAGGTGCTGCGGCAGCCTCTGGGCAAGACGCAGTTACGGCTGGGGGAAAAGCTACTTCGGGAGCAGCGCCAGCAGCGCCAGCAGCAGCAAACGGTGCTGCTGCCGATGCTGCGGGAGACTCTTCAGGCGTCGCTGTTGAAGCTACTCCGACCTCGATGCAGGCTGATGTCTGTGCCACTGAGGGCACTTCCGTTGCCGCTGCGGCTCCTGGGCCTACAGTCAGCCCATCAAGCGAATGTTTCTGCTGCATTACCAAAACAGCAGCAACGGCTGCTGCTGTTGCTGCTGCAGCGCGAGATAGAAGCGAGCCATAGGTGGGCGCTGCAGCGAAAGGCCACTGCTGCTGGTGCTGCTATTGCCTTGAAATCTTTCGCGCTGCTTTCCCTTTGGTGGCGCAACCGCAACTGGTGTACATACACCGCAAGCCTGTGTGATTGGTATCGCTCGTGCAGAGACAGCAGCGAGACGCCCTCAACAAGAACCCCACAATTTTCTTGGAGTTGTAATTTCCGTTGTTACTGCTGTTCACTGCTGTCGCTGTTTGCTCGAAAAGAGAAGCAAGTCTGCTGGTGCTCCTATTGTTGCTATTGCTGCCGTTGCTACTACTGCTGCTGCTGATGATGATGATGATCACTCTATAAAAAGGTTATAATGCCTCGTGATGTATTTCGTGATACTCCAAAGAGTTAAAAGAAACTGAAACATCAAAACGCCGCCGCTGCTACTGCAGCAGCAGCACACCACAGGATGTTGTTGATGCAAACACCGTCACCGGGGCGGCCGCTGCCGCTGCACGAAAATAACTGCTGCGTGCTGCTGCTGCTGCTTCGAAGGGCAGCAGCAGCAGCCACCAGTAGCTGCTGTTGAAGCAAGCAGAGCAGCTTTCCGAGACTTAGAACGTTCCGTTAAACCTGCATCTTGCATCTTCAGTGTATCCACTCATGGCATTAGAGAAACAAGCTTCCAGTCTACCACCATCCCCCGCTGGGACTGGTGCTGGCACTGTGGTCGCTGCCGACAAAAGTGCAGCCATCAGCGGCGGAGGTGGTGCTCCTAGAGCAGCAGTCCCATGTCTGCCAAGACATTCGCAGGAGCGACAAAGCCTTCTGCGCTCTTGCTTTCTCCTTGATCTTTGTGTTTTGTAGCAGCCGCTCTGCAGCTGTCACCCCGAAGTGCTTCTGGTGCGCTTTTCTGGTGTTGTTGCTACCGGGCGTTCAATGGGCAAGCCCCCCCTCCCCCCCAGCGGCACTGCGCGTATTCTCATTTTATGGCTGCCGGAACCGCACAGACAGCAACGGCAGCAGTATTCCAGATTTCGAGCTCGGTGATCTGTCGCTCTTTGGCTCCCCTTACCCTTGTACTTTGATTGCGCCAGCACCTGGTGGTGATGCCGTTTTCCGGTGTACGTACTGCGGCCGCTACTTCTAGGACTGGCTGCCAACGTCCACGCACGTGAACGATGGCTCCCTCCTCGCCTCTCTCTCCATCCCCCCTCCCTACCACTGCCAGCAGTGGAAGCAGCACGAGCAATGGCAGCAGCAGCAGCATATCTCCACTGCAACACGCACTAGTTGGGTGGTCTACTTTGTGGCAGTTCCCGCCGCCTCCCTCTACCCCACGAATCCTCTCGCTTGCCGTAACCCGAGAGGTCGCTGCTGTATTAGCCTTGCTGCAGTCTGCAGGCACCACCGCTGCTGCTGCCCCTGCTGCTGCTGCTGCTGCACTCCCCCGTCTCCTCCAGCTTGCAGAAGAGGGCCCCTTCAGAAGACAAATTGAAGACTTCCTTGCTGCTCTTCAAATCAGGATCCAGGCAAGGGTTTAGGGTTGTGGACTGGGGCTGTAGTCGAGCGCACAAAAAGGTTATAAGCTGAAGGGGGGATTCTTAAAACTTTGCTTTTCGACCTTAACTTTTGTATTCTAAGGATTGCGCGCAGGCGAGCTTTGACAAAGCGGTTGGGGAGCTGTGGTGGCAGTTTATTCAAACAGCTTCATCAACAACAACGGAAAACCAGCTCTTCAACTCGGTGGAGCTGCAGTGAGCACGAATCCCGAAGGCTTGGCAATATCCGTGCAATGTATCCTCATATCTACGTGCCAGCAAAACAATCGAGCGCATACAGATTACTCCTCTTGATGCGTTCCTGCATCCAGCGCTAACTGACGCCGCCTTCATACCCACCCCTGAAGCTCGTGCTGCTTGCTAAGGGCTGAGGCTTTCGGCTCTAGGTTTTGTTCTCAGGCTGCCTTCAGTGGTGGACTTTGAGAAACGATTGAATCTCGAGAGAGAAGCAATCAATCTCAGAGATAAAGTTGCACAGTGCAGGAGGAATACAGCAAAGCACAAACTCTTAGTTGACAAGGTAAAAGGCGTAAACTGAGGAGGCTCACGGTCGAACATGGGGAGATTCTCTGGTGGATGTTATTCGTTGGCTTCGAGACTTCCTTCTAGGGGGAAGAAATGAGATTTCTAGGGGCCTAGGTTTAGGATTTGTGTGCAGCTCAAGACAGAAATGGAATTTCTAGACGGAGAACTCGAAACAATACTTGCAAAAGAAGAGTGCGTTCTCTTCAGGGTTTGCCGTGTGGACGTTATGGTTCACGAGATGGTGTTACCAGGTTGGCATTACAAGTGAACCTTGTGCCCCCGCATATGAAGACTCTTATACGGTGAAGTTTCTTATGAGTCAGCATGCATCTCAGCTCGCGGGGTGGACATGTGCCTCACAGTATTCGGAGTTTGTTTTCTTTGCTGCAGGGCTTTGAAACTAGAGATCCCACTTTCTACATCTGACTTTGCTTGAACCTTCAGCGTTTGAACGCTTCATTCACTAAGGGAAAACGGAAGATCAATCGCAGCGCAGGAAATGAACTCTGAGCTCTAGATGCGGCACAGTTCCTTCCATACCTTAGGCGGAGTTGCACTGCATCCACGCACCTTTCCAATCTCATTATTAAGCAGCAACGGGGGCTGGTGCTAATACAAGTCATTAGAGTCTCTAGGCGGGTTGAAAGGCACAGCGATACATCCACCCCTAGGAGGGGTTGTTCGCCAAAAGACGCCTCGCAATAAGCTCACGCACACCTCGACCATACGCCGTCATTCGTCGTAAAGCTTCATGACCCAGCGCTTGGGATTAAAGACTTGCTGCGCGGTTGCCACTTGGTGCAAGCGAGGTGCTCTGGAGTTTGCTTTGTGTGCTGCTGCAATTCCAGGGGTCCACCCTGTCTAGAGGCTTTCTGTCGGATTTGCCTATGAAAAGCCTTTTTGTGCTTTTTTGGGAAGGCACTGGGTTCTTGACGTTTTCAGCTTAGAACAAACCGCTTTGATTGTTCCCAGTAGCTTCCAGTTGGTCAATTGTGTTTCCCTGCCCTTTCTAATTAGTCTATGGCATGTCACATTTCCAGAGGCAGATTCAACAATGCTGCTACCTCCACTACATGTGTACCACTACATATACTTATGAATGCACAGATATTAAATAAGCACCTGCATATGTATACACGCTTGCGGTACCATTTGATACGCAGACTTCAAGGTGGTCATATTTAAGTATGTATACGCACATGCAAAGGCATGTCTGGATGCATACACATGCCTATATTCGTGCGTATCGCTGCACATATGTGTACTTTTTAAGTGTTGGTACACAGATGCGCATATGCGCAATATTTGTTTTTTTATGTGAAGGCGTACCGCTCCTGCATATCTCTTCTCCATACATGCTGATTGGAGGACCGCTCCGATGGAGCTGTATATTCGTCAAGTTATTTGAAGAAGCAGGAATACATATACGGCAAGCTGTGGAGAAAAATTGTTGGGGGGGATGTATGCCAAATGGAAAGGCATTCTTTATCGAGGGCCAACAACCTGCCAGCCTAGAGAAATGACGGCAAAAAAACAAGCGCACAAAGTGTCGGTTTCATGCTGCCTGAAGGGTCAATTTGGGCAGCACTTCACCAGTTTATGTGGGATTCTAAGGAAACCACGTGCGCCTCGGGGTGGCAATACAATATTTGTACACTTTGTGGTATACACGTGCGTGGCTGTGCATTTCGCTCGGCACATCCGCAATCTAGGTACACAAGTCGACGTAAAAGTACCTATGTTTTTTCTGTGTACATGTTGTGCTTAAATATGTAGACAGTTAAGTGTAAGTAACATACCTTCATTATGCAAGTGTAGTTAAGCGCCTGTAACTAGGGTTTCTTGAGCGCCAAGCTACACATTGGCACTTTGTGCTACACTATTTATATGTAATAAAGAATCAGTAAAGAAACGAGGAAGTGATTTTGCTTGGTTAAGCTTATTGTAGAGTACTATTGGCTCGACATAAGAAAGTGCAACGTGTGTCCGTGCTAGAGTAGTAGCTGGAATGCTTATGGGGTGAAGAGTACCCTGGCTGTACCTCTCCGTTCTTCACACGAACTATGAGGGGCACTGGCAGGATATCCCTGAAGTTTTTTTAAAGATGCTCCATAGTATTTTATCAAGCTTATATTGAGTTTGGGATTAAGTGCCTATATTGAGAGAGCTCAAATGAGGCGCGATGGTTGATACCGCCATATGGCTCGATCCAGCTACTCCCCGCTCACTTACTGGCTGTGAATGCAGTGATAAACTGCTTCTTTTTCGCACAAGGCCAAAACACGTTGCGTGCATCAGTATAGCTCACGCGCAACCCCGAACATTCGGGGCCCCCGCAGGCTTCTTGCCTTGAGCTTCTTTGCGTAAGACATGCAAAGTCCAAAAGAAGAACTGATACAGAAACCGAGGCTCAATAAGATTTAGCAGGATAAGGTCTTGCTCACTATGGATATTAAACGGACCACTCAACTAAGAACGGCATGCACTGCAGCCAGATGATAAATGAATAGTCAATCTGTCAATCCTATCTACCTGATTTTTATCTTCTTTTAATCAAGAGAAAGGGTATTCACTAGCTTTTTTTCTTTGGAAAGCAAGCTGGGGGAAAATCTTTCTGTTGGTGGAAACTTGACGGTGGTAAGACGTTTGTTGGGCCGGCCCTACCAGCAAAAATATGAGCGCATTAAACCCAGGATTGGTGAGGCAGCATAAATAATCAGCCGAGATGAATATTTATGGATGTGTCGATGAGGAGATGCACAACAGAAAAGTACGGCAGCAGTAAGGATGGGCAAGCACTAGAATTTTTCCTTCATCTGCGAAGTACCCAATAAAGTATGTCTCCAGCTGGCTGATCAAATCAAGTGCTCCTTGAGGCATCTATA